TGGAGCTCTCTGGGCCTTGAAGAGCAACAGCAGTCGGTCTCCAAGGGGCAAGCAAGGGGCACACAGCAGGAGGGCGACAAGCCCAGGGAGTCCTAGCTGATCCCAGGGCACCATCCTCAGCTTTCAGAGTAGTAGGCCCTGCCACTTTCCTAGTGTAGCACATTTTATAGGCTCAGGGTAGCTACACAATTCAGTTTTCTCTTGATACAGAAGAAAGAACACCTCTCCCACAGGTATCTTGTACCTTCATTGTTCTACAGAAGACCCTGCTTCAAGTTGCCCTAGAGCAGAGGCCCTCCTTCTTTTTGGACCTGTGGGCACATTTGGGAATTTGAGAAAATTCTGTGGGCACCTCCAAAGTAGTGGATCACTGGCTTGGCATCTGCCTCTTCTATCTATGGATCTTCAGCTGTGACTTACTCAGGAAAGCCTTCTGTTTCATGTCTTGAACCCTGCAATGTCTCATTAATAAGGGGCTGTCTAGTTCAGTGAACTGATGGAAGTACAGTACTGCTAATGCTTCTTTTTAATATATGTTTTGGAAATGTGCAGCAATTGCTTCTCTTAGTGGGGAAGTAATTACATAGATCAATTTTGTATTGAAATAAGCTTTGATATTCAGCAATCTACACACTCTTTTAATCTATTTACCTATCTCACGGAAATGAACAAATGGAAGAGGAAATTAATTCTCCATGTCCTGTTTGAGAGCTAAAAGACTAAATTGAAAAATAAATAATTAACCTCCTATAGTGCAATGGACTGAGGATTTTACAGCACTTTTCACATATTAATGGCTGACATATAGACTCCAAATTAAGATTTATTTAGTCATTTTGGCCTGATTTCATTGAAATCTGTGTATGATTGGTAGAAAGTTGCATGGATTCTATTCAAATCCAAGTTGATGTTTCAGCTGTTCAGTCGTGTCCTACTACGAATGATCCTATGGGCCAAATCTCACCACACTTTTCGATCCAGTGCCACCTCTTTTCACTGAACGATGCTCTGGCCAGCATCCTCTTTGATGGAGTCTAACCATCTTGCTCTTTGATGACCTGGTTTTCTCTTGCCGTTGAGCATTCCAAGCATTGCATCTTTTTCTAATGAGCTTGATCGCATAACGTGGCCAAAGTATGTCTCAGCTTTATTATCTTGCTGACCTGGGGCATGTCTGGTTTAATATGCTCCAGGCACCTGCTTGCTTGTGACACCCACTGGCCATGGAATGCGCAGGAGCCTCCGCCAACACCACAGTTCGGATGAGTCAATTTTCCTCTTGTCTAACTTTTTCATTGTCCAACTTTCACAGCCGTAGGTTGCAATAGGAAAAATGATCACTCAGACCAATCTGCACTTGGTTGCCAAGGTGATGCTCTTGTTTTTCCACACTCAATTCATGCTTGTCATTGCCATATGACCTAGTGAGATTCGTCGCTTTACTTATTTCGTCGCAAATCCATGTACATGTATTAAAAAACCAGAAACAAGAAAGAAGTTTGAGTGCCCATGGCAGTGTGTTAGGGACCCTTTCAGGGTGCCACTGGGCCCTGTGCTCAGGACTTCTGCCCTATAGTGATGTCAGCACTATCCTAGGAGCCCCCACCTCAGTCACAATCCCAGAATGCAACCAAGGGGAAGGCCACAAGTCTCACAACTACTTCCTCTGTGGCTGTATTTGCCTGAGAAAGGAGGGCAAGGAAGAGACAGCAGAAATGTGGGTGTGGAACAGAGCAAAAATCACTCTATACAGAAGGATGGATGACAACCATCGTCTCCATTCTGGCCATCGCTGTACAGAAGCCTGCTAAGCTACCTGCCCATTTCAGTTATCTGTCTAAGCAGCAACAACAGGCCAGGAAAAATCACCTGTTTCTACCTTAAATGTATTCCAGCTGCTTCCATGTGGTTCAAGAAAGCTGGAAAAACTGGCCCAAGATGGTGGCAGATGCAAGATATAGAGGGACAGGCTATTCAGATTCTGCCCTCTAGAGGCCATCAAAGACTTCCTAAGTTCCAACAAAACTGCAATAACCTACATCAAACTCACATACACAAACGGAGGGCACAGCTGGATGTGACAACAGACAAGGGGGGAATCCAACCAACACAAGGGACTGTGGGGTGTGTTACACCTCTCTGTTTCCCACCATTTTCTCTATGGAAGACTTTCTCCACTCTACACAGAAGTTGGCATTTTCTATGCATACAGATAATTATACCATTGTTCAAAATATCATATTCCTTAAATAATAATTGGTATTCTTACTTACCCCCAGGATAGGTAAGAATTACAGGTTAGCAAAGATCAGTAACCTTACAGTTTTAACAGCTGCTGGTAAAGGCTACCACAGAACAAGGATATTGCATTCTTGTTACGAGCTTTTGCTTGACGAAGGTTTTTGACCTTGCCTAAAGCCACATATTATGCTGTGTGTGGTAATGTGAGTAATTTCTAACATAGTGAACACATGAAGCTGTCTCATATCAAGTCAGACCACTAGTCCATCTAGCCCAGTAGTGTTTGCTGTTGTCTGGCCACGTCTCTCCATCATCTCAAGCAGAGAAGGTCTCTCTCATCATCTCTTATTGAGATCCTTTTGTTCCAAATGTTAGGGATTGAAGCTGGGATCTTCTGCATTCATAGAATCATTCAACAGCAGAGTTGGAAGGCACCAGAGGGCTATCAGGTCCATCCTCTGCTCAGTGGTGGACTCCAAGTTAAACCATCCTTCTCAAATGGCTGTCCAGTTGCATCTTGAATGCCTCTAGTGTGCAAGAGCCCACAACCTTCCTAGGTAATTGGTTCCATTGTTGTGAAATTTTCCCTGGTATCTAGCCAGAATATGGTTTCCTGTAACTTCATTCCGTTATTCTGTGTCCTACACTCTGGGATGATGGAGACGAGCTCCTGTCCTCCTTCTTTGTGACAACCTTTCAAGTACTTGTACAGTGCTATTGTATTTCCCCTCAGTCTTCTCGAGACTAAACATGCCCAGTTCTTTCAATCTCTCCTCATAGGTCTATGTTTTCAGTCCCTGGATCATCCTTGTTTCCCTCCTCTGAACCTTTTCCAGCTTGTCTGCATCTTTCTTATATTGTAGTGCCCAGAACTGGACACGCTACTCCAGATGAAGCCTAACCAGGGCTAAGTAAAGGGGAACTGGTACTTCAAGGGATTTGCAAGTGATACTTCTATTAGTGCAGTTTAAAATTGCAGTCTAAATTTGCCCTTTTTGGGGTTCCAGTGCATTGTTGGCCCATATTTAGCTTGTGGCCTACAACAATTCCATGATTCTTCTCACTAGCAATATTGAGCCAAGTCTTCCCCATCTTGTAGCAATGCATTTGGGTCCTTTTTCTTATGTGCAGAACTTGGCATTTGTGCCTACTAAATTTCATTCTTGTTTTCGGCCCAGTGCTCCAACCTGTCAAGATCATCTTGGACCTTCTTTCTGTCTTCCAGTGTATTAGCTATCCCATCCAGTTATATGTAACCTGTAAAACTGGTAACCATTCCCTGCATTTCCTCATCAACTCATTAATTAAAATGTGGAAGAACACTGCGCCCAGGATTGAACTCTGTGGTACCCCACTTGTTACCACACCCCAGTTTGAGAAGGTGCCATTGATGAGCACTCTTTGAGTCCAGTTCTGTAGCCAACTGATAGCTGTTCCATCTAGCCCACTTTTAGCTAGTCTGCTAGTCAGGACATCATGAGGCACTTTGTCAAAAGCTTTGCTGAACTCAGGATGCATGGTGTCCACAGCATTTCCTCAGTCCATCAGGAAGGTTGCCCAATCAAAACATGAAATCAGATTACTCTTGCAAGATTTGTTCTTGTGAAATCCATGCGGGCTTCTAGTAATCATTGCATTGTGTTCAAGGTGCTTGCAAACTGACTGCTTTATAACCTGCTCCAGAATTTTCCCAGGGATTGATGTCTGACTGGTATGTAATTCCCAAGTTCCCCTTCTTTTCCTTTCTTGCAGGTAGGCTATTAGAACTTCTTCCAGTCATCTGGCACTTCCCCTGTCATCCATGACTTCTCAAAGTATAGACAGTGTTTCTGGGAGTTCTTCATGACTGTAGTAGCATGGAGCTCACCAGGCCCTGGAGATATAATTTATTCACCCTAATGAGATGATTCTTGACCATTTCCCTATCAATCTTGAGTTGCCAACCTGCTCCTTCAGCTTGTACCTCCCCTTCACCGGAAAGGTCATAGAGCTTCTCTTGGCAGAAGACTGAGCGAAGGAGGAATTGATCACTTATGCCTTTGTCATCTGTTATCATTTAGCCATTCACTCTGAGCAGTCGAACCTCCGTTATCTTTCTTCTTTTACTTTTGACATATCTGAAGGGTTTTTTTTGTTTTTAGCATCCCTTGCTAGTCTGTTCATTCCTAGCTTAGCCTTTCTGACCACATCCCTTCAATTCTGTGCTACCTGCCTATATTCTTCCTTTTACTTCCTAGACATGTCCATTTTCATTTTCAGATCATCACTAAGGATTTGTGAATCCACATGAACTTTTGTTCTTCTATCATTTTCCTTGTTGGAATTTTGAAATTGTGCCTTTATAGTTTCCTTTTTAAAAAATACCCCCCACCCCCCGGTCCTGGAGTCCTTTTCTCATTAGAGTCACTTGCCATGAGACTTTATCATTGTTCTGAGCTTATTAAAACTGGCTTACCTAAAACTAATGTACATCTTGGCCTACATTTGGGTTTTGCTTCCTTTAGAACCAAGAATTCAGGTATGGCATGGTCACTTTCCCCCAGAGTTCCTGTAGCTGCTACTTTGTCCACTAGGACTTCCCTGTAGGCTAATATCAAGCCAAAGATAGCTGTTCCTCTTGTTCCTTCCTCCTTCCTTCCTCTCAGGGATCTCTTGGAGGGGCCATGTTTGGCAGAATTTGTCTCCCAACAAATACTGGGGAAATTGAAATCCCCCATAACGATGATAGCATGCCTCCAACATCAAGCAGGTAGCCCATTATTTCAAAATACGCATCTGGTTTTATCAATACTGAATCATGATACAACAAAGTATTTATACTATGCAGCACAGATGAAAAGCACAGTGATTTGAAGAGACATTTTCATTTCGGCTGCAATCTACAAAATATGTATAACCTGATGGCAACCAAGAGGTCCTGTATGAAACATGCTGAGCTTTCAGAGCGGCAAAGATGCTTCTCCCCTTTGCCAAAGGACAAGGCACATAAAGTATTTAGCAAACAGCATAGAAAAAATTTATTGTGAACAGAGGTGTCCATCAAGCTCCAGCGTACTGGTGCATCACATGCCGCCCTACGCAGGATCATTCTATTTGTCCATCGAGATACACTCTCATCTAATTGGAAGCTGCTTTCTACAATCTTAGGCAAAGGAGGGTCTTTTTCTTCAGCTGCTACCTGATCCTTTTTAAACAAAGGATACCAGGAATGGAAGCTGGGACCTTCTAGATGCAAAGCCTGGTCCCTCCACAGAAGGGGAAAATGTTGAGGTAGCTCATAAACCATTCCCAGGCCATGGGGGAAACGTTTGCCTTGTTTATAACTTTGGATCCAACATCAGCATACAAGGCTTCATCCTACTTGCCTTCAATTCATCATGCAAAGAACGCTCTGCTATCGAGCAAGCATACACGAGGGAAGCTGTCTAAGTGGAGTAACTGACTCCGACTCCTGGGAATGGATGCGGTTGCTCCACTGCAAGGTCAGTCTTTTAAAATGTGAACCTGCAGCACAAGGCAAGAATTTAACCATCATAGAGGAAGGAAAACATTTATAGGATCTAATACAGGAACAATCAATCGTTGGCCAGAAGATGCTGTAAATCAATGCTACTGGAGGAATACTATTCCTCCCTCCCTGCATAGTGGGTATGACGCAGCTGCCATGTTAAGCAAACGCATGCTTCTGTTGAGATCCCACAAAAGAGTATGGAATAAGAGTACAGGCACCTACCAGTCTTAACCCTGAAATCATCAAACTGCTAGCACACATCTGTGAGGGAAGACAGTTGACCTTGAGCACTTTTCTGCCAGCTGGGTGTCCTCCAAAAGGCAAATATCTTAGGTGCAGGAGCTACACAGGTTAAGGAATAAACCCAGTTTCCCACAAAAGGCAGGTAACAAGCAATCAAGACCAGCCAGTTCTAGTGAGCAAGACATACCACTTGGGATTACATCTTTGAACACCAATATATTTGGAGAGTGAGCCGCTCACATGCTCTTGCTTCTCCTGTGATGGTTATGGCTTTTCAGACATGAGGGGTCAGGTGAGTTCTAAGCTGCAGTTGAACTGGTGTTTGAGTTCCATACGCTGCAGTCCTGATCAGCCCCATGCCGTTTGCTGGAGCATTTTCTGTGGTGGGGTTCAGAGGTTTCACCAGACCAGGGGGAAGGGACAGGTGGCTCCCCACTGCTTTGGCTCACAAACACAGCAGGGATCTTAGGAGACATTTCCAGCTCTTCAACCTGCTGCCCCGTGAATGGATGGCAGTTCTTACTTTTTGCACTTTGTCTGGTATTCTGCTGCTTCTCCCCTCCCCCTCGGGAATGGACTGCAGGGAAAGGGAGGTGCCGAGCATTGCTCTTGGAAGCTCCGTTTGGGGCACTGCTCCCCAGCCGTGTCTGAGCCACAGGGATCTCATCCATGGACTCTGCTGACTCGGAATGGTAGTCCGCTGGAGGACCTGCAGCCTGGACTGGACCGCTGCTGTCTGTGGGCAAGACTACTTTCAGGGGGACTGCTGGTACGGGAAGGCGAAGGCTGGAGGAGGATGAACTTGAGGAGGTGGCAGCTGTGATGGACAATTCTGCAAAACGGAAAAAAGGTGGGTGGGAGTCAGGGAATATATTTTCAGTTTCTACAGGAAAAAAACCCAGTAACAGACTGAATGGAGTTTCAGGTCCTCTTGTCTTCTTCATGGCTTCTGAAGTGTGGCAATACTAGAAACTGGCTGATTTCTAGAAATAAATGAACTGGACATTAGAGGCTCGACAGCTCTTTGATTAAATTTAGAAATTTAAAAATCATTAAATAAAAATTTAGAAATCATAAAATTTAAATTTAATGATTACACAGCCGGTGATCACACATGACTCTAACAAGTGCACTGTTCTGTTGTTGAGAGGGTATACGTATTTAGAGGCTGTGTAATATTGTGGGAAGAGCCTCCTAGAGAATTTTAACCTGCCTGAAAGAGCTGGGGTTGCACATTGATGCTTCCTCTTCTTACCTGGCTGTAAAGCTGGAAGAGAGGACCATGGAGCAGCCATCACCTTGGATCTTTCTTCCAAGAGAGAAGAGGGAACCTTATGCAACTTCCTCCTCCTCCTCCTCTTCTTCTTCTTCTTCTGAAGGTACATCACAAGACAAAGCAGCAATTTAGAGCCCATGTGATTGTAAAGGTAAGATGAGATTGAAATGTTGGACTAGAGAGTCAGACGTGTATCGGGGAATCAAATTTCATATTCCTATCCATCTGTGAAGCTCACAGTGGGTGACCAAGGACCAGTTACATTATCTCAGCCTAACCTTCCTCATTGGTTCTTGAGAAGGTAAAAAAGAGGTGAAGACAAAATCAAAGAACCATATAGCCCTTCCAGCCTCTTGGAAGGAGGGCAGATAAAATAGGAAAATGATCAACCTGAGGGTGGTGGTTGCTCCCATATTAGCATTACTTACTTTCATCAAGCTGAATACTTTCTAACAGAAAGTCTTCTATATCCTGGCATCCTCAAGAGGCCTGACTACAACTCCCTTCATTCCAAGCTAGCCTGGCCAGGATTGCGGGAAGCAGGTTCACATCTTCTCTCAGCCATTAAGCTCAGTGCATGACTTGGGCTACTTACTGGTCCCGTCTTTCCCCCATTGGCCTGCACACTCCCTGGGTGTGTTCTCAGCCAATGGCTGCTTTGTTTTCCCCCTTGCCACTCTGCAGAGCCCCGTCCTCTCACTGGAGTCGCATGGTGGCTCTGCAGCCACCACAGAGTAGCACTCCCCACTGCTACCACACTCCGTGCCCATGCCCATGCCCACGCACAACCACCCACCCACACACCCACCTTGCCACAGCTTGTTGCTGTGTGTGAATAGGGCCCGTATCCTTCAGCCCAAACTATCCTGCAGAGTTCTTGTGAGGATCAAAATGGGCAGGGTTACACACACTTATCCTGCACCTTGACCTCTTCAGAGAAAAGGCAGAATGTCAATGTAATAGATCATTTTTAAAAGGTGATATAATGTGATTACTTGCAAAGGGGATGAATATATATGTATGTATATGTATGCAACCAACTGGCAGGTTCAGACAAGACATTAACCTGTACAAGCTTCTGACACCCCCTCCAGCTGGTGGTAGTGCTCACCTGGTAGCCACTTGACAAGAGTGGCAAGGGGATTGTGCTACACTTGCCAAAAGGACCTGTAGTGTCTTGACCTCACCCATGATGGGTCATAATGTTTGGGTTCAGACAACACAAGAAGCCATTATGGGTGAAACAGTCCCTACCTCAAGCCATGTAGGGTGACATATAAGCCAACCATAAACTACCCTAACAAATGCATCACTGGTTCACATGACTCAACAACCCACTGTGGCTTATAAGCAATATCATAAGGTTTACCTATCATATCTTATAAGCCACCGTGGACTGTTGTGCATGCAAATCCTGTTCATTCAATTTCCAGGTCGAAAAGGCAAAATTCAATAATAAAGAGTCCTGAGATAGAGGGGAACAATTTATTAAATTTATATTCCATTGAAATCAGCACATTCAATTGGTAATTATTCAGTTGGTAATTTTCCACTGAGAAACAGAAAATGAATAGGTGCATATTCAACCCTCTTTATAACCTCGAAACTGCTACAGTTTAAAAGCATTCAAGACCAGACTCATCTTACTGCAATCAATGTTAATGCTCTAATTTTGCCAAAAGATGCATAAATATATAAGCAAGGCAGCACTTGTAACTACAAAAGAGAAGGCATCAAAAATTCAAGTTCAACCATCAATGATGACACCTTCAGATGACGTGGGAAATGTGGCAGGGTGTCTTATTTATTTAGAAAATTTCTATGCCGCCCCATTCGCCGAAGCCTCAGGGCGGCTCACAAAACATTAAAATATAATACATTAAAAATATAAAACAAATTACAATATAAAATAAGTCACCCTGGCCAAAGAATAAAATAAGGAAATAATATTAGCAATTAAAATGACGTTTGAATAAAAAGGTCTTTGCCTGGTGCCGGAAAACAAATAACGACGGCGCCAGGCAGACCTCTCTGGGGAGTGCATTCCATAAATTGGGCGCCACCGCAGAGAAAGCCCTCCTCCGAGTACCTACCCTCCTAATTTCCTTCACGGAGGGTTCCCGGAGAAGGGCCTCTCCCACAGATCTCAGGGGCGGGCAGGTGTATATGGACGTAAGCGCTCCTTCAGGTAACCAGGACCCAAGCCGTTTAGGGCTTTATAGGTCATCACCAACACCCTGAATTGGGCCTGGACTTCAATGGGAAGCCAGTGAAGCTGACGGAGGACTGGAGTCATGTGAACATAATGCCCAGTCCCCGTCAGCAGCCTGGCAGCTCTATTTTGAACCAATTGAAGTATCCGGACCGTCTTCAAGGGTAGCCCCACATAGAGCGCGTTACAGAAGTCAAGAAGTCTTGCGCCTGACAGATCAGTAGTGACAGGCAAGAATTCATGGATACACTTGCACTTACTTGTGGCTGGTCTCCAACATGCACCTCTGGAAGTTCAGGGGGCAAGATGAGCTTGGAGTCTGTGCCATCACCACGGACACAGAACCTGGACAGGCTGAAAGCAGAGTAGCAGCAGTTTGTTTCTCATTTATCATACTGGAGCATTCACAAAGGAAACCTTATAGCATTTGACCAAGTAGTCCAATGTTGTCAACTCTCTTTAAGTCTCAGCCACACAACTGTAAAGATTTCCTCTGGTAAGGCATGAGATGCTTTGAGTACTCTGAAAAAGTGCAATGAGCACAATGCCTTAACACATATTTTTTCTGCTTTTATTTGGTTTTAAAGTTAGTATCACTAATTTTTATGATGGTTTAATACGTTCCAATGGTATATTTTATATTGTTTTCTAATTATGCTCTTGTGAAGAGAGTTAGAGAGCTTCAGCTGTTGGGCAATACAGAAATTAAGCAAGCAAGCAAAGCCCCAATACAGATTGAAAATACAGCTCCCTTTGTCAATCCATCAGGCTCCTGCTGCTGCAGTTACAGTTTGACTATACTATCAGAATTTCATCTGACAGAAGAAAGTACAATTGCATACCTGTAACTGTCATACTTAATTTTAGATGTTTTAATAAGTGTGGTTTTATTATTGTATTTGCGGAATTTTATACTATGTAAGCTGTCCTGAGCGCTTATGCAGAAGAATGGGATACAAATGCTTGTAATAAACAAACAATCAAACTTGGAGTAGACAAGGCTAAATTACGTATCCATGTCCTTTATTTGAATGTTGTTAACAGTATTTCTTCGTGGTCTCTGTGCACCACACATATGGGTTCTGTGCCTGCACAGTGCCTCTGTTCAGGAAGATTCTCCTAGCATACTGTTTTTGGTGGGAGCATTGCCTATTTATACTTCCCCTATTTATACCTTCATCAGTTAAGCATACTCTTACAACTTCTCCGATGCCTGCAGAAACAGAGGGCTAATACAGATACTGTATCCTTCCACGCTGACAACTTCGGATTAAGTGAAAATTAATGTGGCATTTGCTCTACTCACTCTTTTCCAGATGCTAAACCTGAAGAATCTTCCATCTGGATCTCAGAATTAGTATATCCAAGGCTTCCTGCATAAAGCTGCACTTCCTGAAATTAAGTTATTTAAAATGAACAGCTTGAGCATTCAGGCAAATTTATCACTCTTTATCACAAGTCAAAAATCACTGTAATTAACAAAATCACTGTTAATACAGCTGCCTCTACATCTCAGAATAGTGAATAAGCACAGGTACTGTACAGGCTCTTTTAAATTTTAGTAGCATTATTCCGGTAACATTTCACAAGCCTGACTTTATGTACACTTTCAGCAACTTGGTTCCATAGGGCTTACTCAACAGTAAACATGCACAGATTACAAACTCAACTGTGTACATGAACTTAAAAGTTCAGGTTCTTGCAACTGTTTTCGACCGAGAAATAGGAAACAATTAAGCATCAGACCAATATGAACATTTTGGTTGCATTTAGTCGGGGAAGAAGCAACAATATCAAAGAATCTACTGGGGGTATCACCCTACTAGTCCAGTCCTTGTGCCTTCAAATCAGAGCTTGTAACTCCCTCTGGCAGCTCAATCATAACTCAGTATAGCTTGTATATGCTGCTCCTATATACCACTATAGGAGCTAAACTGTTTCTCACCATAGGGTGACACTATGCACTGAAATATCTACATCCACTGAAAGAGATTAATTTCTTAGACTCCATAACTGATTAATTTCAGAAATCAAGATTGGATTGTTCCAGACTTAGTCATGCTATGAGCAGACCTACTGAAGTCAAGGAGTGTTCAGTTACTCATAATTAACAAGTTACATTGATTTTGATGAATATTCTTCTAAGTATGATACAGTCTCAATCCAAACTATCATCATCAGAGCAAATAATGATCTGTACATAAAAACTGATGATTAAAATAGGTTTTTAAAGCAAGAATTTAAATAAATTTAATTGGACTTGTGTTTATAATTTTGAAATTGTAAATGCTAAGCTTTTAACTCAGTTAACATCAAAGTATCTGAATTTAAGAACATTAGCCTTACAGTTAATTTTCTATATTCTAATAAACATCAAACTATCACAAACGACTATGGCTGCTGATCATAAGAAAAACCCTATATAATAAATACAATGCAACAAAGAGATGCTACAAAGAACAAAACAGTGTAAACACATAATTCAGCTGTAATTATAAGGGTTAGTGGTCAGATCTGCACAACTGTTTATAAAATCTCTAAACCTGTGCCAATAATGGGAATCTTGATTTCAATACACCTTTGTTTTCCTGCTTGCTGAAATTATGAATCGGGGGGGGGGGGGGGAGTGAAGACAAGAAAGGAAGAGATCTATTTCTGCTCCACTTTGAGAAAATTTACCATTAAAGCCTTTCAAAGTCGTAGTCAAATAGCTTTTGGAGTCAGACCCCGTTTCCTGCTACCTATCTTCACTTTGAGTCCTTCTAAAATTACTAATGAAGAATTGTATTCTGGCTCTGAACCAAGATTTGGTCCTCAACCATGAGGGTTAGATGCTCGACTCCATACAAACAACAGGTAAGCTTTTCCTAAAGTACTAATTCTCCACCTAGATAAAGGATTTCATGTTTGCAGAGCAAATTCATAGAAAGTGGTCAGACTAAAGGGGGAATTGTGATACACTGAAGCTATATTGCAACAAATACATATATTGTAATATTACATGAACATAAACATTCACAGAAGTACAGTAGAGATGGCGACTGCCCATACAGCGCACCGATTTCTAAAATCCTCAGTTTCCGGAGATTTTTCTGCCCAGCTCATTCTATCTCCCCCTTCTAAACAGCTTCCAGGCCTCAGAAACATCAGGTGCACCTTCATTTTACTAACCCTAACCCTACCCTGGATTGCCCTGTAACATTGAAATCTGGCATAATTCCCCATGCAGCACACCGATTTCTAAATTCCTCACTTTCTGGAGATTTTTCTGCCCAGCTCACTCTATCTACCCCTTCTAAGCAAGAACCCCATGTGTAAAAGGTGTGGAAGACAAAACGGCAACGCTTACCTGAATGGGCCGCACTTGTGGAGGACAGGATTCCAGCTGTTTCGCAGAGTCTTTCATCTCCTGTGGGGGACGCCGTTGCACAATATATTCATAGGTGGTTATTCGGTGCCACACTGAAAAGGGAGAAAAGAGGGTAACTTAGCTCAAAAGGAAAGAAACTCTGTCTCTGGCTAGAAAACGTATGTTACTGTTTGTAAGACAAGGTATCTTTTTAGCTAAAGAAAATACTTAAATGCTTTAAATGAATGAATGAATGATCCACAGATTACAAATTAATTAGGTATCTATTAAGCAATATGGCAAAGACTGCACAGACATTTCTCTGCTTCAGATAAAATAGTAATTGGTGGCCTCCGCAAACAGGAACACTCCCACTCCCCTATTGCCTGTCCAGACCATCAGTGAAAGTGTGTCCCAACCACATTTTTAACCTTCCACCAAATGCTGCACACAACCTCCAACTCAGGCAAATTGACACAGGGTCTGGTCCGGGCAAAATTAGTGGATGGACGCAGCTGTCGCATTTCAGTTACTGCCCCACCATTTGAAAGTCAGGATAGAAATGCACTGCACTACTGGAGAATGTGAGAACACAACCTTTAAAAAAATCCTGCATAAAACCAAAGTTTAAGTACGCTACATCTGAGGGAAGCCAGAACCTTCCATTAGCCTAACTAGAATTATGAACAAGTGCTGTTTGGCCCCTTCTCTATAGAACTATCTCCTCAGTGAGCATTCCAGATTGTTATTCTCAAAGATCAATTAGGTAAGAACTGGTTCCAAGATGTGCTGATTCCTCTCTCTGTATTCCCTTTTTCTTTTGTGTTGAATTAACAGGTAAGCTTACTGAATCAAGAAGCTCCCTATATAAATCTCACCTCTGCCACAGGCTTCATAGATAGGCCTGGGAAAGCCTTTCCCAGCCTCAGCCTGCCCATTTGTGCAACACTGCAACAAATACTCCCCTACAGAGTTACAGTAAGAATTTTATCAACATACTGACCAAGGCTACACATTCAAAGAGTCCTTCCTGCCTGCTTCCTCTTTGCATCCAGTTTTGAAGACAATGTCCTGGTTTGTTCAACGTGATATGTGAACCCACAACTTTGGGTTAGTGAAGTTGAAGCAATCCAGAATTTAAATACTTTGGCTTATTTGTTTATTATATATCTTGTCTTTTTTCCTTGTTGAGTCAGAACTCCAGGTTGTTTCTTTCTCAATAAGACAGAATTCCTGCTCTATACATCATGCAAACCTGGTCAGTTAGTTGGTTGATAGCTGCATCTAGAGTCCATATATATATGAAATGCTCTGAATACTCTCTCTGAATGTTCTATGTAAGTGCTTATATTTCTTTTACTACTGCTATTACTAACACACTAAGGGGAAATGCAGGAGTAAACATTTATCGGCCAGGAGTTTCAGAAAGCAAACACTACCATTTTCACAAAGTGAATGTAAGGAGGAGTCCAGTTAACTTGGGCAACAGTACAAACAAAGAAGTGATACCTACTGAGATAAATGTGGAAGACCAGCAGGTGACCCAACAGGAACAGAGTCAGCAGCCCCAGGAGAATAAGTACTGCAGCCAAAGCCAAAATAGCAGGTCCTTGTGTCTCAATGGGAGCAGCAGGCAGGAACACAAACCACACATCCGTTTGGTTCTTCAAGCCTACAAAAGATGAATTAAGAGAATTTATAGTCATGCAGCATTTGAAGAAAGAAAGCTGCACCAAGCATGCACAAACTGCTTTTCCTTTGCTGGAAAATAAACACAGGAAGCAACTTGAAGGAAGCTTTGAGACACAACATGTCTTTTTAGGAATTAACTATTATGAAATTTCATCAAATCTGTCTTGAGCTTAGAAAACACTCTTACAGTATGCAATTAACAGAATATTTATCAAGAGAGGTGCTCCCTAACCAAGAGGAGCACCTCCATGCAGGGTAGGATGATACCTTCAAAGTGCTGGTCAGTGCGCAACCTCATAGGGTTGAGGAAGAACTCCACAAAGACGTAGAAAGCGATGAGCAGGGTTAGGAGAAGGCCTAGGATGGCAGATATCACACTGTTCAGAAAGAGCCTGCCAAGGAAGCAGAATATCTTTTAGCACCTTCTCGTCAGAATGGTTAATGGAAGTAAACTTGTGGCCACAGGTGCCAAGTGATACTGGAAATGCAAGTCTTAGGTATACCTTGACAAAAGTTGGAGAGATCATAAGCCCAGCTAAGTTATGAAGTCAGGCCTACACTCTTGCCCAACATGATGCATCAGCACTTCAGCACACACACTACAGTGCAACTGTTTCATACATAGGATTTGACTTGTAGCATACTTGCCAAAAGAGTATAGCATGAACCACTTCACTCCTATGAAAGCGTCTTTCCCAGCTAGAGGGAACAGAGTGAGAGAGTCAATTGTATGTCCAGTTGTCTGAGTTGGGTTTCAATACTAGCAACCTGGCTAGAAGTTCCAAACTCCAGAAATTCTGAATGGTGTTCTCTTTTAAGGGTCACTGTAAATATTTTGTATAGAATTTTGATTGTGATTTTAAGCGTGTCCCCTAATCTATGTAATACAATGTAAAAACAGAGAAAAATTGATTATTTGAATGGTAGAGATACTATATTGCACAAGGTGCAGGGACAGGCCAGCTGTCTTGCAGCGGCTTTGCTTGTATATAACCTGTTGTAAATGCATGCCCATACCAATAGTTCCGCTCTCCTACACAATTGTTGAGCCACATGCAATGATGATCAAAACCGCACACACACTTGTTGCAGGTCCCACAGTGTTTTGATTTGGCGCTCCTGCAACAAGAAAGGAAGGGCAATGTTCATGCAGCTAAAAACCGGCAAAGCACACTATGGTTGCTCTCCCCATTCACCCCCACAATTCAATGCCTAAAAACAATGACAGATGAAAAATTAGCTAGCACAGCTGGCTGAACTAAAGGCTAATGCCATGCACACCCTTGCTCCTTGTGTCACTTTCAGTCAGATGACACATACAAATAAACTTATTCCTGCATTTTGCAGCAATCCAAATCCTACTAAAATGCATGGGGGCTGCACAAGACCTTGGCTGTGCTCATACCTACTGTTGGCTTCTATGCTTCCTAGCAGTACATCTAAGCAAAACTGTTCTAGTCCTTGTCACTGAGGCAATCATAGCAACAATAAGGGCCTTGTTGCATAAAAAGAAGCCCTGTAGGACCACTCTCAGCATAAGCAGCAGTGCTCCACTGTTCCTGCAGTGTCAATGACCTCCTGTTGCCGGCACAATGCAGTGCTGCTGCTGACATCAAGTGCAAGATGAGGCCACACAGACAAAGAGTCTACTGGAAGTAGAAAATAATCACAGTGGAAATATTAGCTTGCATAACCTGAACAAAAGAAAAAGAAAAAAAATGAAGATTAGACAGTTACGTGGGCTGCTTAGTACATAAGGAATGACTACTTAGTTGGTATGTTCTTGGGAAACAACCTCACGTTCAGGAAATTCCTAGTTTTTTGACTGATCTCAGTGCAAATAAGCAAAGGCAAAGTATCACTAAATGACTTGTACGTTTCATCTGATGTTTTCAATATTGACTGCTACCTCCAAGAGAAATAACTTAGAAAGAGCAAGACTAACTATACTTACACATCAACATCACAGATGTGGCAGTGGCGGTTTTCAATGACATGAGCATGCTGATTCCGATTGAATGTGGCAAGAGGTCCCTGGTAATTCTTTTCCCGTACTCTTTCATCAGCAGGGTCAATGGAAACTGCTGTAAGATGAACTATTAGATGGCAGAAAAAAAACACCCCAGGACACTGAGGCAGACAAAGTTAAGGATTGTCCTTGCATATTTAATGACTTGAACCTTTCAAGATACTTTCCAAGTAGACACAATATCAGTTAAATATATTATCAAGAAAAAGGTCCACTCTTTTTGTCATCAACTGAATCTAATGGTTCATATGATTATTCACTCACTCACTAGGTGCAAGAAATGGAAATTGAACAGGAGTTATGGACAGAGTTATCAGTAGAAAATATTCTCACAGCAAAAGGGTATTAAATAAAATTGTGTTTATTCTTTATGGCTTAAATGCAAGAGTCCTATAAAACCAGAGAAAAGCAAAACAGTTAGGAGATGAGAAAAAAAAACCCTGAATGACTTTGGGCATCAAAAGTTAACCACCATTCCTAAAAGACTGGACTACTCTCACCACAGATGCATAGCAACTAAATCTGGAACACAATACTGAAGCATTAATGCACAAGGATACAATATACCCAGCAGGAACCCAGTGAACAGGTAGGAGTGGCACGAGGATGCCAAAGCCAACCAGTGCAAAGAAGAGGTAAAGCAGCCAGGCAACAAACTGGAATGGATGTGGAGGCCAGCTCCAGCCATTTCTCCGGGCATGCTGTGACTGGACCTCGAGAACTGCTTCATCACTCTTCTCTGGTGCTGTTTTGTTAGGTGGCTTATTGCAGATGTTCATCTACCACAAGAAAGGAAACAAAAGAAAAGAGTCCCTAATTGAAAAGCATAATAGCTGAAAAGATGCTTTCCCGGTAAGTCCTAGATGGGAAATTTACCATGTTAATTATCTTGCAGTCAAAACATTCTGTGCAGGTATTCAAAAAGACCACTGAATGGACAGTTTCACATAGTGTGTCACGTGTAGCTTTCCTTAGAGAAGGACTTCTCAATTAGACAAGGTTAAGTGACACAGCCTATCTTTGACAGTTTAGAAACTTACTTAGGCTAGGTCTAAACTTACATTTACCATGTTATAAGGTACTAACTCTCATAAGGTACCACTCTCATGGCAGAAAGTGAAGAGGAACTAAAGAGGAACTTGATGCGGGTGAAGGAGGAGAGTGCAAAAGTTGGTCTGAAACTCAACATTAAGAAAATGAAGATCATGGCAGCTAGTCCTCTCACTTCCTGGCAAATAGATGGGGAAGAAATGGAGGTAGTGACAGATTTTATTTTCCTGGACTCCAAGATCACCGCATACGGGGACTGCAGCCAAGAAATTAAAAGACGCTTGCTCCTGGGGAGGAGAGCTATGGCAAATCTAGACAGCATACTAAAAAGCAGAGACATCACCCTGCCAACAAAAGTGCGTTTAGTCAAGGCTATGGTTTTCCCTGTTGCAATGTATGGCTGTGAAAGCTGGACCATAAGGAAGGCTGAGTGCCAAAGGATTGAGGCCTTTGAGTTGTGGTGCTGGAGGAGACTCCTGCAAGTCCCTTGGACTGCAAGGAGATCAAACCGGTCAGTCCTAGAGGAGAACAACCCTGACTTCTCTTTAGAAGGTCAGATCCTGAAGATGAAACTCAAATAGTTTGGCCACCTAATGAGAAGGAAGGACTCCCTGGAGAAGAGCCTGATGTTGGGCACAATAGATGGCAAAAGAAGAAGGGGACGGCAGAGAATGAGGTGATTGGATGGAGTCACTGAGGCAGTTGGTGTGAGCTTGAGTGGACTCCGGGGGATGATGGAGGACAGGAAGGCCTGGAGGAATGTTGTCCATGAGGTCACAATGGGTTGGACACGACTTCGCGACTAACAACAACAAGGTACTAACCTGAGAAATGGTTGCTCTATACATTTTTATGGAATTTATGACATTTTTCACACAGTAATCATCAATGTTTTGTGTCTATGTACTTTTTACTGCAATGCAGAAACATATCCCATCAAGCATAGATGGTAATGAAATGAACTTGCCTTCTATAGCACCCACTCTCAATTAATACTGCAACTCTGGTGGGGCAGACTAATAACTCTCTCCCTCATGCCAATACTTTAAAAAAGAAGTGCCAGATGGCCATTCTAGTACTCTGCCATTCTCACCACTGGACAAAATGCTTTGGCAGACAACTTCTGCAGGAACTTAAAGCAAACATTATACTTAGTGCACAAGTAAGGCAGCACAGGGGCAAGCAGACTTCATGCTTCCGGGATCTTTGATTTTTTTTTTTTTTTAAGGGAAGGGGTTAACTTGCGAATAAGATTCATGAACTAGAGCTTGGTGCAAAAGGAATCTACTTTGAGTAAAATAATTCTGAGCCCTGTAGTTTGCTTTATATACCAGAACTGAACAGAGATCAAAATCCTTCTACACAAATCTACATTAAGCTCTTCATTTCAGCACTTCACTGTAATATGGACCAAAGAATGGATTTTTGCTGCTATTGCTAAAAGACTGGTAGTCAGAAATTTTTACTTATTTACTGCAAATCACCCAGAGATATACCAGTAAGTGCAGGTCTACTTTCTGCCCACTGCCAGGATAGCGTATGCAATAATTAAGGATTATTTGAGGTGAACAGCATTCAACACAGCATAACATATGCATGTGAGACGCATTATAAAAAACTAAGATCATGGGAAAACGCCACAAATTCTGATGTGACCATAACATTTACAAATAGAATAACCTAAGGCTGTTGGAAACCTAGAAGTTCCACATGCAGGCTTCCCTTACCCCAGCAACAAGAAGATGGCCTCAGTTTTACAGTAAAGGCCTCCTCAATCTGATCATGTAGCTCCTGAAGAGTTCTCATAAGGCCCACAGTCTTTTCTCTGTAAGCAAAATGAAGTGAAAGTGACTTAGAAGAATTGAAGGATATTAATATTACAAAAGTGTTGTTTGTTTTAAAAAGAAACTTAAAATCTTTAGAATTGTAGAATCAGAGAATAGAGCTGGAAATGGCAAAAGGGCCATCAGGTCCAACACCGTGCTCAGTGCAGGACACCAAGTTAAACTATCCTCTTCACATGCCTCTAATGTGGAAGAGCCCACAACCTCTCTAGGTAATTGGTTCCATTGTCATACTGCTGTAACCATCAGGAAGTTCTTCTTAATGATCAGGGGGAATCTAACTTCCATGTTCTGCACTCTGGAATGATCAAAAAGAGATCCTGGCCTCCTTTGCGGCAATCTTTCAAGTACTTGTAAGGTGCTATCATATCTCCCTCTGGTCTTCTTTTCTTGAGGCTAAACATACCCACTTATTTCAATTTCTCCTCAGAGAGCTCTGTTTCCAGTTCCTAGATCATCCTTGTTGCCCTTCTCTGAATTTTTTCCAGCTTGTCTGTATCTTTCTTAAACTGTGGTGCCCAGAACTGGCCACAATACTCCAGGTGAGGCCCAAGAGTGCTGAGTAAAGGGGAACTAGTACTTCATGTGATTTGGGAGTGATACTTCTATTAATGCAGCCTAATCACATTTGCCCTTGTTTGTTGACTCATATTCAGCTTGTGATCTACAATTCCAAGATCCTTTTCACTTGCCCCACTTATTACTGCTCCCCAGTTTGAGAAGATGCCACTGATGATCATTTTTGAGTCCAATTCTGTAGCCAACTGATAGTTGTTCAATCTAGCCCACTTTTAGCTAGTCTTCTAATCAGACTATCATGGGGCGTTTCGTCAAAAGCTTTGCTGAAGTCAAGATATATTATATGCACAGCATTCCCTCAGTCTATTAGGGAGGGTACCAAATCAAAACATGAAATCAGATTTGTTCTTGAGAAATCCAGATTGGCTTCTAGTAATCACTGCATTGCTTCCAAGATGTTTGCAAACTCACTGCTTTATAAATTGATCCAGAATTTTCCCAGGGATTGATGTCAGAATGACTGGTGTGTAATTCCCAGATTCTTCTTCTTCTCCTTTCTTGAAGATGGGACAACATTAGCCCTTCTCCAGTCATCTGACACTTCCCCTGTCCTCCATGATCTCTCAAAGAGTAGGGACACTATTTCTGAGAGTCCTTCTTCGTGACTCTAGGATGGAGCTCATCAGACCCTGGAGATGTTAACTCATTCAACCCAATGAGATGATTCTTGACCATTTCCCTATCAATTCTCAGCTGCCATCCTGCTCCTTCAGTTTGCACTTCCTCTTCATTGGAAAGGTCATAGAAACTTCTTTTGGCAGAAGATTGAGCCAAAGTAGGAGTCTGCCTTTGTCACCTGTTACCATTTAGTCATTCCTACTCAGCAGCTGAACCCCCATATCTTTCCTCTCTCTTTTACTTTGGACATATTGTTGCTTTTAGCATCCCTTGCTCATCCAAGATCATTCCTAAGCTTAGCCTTCCTGACCACATTCCTGCAATACAGGCCTATATTCTTCCTTTGTAGACTTGTCTTCCTTCTACTTCCTTGTCATGTCTAGTTTTGTTTTCAGATAATTTCTAAACTTTTTGTGAAGTCACATGGGCTTCTTTTGCTGTCTTCTAGCCTTTTCCCTGTTGGAACTGTAATTGTACCTTTAAATTTTCCTTTTAAGAATGTATGTATATATTTATTTTAAAATATTTATATACTGCCTACTCCACCTACAGTATCCCCTGTGCAGCTCACACTACTAAAACAACACATTCTAAAAACGCACAAGAATTTCCACCCATCTTGGACTCCTTTTCTCATTAGAGTCACTTGCCATGGGACTTTATTTATCAGTCTTCTGAGTTTATTAGAATTGGCTTTCCTAAAATCCAGGGTATGTGTTTGCCTACATTTGGCTTTTGCTTCCTTTTGAATCAAGAATTCAAGTATAACATCGTCACTTTCCCCCAGAGTTTTCTGTCCACTAGGTCTTCCCTGTTGGTTAGTATCAATTCAAGGACAGCCACTCCTCTTGTTCCTTCCTTCTATTGAAGGAAGTTATAAACAACACGTTAGGAATCACTTGGAGGGGCCGTGTTTGGCAGAATTTGACTACCAACAGGTATCAGGGAAATTGAAGATCCCCATAACTATGACATTGTGCCTCCTTGAAACACTGGGAATTTGCTTTCCAAAAGTTTCATCCTCATCTTCTCTTTGACTGAGTGGTTGGTAATAGACTTCAACCACTGTTTGTTTTATTCCTTGCTCTATTTATATTAATCCAGATGCTCTCCATGGGGCTACTAAGCTCATCCTCCTGTGTTTCTGTGCAAATATGTATCTTTAATGTCTAGTGCAACTCCATCTCCTTTTCTGTTCCTTCTGTTTTTCTTCAACAGATTATATCCTACAATGGTTGAATTATAATCATGGGAATCATCCCACCAAGTTTTTCTTATACCTACCAGGTCGTATTCACCCTCCTGTATTAAGAGTTTAAGTCCACATTGTTTTTTTCTCATACTCTGGGCATACAGACATTGAAGACCACATGCTTTATACTCTAGCTTTCTTCCTACTTTTTTTTTTTTGGAAGACTATTATTGGGCTTTCTCTGTTATGCTGCATAACCATTTGTCTGTTGTTATGCACAGGTATATGTCTCTCTCCCTTGTAGGATTCAGTTTAAAGCCCTCCTGATAAATGTATTCATGCTGTAGCCAAACACATTCTTTCCAGTCCTTGTAAGTGGAACCCATCCTTTGCCAGCAGTCCGTCTTCCAGGAAGTTTAGCCAGTGGTCTCAGAATCTAAATCTCTCACGTTGGCACCAACTTCATAGTTAACGCTTCCCCCTTTCTATTCCTTCCCCACCCCTTTCTATTCCCTTTCCCCCCCACCCTTTATATTCTTTTTTCAAGAACTGAAAGGATTGAAGAGAAACCTATCTCAGCCCCAAAATTCTTGACTTTTCTCCCTAAAGCTTCAAAGTCTGATGTGATTTCTTCAAAGCGCTCCTTGGCAGTGTACATAAGGAAGGGATACATGTCAGTGGGCAGGATGAGCCTTGGCAATCTTTCAGTTATACCACTAATGTGTCCTCTGGGGAGATAGCATACCTGACAAGTCCATGGGTCTTCCTGAGATACATGTGTTTCCATCCCACGCAACATGGAATATCCTACAACAAAAACTCTTCTTTTTCTTGCAAGCCTTGGTATTGTTGCCACTACTTGTTTGATCTTTAGCCTGTCATTCAGTGTTGCACAGGATGGTTTGCAGTTCTTTCACTGCAGCCTGCCCTCCAGTCTCATCCTTGAATAATTTGAAGGTGGTGCCATAGTTCCATTGCTTCCACTGGTGCAGACTGTCTTCTTTTGCTCCTATCCTGCTTTTCCAAGGAATTTCCTCCTCATTTTTCTTACCTCAGGATTCTCCTCTTCTGCCTCACTTTGCTGTTCCACTTCTCACTTCTGTACTACTCTTCATCTTCTTTTATTAGCTTGAGGGTTGACATTTGTTGCTTTAGTGCTCTCACTTCTTCTAACAGAGCTACTAGCTTGTACTTGTTGCACATGTAGGCCATGTTGACCTCAAGCAAGAAAACGAACATTGCACAGATGCTGCAGGTCACCACCACTGGGTCCATTCTTGGTCCATTCTTTCTGCTGCCTTTTTGATTTTACTGTAGCTTGCTGGGCCTGTTGTAACAACCAGTGCTTTCTCCTGTTCTCCCTGAAGGTTAACAACACAGTCCTACCAGCAAATGGAAGTGTATTACAAGCAAGAAAAGAAAGGAGGTGGAGGATCTAAAGGGGGAGGGGGTAAACAAAAAAAGCCTTCAGTAAAGCAATACTGTTTGTCTTTTGTTTTAAGTTACACTGCACTGAAAGTAATCTTGTAACTTTAGTTGAACCCTTTGAACCATTTAATCTTCTATTTATTGAAGACAAGTTTGTCTGTTGCAGGCAATGTGTTACTGTACTAATACCATCCATTCCTGCTGAGTAAAGACTGCTTTATTCTACAGTAAATGAAACTGTCTGAACGTTAAAAACTAGAAGAGGCATGCTGTCCAACATCTTCTTTAGCCTGTCAAATTGGGACAAAGCTATCACTTTTGTAAGAGGAGAGATTCCATAATTCTCTTCTAGTATTGTACAGGAAACATTAGGTATAAATGCAAGGACAAATTTATAGCATGCGTGCACAGACATGATGTACAGTTCCTCAGATAACACTTGAGATCTGTCACCAAGCCCCCTAGGCAAACACTCATTGAGGGTAAGACTATTGGTGGCCATTTGTCCTTTTGGCCAGATGCTACCTCCCATATCAAGAAAACTCAGTCTAGGTACAGGAGCTCCTGGGGAATATGACAGGGAGGCTGCTGGGGTACTCACATCCAGCTCGTGGCTTTCTTGTGGGAGCTGGCTGACCACCACATGCACGGAATGCTGGACATAATGAACCCTTTGCCTAATCTAGCACAGTTCCTTGTATATTCCATAAAGTAAATGAAGCTTTCTGTGTGATGTCCCATGGACTGATTGGCTAAGGTGGTTAAAATTATGGAAAAAAAATCACTGGTCAAGAAAACAGAGTTAATTGATCTAAAATACTTCTTTCATGGACAAGGCTATTATATACAACCTTCAGATTGAACCTGATAGATATTGAGGCTGATAGATGTCAAGGCCAATATTTTTAAATTAATGAAAGGAAAGGTGCATTCTTCCCATTCCCACCCCAAACATTTCATGTGCGCATGCACACTCTTTTTCTCATATACATGCTGTGGGTCCTGGTCAAGTACCCCTTTTGCTCATTCGGTAAAAGAAGCCATCAATTAGAGAAGGGAACTGGATAAAGTTTATAAATCATAACTGTCCAAAAGCCTCTGGCAGAATTTAGGAAAAAGTCAGTCAGTGAAAGGAAAGCACAAGTAATGGAAATTTCCATTCTGTTTCTACATCACAGCATATTACACAGTCAAGTCATGCCATACAGCTCAATTAAGTACTTCCCTTTTAGTGGCCATCAACTGAACTGAAAACCAATACAGGCTAAACCTGCATAGTAGGGATGGGGCATCCCTAGAAACACTAAGTAACATAGCTAGTTATGTACAATAGATGCCTTTCGGCTTAAACTTTACTGTTTAGTGCCTAAAGGACAGCATGCAAAAAAGGCTTCCTAGAATGCATAGAGAAAGTGAGAGGTGTTTGTCCAATAAGAAGAATCTTGAAGGTAGATTTCTATGCATGGCACTAAGAAATAGAACACAGAGTTCCCATTTCAGATGCCAAGGCTAACACAGTGATCCCCCATAAACTTGTCATTTAAAAATAAAACTATTCGAAGGTGGTGGATGTTTCAGCATTTTGTGACAATTGATTCCATGTGTTACTCATGCAAGGAATCAGTTCCTTTGATCTGACCCCAACCAACTACCAATTAATATTGTCAAATAAATTTGAATGAAGAGATGTCAAATTCTTCTCCTAAGACAGAATGAACAGGACTGCTCCCCCCACCAATTCCCTGTCTCATCTTTTTACAAGCCTATAATTCATTTGACACCCTCTAAACCAGACCTGGGCATTGTACGGCCCACAGGCCACATCCGACCCGATGGCTGACCCTGACTGGCCCGCATGAGGTAACTGGCAAATTAAAAGTCAATGCAAATATATATCGTTGTAATATAGATGCAAGCAATACAACTGCACTGCTTTTATTTTGAAGGATCTGCTAAATTGAATTGAATTTATTGCTTTTCATGTAATGTTAATGTTAATGTTTTTGTGAACATTCAGTAAATAGTGTTGTTCTGTGCTCCGCATTTTCATTGTATCATTGTAATGTTTCATTTACTGTTTTTATAGAGATATATATTGAGCAGAGCTGTAAGTGTATTGGTCCAGCCCTTAACAACTGTCAAAGTTTCTCATGTGGCCCCATAGGAAAATTAATTGCCCACTCCTGCTCTAAACCCTTCTATCCATGTATAAACACAGATCACGAAATTCCTGGACAGAATCACTTTTATATTCTACTGCGCAGAAGAAGCGGGCAGCTTTCTCACTTGTAGGATCTACTTTGCTTTCTACTTAACCCCAAGATCCACCAACTGGAGTTAGCTGCAAATTATGAGGGAGAGGAGATCATACATGTGGAATGACAGAATGCTATTTTGTTTCTAGGACATGAACTGACTTCACAGCTCTCTCACACAAAAATCCACTTTTCTCCTTATGTTAAGAGCCTAATTTAGGAAGGGTGGAAACAGGCCTTCTCAATGTTGCTATCAAATAACTGGATATACCCTAACTGATCTATGATCTACTGCAAGTCTTTCAGAGATCTACTAGCAAATTCAGAAGCATTTTCTACCCATCTTTGCTGCAGAGTATCTAATAGTAACACTGATTAAGTATTAAAAAACAAATGTCTAAGCTGCTTATATTTTAAAGTAATTTAAAACCTTCAGAAGCCTAGGCATGAGGAAATTCAGGTGTGACTGAAATAAAATATTCGGTGGAGGAACTGGGAAAATCTTGGGCCAGGCAATACTCAGTGAGGTCGAAGAAAGTGATTATATAACCTAAAAATTGGGGACAGTCTGTCTTTTTTTCTTTTTCTTTTTTTGGTCAACTGACCTTCAGCAAAGGAGAACAAGCCAAGAAAGATAGTCTTGTGTGCACTGGGCATCCAACAGGACAAAAAATGTCAGACGGTGTTATGCACTAAATGGAGAATCATGTCGTCACTTCAAAATAGATTTAATTCCAGGGGCAAAGCTCTGTTAGTCTATTGCAACAAGAACAACAAAACCTTGTGGTACCATAAAATATTAAGAAATTTATTCTGACAAAAGGCTTTTGTGGACTAGGGTTCCCTTCAAACTAAGGCTATTAGTGTTTAAAGTGACTAAACAGCCCATGTAGTGGTTAAGAAGGGAACTAATGTGGCAAAGAATCAAATCTTCACTTGGCCATGAAACTTACTCTGTTACTTTTGGCCACTCATGGACTCTCAGCCTAACCTATTTCACAGGGTTTTTGTGAGGACAAACAAGGAGGGGAGGAGAAGGAGAGAGTACTGCCTTGGGCTCATTGGAAGAAATGTAAGATAAGAAATGTAATGCAATGTAACAATAAAATAAAGAGTAGGTCACTTAAGGCCACACATGAAGCTCCCTGCAGCAGCACAATCCTCAACACATTTATTCAGAAGTCAGTCCTACCTAGTTGAATGTTTGTTTTCCTCCCTGGATAAGTACAGTGAAATCTTGCATTTTTTTTAACTTGGAAGAATGTTACTTTAAAGTCAGTGGGGTTTCATTACGAGTCTGCCTGTATAGCATAGCATAACTGTACCCCTGTAGCCCAATCCTATGTATATAGGAAATAAATAATAAATATGTATACTTGGAAATAAATAATTCTATGTACATAACTTTAATAGAGTCAAGTCTTAAGGAAGTGTGTACAGTATGCTAGTGTCTATTTACTATTGAGTAATCATGCCTTGGCTGGCACCACTAGTAACTTTGGAGCAATGCCTAACATTAAGTCTGGAGACAGAACCTGGACGATTCTATATGCAATAAAAACAATAGTTAAATGCATATAAACTCTGGAACAGCCCTTTTCCAACCCTGGTGCCCTCCAAAGATGCGGAAAAAGAATTCCCAACATTCCCAGGACGATGCTGGCAATTGTAGCTCAACACTTCTGGAGAGGACCAGAGTTGTGGAAGGGCTGCTTGGAGGGTGCTGGGGCCGCCCGACACTTCTGAAGGGCGACGGGGTTGGAGAAAGTCTATTCTCGAACCAGAAAGAGGCCAGTGGCAGAGCTCCATACCCAGCCGTGGCACAGTGCCGCCCCTCTGAAGAGGCACTTCCACAGAGGTCTGCAGAAAAGCACAAGTCCCCCCAGCTCCATTTTCCTAACATCCCTCATGCTACAGCGCCCCCCGACTTCACAGCGCCAACAGCCCCACAACTGGAGGGGGGGCTTCCCCCGTCCTACCTTCTCTCCTCTCTTCCCCGCCCCCCCAGTTCAGAGGTTGTTCCGGGGGCGGGCACGCATCCGCCTCATGCCCGGGAGCGGGAGGGCGCTGGGGAGGCCCTTGCTCAGGACGGGCCCTGCTGGACCGAAGGCTCCTCAGAGCGGATCAGGCCCGTCTCCATGGCGACATAAGGCAAGGACAGCCGGGCTCCTCCCTCTAAGCCACGCCCCGACCCGTCGGGTTCTGCGGTCCACCCACACCCGCGAGAGGCCGCCCCCTCGCGCTAGGCAGCGAGTACTGCGCCTCTCGCCTCAAAACACAGGCAGCACTGCTGTCTTCTTTTTGCTCTGCTCACGGCGTAGGAAGCGGCTTTCGATTCAGTCAGACCCTTGCTCCGCTAAAAGGCAGTAGCTTTTCAGGGTTTCTGGAAGATATTGCTTGAGGGTGGAGGGTCTGGATCTTTTGCATGCAAAGCAGTTGATCTACCGGGAATACAGTCCTTCTCTGCTGCGCTCAAGACCCCCAAAACCTTCTTATTACATAGCAGTCTTCAATCAAGATCCTTCCCCACGTCCCAGATCCTGCACAATCCCACTCTAACCTCTTTTTAAATACAGAAGACAACATTCCCCGACTTCACACAAACCACACAACTTCTTCCTAATCCAATCTGACACGACAGCACCCTTCCTCTTTTTTAGTTTCATTTGCCACTTTGGAACAGCTTCAGCTGGGCTCTTGGAAAACCTGCTGTTGCATTTAATGCCCAAGCTCATCGGAGAATGAGATATACATTTCTTGGAATATCTGCAGTGCATCTTTTGTCACCTACAACCCTTCCCATTCTGTTTGAAAGCTGACGGGTAGGACGCCCAGACACTAGCAAATCCATTCTTACAAACAGAATTAAGGATAATACACACCAGTGTGCGACAGTCTATCAACGTGGCTGTTTCGGATTCCCATTTTCCTCACAGAAGGCAGGCAGAGAATACTGGGCAAGTTGAGTTCAGAAATATAATACTGACAAATATGTCAGCTGTAAAAATATTTCAAAATCAAGAGTTATTTCTGTGGGATTTTAAAGTTCTATTTTCTATTACTAATCTTTTGCTCTGAAGATAGTACTTACCTGTAATTACTCAAAATTTCCACTGCTCCAGGAACATTATGGATACAGACACCTCATTTCTACTTGAAGCCATAGACCCACTGCAAAACTTCAATGCTTGCATACCTTCGGCAGTGAAAGCCCCAAAATAGAGAAAACCTTTCTATCTTGTTCTCCTGCTGCATATTTATCTCTTAGTCAACACAAATATCTGAGGAATAAAGGCTTCTGTTAAGACCCACCCAGGAGTACTGACGGAAACTGGCTGGCTGGCAAACATTAAGAAATCTTTAAAAAAAAGGGGGGGGGAATCCAAAATGCTGAAAGAAGCCAACTGTAAAAAATACTTAAAAAGAAATGGGCTGACACTCATTTTCTCCAGCCTACAACTTGGAATCCATGGAAAGCCTTACTCTACCAAGCCATCACAGTAAACCACAACTGCAAAATGAAATCTACACACATATACACAAATGTGGAGTAGGGCTTTTTCAGGAAAGGGAGAGGGAGTATTGGAGGGGGTACTGACCAGGTGACTGGCCAGGCAAGTTGTATTTTAAAAACTGAATTGAATGTTCTTGCCTTCCCTTGTAGCACTGAGCTTCTCGTCGCCCTCTGGGAATGATGCTACTCCCCATGTGGGCTTGCATCTACTGGAATGTCTCACTCTTGCCTTCGGATCATATTTGGGAGTTGGGGTACTAGGCATTTGGTAACAGAGCATGCACTGCTTTCCCTCCCTTCCCCATTCCACACAAAGGTTTGCTTTGAGAGGAAAAATCCCCCTTCAGATGTTATTCTCATCTACGCCTTGGAAATAGCTTCCATTTCTTCCACTTCTCCCACAGTGATGATTTTCGAAGCAACGGCCAGCACACACATTCACCCTCTTTGATTCTGATTCAAGCAGACATGCTGAAAATCCATTCTGAGATAAGAAGCCAAAGCTGCAGGAATTGCTTGGCACAGTCCAGGTAGGTAGTTCAGGGCTATTGTGGGGGATGATAACCTTTCTCCCATTTCTTGTTTTTCCACCCATCTGGATCATGGGCAGATTCACTTAAATGCTGAGCCAAGTTCATAAGCCTAAACTGGTTTGTGAAACCTCAATTTGTGCCTTCAACTGACTTGCCCATCCCTGCTTCTATCATTCCTCTCTATGCTCACGAAACGAGCATGGGGTGGAGGACGACGATGTTGCCCTCCATTTCCTGGTCTACTGATGCACTTTCTTCTGTATAGTGAATGAAGAAGTACATTTATAATGGTACTCGTGGTAATTTTTGCCTGATATATTGCAACTGATTAACCATTAAAAGGCCAAAAGGAAAAGGGTATGCAGCTGTGGTATTGCCATATCAGCCCCCAAAAGGTTGCCAACTTAAGATACAAATACAGGGTTAGAAAATAGGATGAAGCATTCCTATTACTACCATGTCGATCTGAATAGGCTTTCTTGCCTTTTTCACACTGTTCAACATTAATAATTTTCCCTCTAGCAAAATCAAGCAAAGTCCTAATGTTTTATTAAGCTGATGCAGCATAGCAATTGCAAACACACATTACATTACAGGACTTTCCCATCCCTGCTATTCAGCTGCCTGTAATCAGATTTGAGTCAAAGAATGTGTAAACCATCCCCAGAATGTAAAAACACATCCCAAATTTCCCTGTCCCTAGCCAAATACTAGATCATCATTGTCACAAACGATAATAGATTTGGATCACAGTATTCCAAGTTGTGATACTTCCTATCGAGACCCCGTTGGGAAATTAGGCTTTGTGGCTCTATGGTTTAGCCTCTAAAGCTCTATGCAGCCACCCGGTGTCAATCTACCCCAGGGAGTGCCACCCCTACAGTGTACGAATCTTTTGAGCCCACTGAGATTTGCAGATAGGACTCGACTCCCTTGGAAGAAGGTCAGATTCACAGGAAACCAGTTCAGGTTATTTTTGTCGCAGCACTTTACAATTCTCTGCCGAGAGAGATGTGCCTAAATTCTGCAGTCTTTCTTTGGTGTAAGTGGGGAAATGGACCACCATGTATGAAATATTTCTATTCCACTAGTTTCCTGTCACTGTCCTTTAAAAAGGCAGGCTTGACATGTGAGCTTTTGAACATCCCTGTAATCTTATTCTTTCACGAAATGATTTTGTTCTTTTATGAACTCTAGTTTTATTGTTTTTATTGGGTTGGCTTATTGCTTGTTTTGTATTTTGGTTTTATATACTGTGCCTGCCTAGAGTGATTTGGCAAATAGTTGAAACTTTGATCATATAAAATTACTCCACTCGCATATAGATTCTGTAGGTTTGTTGTTGGATTTTTTTTTAAAAATGTACCATTTCCTCAAATCCTGTAATACTTCCATCCATAGATTCATAGTACAGCAACATTTTATAAAGACATTTACACATCTTCAGTCCCCCAGAGGTTCCCACCCCTTGTTACAAGGCAGATGAAAGCCCTGTATCAGTTTGGTTACACTGTTCCAAAGCGATTTAGCTTTATAGTTAATTCCCATGAACCAGGGTGGGCGGGGGAAGGTGGGGATAAATGAGAGTAGAAGCCCCTGATGTTTTCAGATTGGTTCAAAAAGGTCACATCCCTGATAAACAGCCACATGGAGACAATGGGTGACACAACATCCATTTCCATGAGCACAGCTAGAAACGCTTCATCTGGCGGCGTTCTTGTCGGCGCTGCTTCTTCTCATTGGGCTCCTGGTTGGCAGCAGCAGAGTCTGCAGTGAGCCAAGGGCCCAGGATGTTAACCCACAGGAGATAGAGCGCCCTCCCTGGAGCCTGCAAAATATGAGCAAGGAAATGCACAGATCATAGAGGCATGCAGGAACACCGATAATTGAAAAGCAGAGTTGAGAATGAGCAAAAAGCTTGCTGGGCATGAGGGATCACCAAATTAAAGCCCATCTATCTCTAAAAAGTGCACCAGATTACTACACAGTTAATTACAATCTCGAAATATAAAAACTTGATTGCAACTTATTTCTTTTTAGAATGTAGTCCTCCATCTGAACCCTCTGTGTATTCAAAGTCCAGAGGTCTCTTCAATCTTTCATCTAAAAACATTCCAGATAGACACGCCTATCAGCACATCTAGCTTGCTTAGTGCAAAGTAAACAGGGAGGGTCAAGAGAACCTCTTGGATCCAGCAGATCCAGGCCTCTTCCTCCCCACACTGTCACTCAGAACACTTCCGTTTTCTCCCTCAGCTGCAAACCTGTAAATTGGATCTACTCCTCTGTGCTCACGGCTCTGTCTACAGACATGGAAGAACTGCAGCATCCCATGACTTTCCAGGCACAGTGCTAGGAGTCACAGGATTGCCCTGCCTGTGGGGAGTTTCTAACTGCTTCAGCACAACCAGAAAGCCTATATTTGTTCTCATCATTTCTCAAAGTCATCTCAGGCTCTTGTTCTCTATTAGCACCACATCAGAGGATCCACTGAGCTTCTGTTTTCCCTGCCTCTGGAATTTGGAGGAAAGCTACATATGATTTTATTTGAACATTTAACTTTATCCCTGCCAATTATTCACTTGCAAAAATATAAAACTCAAAAGCAGATTCAACTTGTATGCAGAGTAGAGAATGCATGAATTTCTGGTCAAGCCAAGTGCTGGATGACAAAAAGCACAAGCAACATAAACATGGGATCTGCAGACATACCTGGAAAAGAAAGGTAAGTGAGCGGCTATTTACATGCTGGGCAAAAAAGGAAAAAGACTTACCAATAGCCAGAAGTACCACACATAGAGGGAGAAACAACTGAGGACTTGCACTATAGCTGTAAGCAAGATCACATCCTTCAGATGCCTGAGGATGAAAAGAGTTGGTTTTTATTGGTGCAGAACACAGCATGAAGCCTCATCCATCCCTGTGGCTCCCAAACCTGCTACCACTCAAGAAGGACTAGGAGGAAGAGCTACAGAGAACAAGCCTAGCTCTATGAATCTGATGGGGGTGGGAGCCTCTTCCCACATGAGGCTCCATCAGAAAGATGGGGGATGTTGCCAATGCAGCCTGTCCAAGAGCCATAAGAAACACAACTGAAAGTTGATGCTAAGAAAGATGGACATGTGGACAAAGTCCACTGATCTACATTACTGTGTCCAGTTTTAGGACACAACATTTAGGAATGTCAATACCAGAGTGTATCTTGAAGGGCAAATCAAAACAGTGATGGGTATAAAAATCAAATCTGCGAGAAGTCATTTAAAGAGCTGGATACCTTTAGCCTGGAGAAACTTGCCAGTGCTGAAGATTAAGCAGACTTACTTCTTGTTGCTCCAGAGTCCAGAGTATGCAGCTACAAACAGTGAGTGGAAATTGCAAACACCTATTGGCTTAACTTTAGGAAGAACTTCCAAGCATAAGAATGGTTTGACAGGGGAACAGTCTGCCTTGGGAGCAGGTGGGCTCTCTTTGGCAAGAGGTATGTAAGCAAAGGCTTTAAAAGGTCATCTTCCAAGGATGATGTAAGTTGCAAGACTTAATTGGATTATATGCTTTGCAAGGTGCCATCCAACTCAAACATTCTAAGATGGTAAGAATAGCAAATCCAAAACCTTCTACTTACTAGGGAACAGATGGTTACCATACCTTTTCCTTACAAGTACCCAGGCTGTTCAAGCCAGCCTCTCCTCCCTCGAGCATTCCAAGAACCCCTGGATAGCTATTCTATTATGCTCTCTTTCCCAATCTCCTCTATCTAATCTAATGATACCACTGAGCACAGAAGCAAGACAGACAATTATTTTTCTATCTGCCATGGAATGCAAGATTCTAGAACTCAGATCTAAATTCCATAGCTAAACTCGTGTACTGTCATGATTTTTGGCCGATATTATTTACTCAGCACTGTTTGTTTTGCTGCCAGAGATTCAGATTTCTATAGTATTTGGGCAGGAAAGACAAAGAGTGTGAGGAACAGAAGTGCAAAGAGTATTTGGACAAAGTGAGAAGAAAGGACACAACAGTCCCACATATCCTAATCACAGGGAGTTCTGAACATCCTGCTTGTAGAGCACACAAAAATGAACGGAAGGCATCCCTTTCTCCCACTTTGCAGTAAAGAAGCTCAGGAGAGAAGCTTTGAGAAATCATAGCTGGTTCCCTGAAGACAGTGGAATCTTCCTGCTCTGGGGAAAAGGAGATCTGTGTATGCGCTCAGGCAGCAGGTCCTGCTCACCTGGACTTGTGTGGTGTAGACACTCACTCTGCCATCCCCTGCTCCATATTCAGGTCGATTCCACCATCAGCCAGGCTGCCATCATCCGTGAAAGAAGGTTTTGCCATGGAGCTCATTGAGCGGTAACTGGCCGCATAGACCATCAAACTGAACACAAATGCAATCTAGAATAAAAATACAAATATCGGTCAGGGGAAGCAGTGGGACCTCCCACCCAATTCTCAGTTAGAGAAGAACTCGCAGAACACTTAGAAGGTATCCACAGGTTTCCCATCAATGAAGACAGACTGGAATTCTTTCTAGTGCAGAAAACATTTAGAGTGCTAAAAAATTAAGGAATGGATGTTGCCAAATCCACTTGCCACAGCACCTCCTCCTGGTGAGCACGACAAGCATCAAGGGGCAGCTCAGAGGCACTTCCACGCAGTGTCATCCAACTGCATCATCACAGCATGAGCAACTTACAAGCTTTAAGGAGTTACAATCTGGGGCTACAGAGGACTCACCCAAGTCCATACAGTGGCTGTTACATAGAAGAACACAAGATTTACAATTCCATAAATGGCCTGAAATTGAGAGAAATAGAGTCAGAAGCCAAGTACAAGGAAAGAGAACAGACACAAAACAGCTCCAAATCTTCCTGCATTAAAACAACCAACAACCTGTTTACCCCTGAAAATCTGATTTAAATCCAAATGAAAAGCTCACTCTGTCTAAACCCAAATCTACTTCCCCATTATCAGACACAGGACTTTGCAAGGTGGCCATATCATACTAATTTTATTCCTTCTCAGACAGATAAGACGACAGACTATCCATGTCACTTGTTAAAGCTGGCATGGGGATTTGGTTTATTGGCAAAGAACAAAAACAAGCTATGAGTACTTCAGAATAGAATTAGATGAACAAAATCTGTTTCCCCCCACTTTCTTCCTTTCTCCAAGGAACTGAAGGCAGGGTATGTTGTTTTAGTTTGCAGCAAACAGAGATAATTTTCACATTGATTTTGAAGCCCCAGTGCTGTAGTCCTATCAAAGATCACCCTCTCAGGACTGCTATTTACACTGGAGGGGCAGTTCCCACTAATACCCATGAGCAGGGAGAGGAGCTGCAGCACCTGAAAGGACTAAACCCTATCCTCTCTGGCCCTGATTCTTCCTGCTGCCCCCGTGGCTGCTATTTGCTGTAATGCAAAACGACATGCCAAGTATGTGATTTGGCCCCGCGTGGGAATATGAATTCCCCACACTTTGTGTGGAATGCCCAGGGAGGCAGAAGTAGTGCTTCACTCACTTCCTGGAGCGTGTGAGGAACCAATCAACACTCCCTTGAACTTTACACAAAGCATACCAGATATATCTTGTTGTCCATTCACTTGTGCCAAGTGTGCCTGGACCGGAAGCTGTACCCTGCCTTGGAAAGCAGAAGTGAAAAACCGCTTCTGACCCAGCAGGTTCTCCCCATTAACAGCATGATTACCTGAAGGCCACGGTTATAAAGAAATTTCATCAACCAAAGCATGATTTCCAATCGAGGTCCACTTTTTGCTCAACAATCCAAAGTAGGCCATTGCCACTGCATAGAATTTATACAGACAAAGCATTACAGACTCACATTAGCACCAAGGATGATCCGCAGATAGAACTTGAGGGTTTCCTTGTTTTCTTCAAATATCTGCTTTTTACCTTTGGTTCCTACCTTTCCCTTTGGCTGGAAAAATAACAAAGGGAACAATTAAATCAAAGGATACATGTGTTACTTGTTTATATGCCTGTGTGTACCCCCAAGCCAAGTGCAGTATTAAATAAAATGGCACTTTTTATTTTAGTCAGGCTGGAGGGAGGATACAAACCAGAAGTAATATACTGCTAACAGTAACAGATTCAGTTCTAATGATATAATCCCATATTGGGCAAACAGGTTTTTCAATACTTTGATCTATTTTCCAGTCTCTCAGAAAGGGTTTGGGTGCTTTTCCCATCTTATTAAAAATTGAAGTTAATGTTGAGAATTGTACTGGCCAATTCAGTTGTGATATGACCCCAAGTCATACATAAATACAACACTCTGTTGTGTTGCAGATAGAAAACTGTGATTCGCGCATGGTGCATGTTGGGTGTAATTTGCACAATCACCACCCAGGCACAGTGTATTATATCATTCAAACTGGGTGAAATGGTTTGTCAAAGGATTAAATATTCTTCCAATAACCATCAAGCAACCCACAGATTCTGTTAGTGTTATTCAGCCCTCCAACAAGCCATGCTGCCTGGGTTTAGATGACACGATGAGCTGCACACAGGCAGTGTTTATGCAAATTGCATGAAGAACAAGCTACAGTGACTTGTTTAGATCATGTGAACTAGGTCTCTATCTGCAACACTACAGAGAAGAACCAGCAAATAAATTAAAAATAAAGGCATGGACACCTACACCTGCAAGGCAACATAGGACCAGAGGGTGTGGGTTTTTCCCATTGTTTTGCTAATAACACTGAGAACCAGCAAGAGGACCTCACATTTTTGCAATCACATTATTGCCAAGTATTCACTAGGTGGCTTTATCAGGATGCAATCCTATGTATGGAAGGAAGGAAAGGAATCCCTAGTTGAATGGCTATAGGGTGCAGCACTCATCTCTGTTCATGTGGACATGTGGCCAGCATGATGTCATGAAGCGCTATTTCCTCCTCACCAAAGTGGTACCTATTTATCTACTTGCCTTACATGCTTTTGAATTACTAGGTTGACAAGAGCTCGGGGTGAGCTAGGGTTGTATGCTCAGGCAGAAAAATGTTCTAACAGTCCAAACACATCCTACCACGCCTAGGATTGCACCCTTAATCTCTCAACTTTGGCCTCACCTTCCCTGCTGTCTGTAATATGGACATAATACTTACAAGGCTGTTGTAAAATTGACTAAAATCACCTCTGTGGAGCACTTTGAGTACCTTAAAATGCACTGATGCTTAGTATTAGTTGCAGCTCAAAGGTTCTGCCAGGAGAATCCTTAAGCACCCATGATAATCTGACCTGGCATCCATCATGGGTTAGGTTGAACCAACTATTGCCAAGCCTCCTTCTTATATAAATTAAATAGACCAGCTATTTAACTTAATGGCATACTACTAAAGATTATCAGCAGTATACAATAAAGTAAGTGTATATCAGGATGAGCAAACCTGATCTGAGGACCAGTTCTCCATCAAAACCACACTCTTTCCGCAGTCACAACTGCAAAAAGGGGTGATGGAGGTGGTTAATGGTAAACTCTTATGGAAACACACGGAAGACAAATTTAGCTTGTAAACAAGGCAAATCCCCTCCCCATTAGCTGCCATAGTGGTTTGCAAAGAATTTTGTCAACCGGGACCTGGGTGCCAGAGGAGCTGTAAGGAAAATGGCAGGAATCACATGTAGGAGGGCCACAATGCATGCTAGTCATGACTATATACTATCTCCAGGATCAGGTGTCCAGTTCTGAATACCAGTTGTTGGAAAACTACAGCAGGAGAAAATTATTGCAGTTATGTCTAGCTGGGCAATGTGAGAAACATGCCATTGGGTTAGATTGATTTTGCTTTGACCCAGCAAGATTTTTCTTACAGCACCTTACAACGAATGAGAAAACTGTTCTTCGCCTCATGGGGCTTACACCCTAAAGAGTAACAAAACAGATACTAATGAAGTTGAACAAAATACAGAAAGGCTTGAACAGGAGAATAATGCAATATTATTTCAGTTACACATTTTTAAGCTTAGTTACAGTGAGGCTGACACTAAGAGATTGTTCAAACTTCATCAAAGACTTAGGTCATTTGATCATACATTTACAACCTCTACCTTCTTGGCTTGACCATGCTCCTGTGTCTTTAATAGCAACCTAACACAATAGTATTTTAAGAGTCCTCCATCGCCCCACTCCATCATCATTTACCTCCAGAACATGCACAACTTCACCTGCCAACTTTTCTTTTTAATTTTATCTTTATTTTTGGAAAAAATGGACAACACACACACAAGAGAAATAAAATTCTCAATCTACACAAATATAAAACAATACAAATAATAAAATTGATGATGATGATGATGATGATGATGATGATAATTAAGCAATACAGTACAACAGTGCAACCTTCCACCAGGACCAACAGATACATGTTACGTATCTTACTTACATGTTACATGTAAGTTACTTACATGTTAATCATTCAGGTAGCCCCACTCCCACTCCCCTTTCAAAACTGCATCAACTCTTGTGATGATGCAACCTGCCAACTTTTTCTGTATGCCAGGCTACCATTAATGGACCAGGAGCAGTTCAATTAAAGGAAAAATGTGGAAAAAAAGGAAGTATCAGTCTTCTGCTTAAGAGTTCTCCCAAAAAAAAAAAAAAACCCTACAAGAAATTATAAGACAGATGACAACAGCCATCCCCTGCTAGGCATTCTTCTGATGTGAGGCAATGCTACACCCATCATCCCCAGCCAGCATAATACAATATATCTGAAGAAAACAGAGTAAGATCCTCAATGGCATGGACAGAGCTGGAAAACTTACGGCTTTGTGCACATAAGCAAACCCTTAGCCAGGGCTTTGCACTTGCCCATAAGATAAGCACAGCTGGATCAGACCACGGGTCCATCGAGTCCAGCAGTCTGTTCATGCTTCGGCTACCAGTTGTTTCGGGAAACCCACCAGGAGGACAGGGGTGCGGTACCACTCTCCTGCCCCACGTTCCCTAGCAAATTTGAGACATACTGCCTCCGATTCTAGAGGTAACATATAGCCATCAAGACGAAGAAGCGTTCGTAGCCAGCCTTACCCTACATGAAACTGCCCCTTTCCCCTTTTAAGGCCGTCACTGCAGTTTGTGGAAATGAATTCTACGCACTGCTAGAGAAGACCTGAGTTCACCTTCCAGAAATGAACTCCTTGGGTTCTAGGCTCATGAGAACAAGCGCAGGTCAACCCAGCTCCACAGACACTCGAAAGCGCCCAACAAGGCCAGCCACTCCACTCACCGCCATGACGCCTTCACAGCGAGGCTCAACGCCAGACAAGCAAAAAACCCACCAGCTCAGCAGAGCAAGACTTCCGGCGCGCATAAAATACGTCATTCAGCGATGACAGCAGCAGGGAAGCAACACCTGGAAAACTGCAATTCCCAGAAAGCATCACGCCGTCGTCATGGGGATCCAGAAAAACTGAGGGGCTTCGGTGCGAACGGGGAGGGGCTAAGTGGATATTTGGGGGCGTGGCCAGGCCGTTGGTGAATGTTTTTTTTTACTTCACCTCTTTGGCACACGGGATTGTTCCGGGTAGGGATGGAGGAGTGGAGGCTGCCTACGGAGGTAAGGATGCCTTGTGTGAGAGGAGAGGGGCCTTTGCTGTTGCTTCCCCGGAACTTCGCGAGCGGATCTGGAAGGTTTGTCATTCAACACGCATTGGCACGTGCAGACGTTGCCTGCAAACACGTTTCGGATCGGAGTGTCCCTTGCCTTCTTGCTATTTGGCTTCGCGCAGCCGCTCACGGTGGCTATGGGAACTCGGAGAGAAAGTGACCGTGCCATACTTGCATTCTTGATTCTAAGGGAAGCAAAAACTAGATGTAGCCCAACATGTACCCTGAGTTTCAAGAAAACCAATTTTAATAAGCGCCTAACAATTATAAGTAAAGTCCCATGGCAAGTGAATCTAATGAGAAAAGCAGTCCAACCTGGGTGGGAATTTTTAAAAAGGAATTTCTAAAGACACAAACAATTCCAACAAGGAAAAGGGTAGAAAACAACAGAAGATGCACACGTGAGTTCACAAAAGGCTTAGAAAACAAAAAAGGACATATAGAGGAAGTGGAAGGAAGGGCAGGCTACAGAATAAGAAAACAGGCAGGTAGCAGAGAATTGCAGAGATGGTGTCAGGAAGGCTAAGCTAGGAATAACCAAGGCTAGCAAGGGATGCTAAATGCAACCAGGAGGGGGAAAAAACCCTTCAGATATGTCCAAAGTAAAATACAATATAGAGGAAAGAAATGGCTGGGGGGGTGGGGGGGTCAGCTACTCAATGTAGATGGCAAAATGGTAAGAAGCGCTTAATACTTTCTTTGACTCAGTTTTCTCCCAGAAGAAGCTCTATGACCTTCCTGATGAAAACAAAATACAAACTGAAGCAGCAGGATGGCAGCTCAGGATTGATGGGCAAATGGTCAACGAGCTTCTCACTGGGTTGAATGAATTCAAAACTCCAGGGCCTGATGAACTCCATCCTAGAGTCATAAAAGAGCTGACAGAAGAACTCTCAGAAACACGGTTGATTCTCTTTGAGAAATTGTGAAGGACAGAGGAAGTACCTGGTGAAAGGGCTGATATTGTCCCTATCTTCAAGAAAGGAAAAATTCTGGAGGAGATTATAAAGCACCTTGAAAGTAATGCAGTGATTACTAGAAGCCAATGTGGATTTCTCAAGAACAAATTCTGTCAGATTAATCTGATGTAATGTTTTGATTGGGTAACCTTCCTGTTGAACTATGGAATCCTGTGCACATAATCAGTCTTGATATGAGCAGTCTTGACTTTTCACAAAGTGCTCCATGACTTTGTGGTTAGCATGTGGTTAGCGCGATTAGCAAACTAGCTCAGAGTTGGCTAGATGGAACAATGATCAGGTGAATCCACAGTTGGCTACAAAATTGGACACAAAGAGGGCTCAATGGCACCTTCTCAACATGGGGGAGGTAAGAATTGGGGTACCTCAGGGTTCAGTCCTGGGCCCAGCGCTCTCCAACATTTTTATTAATGACTTGGATGAGGAAGTACAAGGAACACGTATCAGATTTTCAGATGACACAAAACTGGGTGAAATAGCTAATACCCTGCAAGACAGAAAGAAGGTCCAAGGTGATCTTGACAGGTTGGAGCACTGGGCTGAAAACAAGAATGAAATTTAGTAGGGACAAATGCCAAGTTCTGCACCTAGAGAAAAGGACCCAAATGCATGGGGAGCACTTGGCTCAATAATACTGCAAGTGAGAAGGATCTTGGAATTGTTGAAGATAAGAAGTTAAAGATGAGTTGACAGTGCAGTGTAGCTGCAGAAGGGGCGTTAATAGAAGTATCACTTGCAGATCCCTTGAAGTATCAGCTCCCCTTTACTTTGCACTGGTTAGACTTCATCTGGAGTACTGTGTCCAGTTCTGGGCAACACAGTTTAAAAAAAAAAGATGTGGTCAAGCTGGAAAGGGTTCAGAGGAGGGCAACAAGGATGATCCGGGGACTGGAAACAAAGTCCTGTGAGGAGAGATGGAAAGAAATGGGCATTTTTTAACCTTGAGAAGACTGAGGGGAGATATGATTGCACTGTAGAAGTATTTGAAAGGCTGCCACAAAGAGGGAGGACAGGATCTCTTCTCAATCATCCCAGATTGCAGGACACAGAATAATGGGCTTAAGCTATAGAAGCCAGATTCTAGCTAGATATCAGGAAAAACATTCCTGAGTTTCGGAGCAGTACAATGGAATCCATGACCTAGGGAGGTTGTGGCCTCTCCTGGACAAGAGGCATTCAGGATGCAGCTGGACAGCCATCTGAGAGGGGTTGTTTAACTTGGTGTCCTGCACTGAGCAGGGGGTTGGACCCAATGGCCTCATCATCCCTTGCAACTCACTATTCTATGATTCTAAGGTTATTTAAGAATACGGTCCAATTCCTTTGCATTGGCAAGGAAAGAATCCAAATGTTTGGATGCTTGGGAGTGCTTTGCATGTCAAGAAGATGTTGGAATGGATGCAGTGGTAGGCTATCTCCTAGGGGTAGTCTCTGGTGACAGAAGTGTATGACTAGAACCTTTTCATGACAATGGCAAACTGACAGTATAACCATTCCCACTCTAATTGGATGAATGTAGATGGACTGGCTTGCCATCGACAGCAGGAAGCAGAAGCCCTGATTCCCAATTAGAAAAAAATTATGCATACTTCAACCAGCAATATTCAAAGTGAATTAATTAAATATCTATTAAATCAGTTGCATTGGTGAGGACAAGTGAGTGTTTGCTCGGGGCGTTGTTTCAGAGAGCCACAGTTTTCAGGAAATAAGCTGAACCAAGTTTAGGTCAGGGAAAGCCTTTAGGGCTGGCCAGTACTCTAAAATGAAGGGACAGCTAACCACCCTGGAACAGGTTTATGCATCTGGGGAGCCCATTTATTTACAACTTGTGGAATGTCTCACACATACCAGTTCACGTGAAGAAAGTTAGGCATGGACCAGATTGTGTAGCCTTGTGAGATAGTAGCAGTTCCTCTTACAATGCAAAAAGGAAAAACAATTCTCATGAAAGAGATATTTGTAGAGTAGATCATGAAGTGTAATCCTCAGTTGGCTGATAAATGAACATCTTGCCCTCTGTGAGATGACATAATATCAAAATGTGCTAAATGGAGGTAATACTTTGTATTTCTGATAATGTTGTGCCTCAACAAATCTGATGTGTTTAACATGTTAGAAGATTCTTTAAAAAAAAATTCTGTCATGATAGTGACACTTTTTTCCAGTTGCTGTAACTGTATATATATTATTGCTTAGTGCTGGGAGCTTGACCAAACTATTTCACATGTAACAGCAACCCTAAATATAGGCTGAGTATGTGTTGTTGTTGAAGTGTGTGTTGTTATTACTTGCAGACTATGTGATGACATGATGTTTAGCTATGGGTTGTTAACTAAGAGTTAATAAACCCAACAACAAACCATAGGTTCTCTTCCTGGGTTCTTTGTGATTAAGAACCTGTAGCTGAACCCTAATGCAGGCTTTGCATAGAACAAACCCTGGGTGATGGAAGGGTTCTCCAAAGAAAAGAGGTGATTTGTTTGCAGCTGTGAACAGGCCTCTATAAAGTTCAGGCAATAGGGAGCAGGCAAAGTTTGGAAGCATGCCACGGCAGGCAAATAAGTAAACCAATTGCGATATACCAAAGCCAAGAAAGGAAAAGACAGATAATTCAAAAACCCTGTTGTCTATGAAATACGTGCTGGAAACTGAGCCAGTACCAAGCTCCTTTTCTGCTACAGCACACAACTGCGACTCTTGCCTATAAATGGTTAAGTGTTGCCAGCTTTAACTAATACCAGTCAATTGTATTTAGAGCATGGAAGGAAGAGGCTAGTCCTCTGGTTTCCAAATAGCTGATAGATATACTTGTGGGAACTCATTTGCATACCTGTGGCAGTTGCAGACTAGGGGGTGCATATTCAGCATTCGAGTTATGCACAGGGCTTTTGCTCCAGCAGTCAATCAGCACATGGAGAAATGCTTTTGTGCAATGTGCGCTCTTGTGCACACTTGAGGCTCATTGAAGATAGAACTCCAGTCTTGGAATAGAAGATCTGATTGTGATCTTCATGTCTCGAGCCCTTCCCAGCTCTGGTGACCAACCCCAATTGGGGAGGAAATGGTTGCACTATGGAAGGGCAAGGAGGGGAGAGACCTGATTATGGTGATGGTGACGAACATTTCTATACTGCCCATAGCCAAAGTTCTCTGGGTGGTTTGCAACAACAATCATAGAATCATACACTCAAGATGCAGTGCATTCTGATGAGTTAGACAGGTTCAGAGGCTCACCTAACACAAAATCCATTGTCAAAATCTCCTGGTGTTCCCCCCAGGCTCTCTCCAGCAGGGCTTAGGAGCTCAAAGCTCTCTGTCCCTTGGGAATGCACCCCCAAAACACACATAACAGTGAATAAGAACTGGCATCAGTCAAGTAATCACACTTAAGCCATTAAAAGCCCAGGGTAGGAAAATAAGCTTTTACAACAGATGCTTGACAAATTCTCCAGGGAGTGAATTCCCAAAATATGGTGCTACTGCTGAAGTGGTCTTTTTCTAGTCCCCACCCTCTCATTTAGTTGGCACTCATGGCTTAGTTTGTACCCTTAATCCATGAGCAGGGCTGATATGAAGGCAGGGCTCCTTTTGAGTACAGTGAAAGCCATGCTGGTTTTTAAAGGTAATAAACACCAGAACCTTGAACTGTGGCCAGAGAGCCAGTGATAAACAGTTAAGATGTTTAAGAAACAATGAGACAGTGTTGATCCATATCAAAAGCCCGACAACCTACTGTTTGAACTGGCATGTATCTCTGTACCATGTACAACTGAAGAAGCCTAACCAGAAAGTGCCCAGAGCATAGATAACTGTATAACTGAAGACAGATTCTACAGTTACAGGTGGCATATCAAACTTGCTTCTGACTCCACCCTAAGGGCACCTCCTGCCGTTTGAACATTGGACACTTCTTAACTGGGCTACTTGCTTTCCCTGTTACCTCCTGGCAGGCACTCCCCCCCCCCACACCCCGTTCTGAGATGTCTCCCTCCTTTTCAAAGGCAGGCTTGTCCTAAGCTCTGCCTGAGAATCTTCACTAGGTAGCCTTGCCAATGCAGAGTCATCTGCTCCCCTTTGCCGCCTCCTCAGAACTGAGGATGTCTGTCTGCACAGTGTGAGAGAGCTGGGCCCCAGTGACAAAGCAGGGTGTAGGAGCACCCTCAAGCTATGCTCCTGATCCTTCAAGAGGGAGCAGAACCCCATCCAGAACTGGTTAAACTTTTATTGCCCTGACTCAATCAACCAGCCACCAAAAGTACTTCCATTTTGGTTAGGGTGAAACCTGGTTTATTGGGCCCCAACCAGCCCATTACCAATTTCAAGTAACAGTTCAACACGATTATGCATTAATTCATTTAACCCACATGTAAAATAGAAATCCAGTTGGGTGGCATCAGCAAATGAGCACCTTCAGCGGGGATTTTTAGTTTTTATCTCAGGTCCTGGTAGTCTATTAGTTACTGTTTTAAACTTGTTTTAATGCTTTTAACTGTTTTAAATGATTGAATGTTAAAGGCTATATCATGCTGCAAACTGTCCAGCTTTGGCTGTTGGGCTGTATAGAAAGGCAGTGAATGAATTATTCACTTACTATTGGAGGGGTTTTGGAATCAGGTTGGGTGCCACAAGTTGCCCAGTGTTGATCCTTCCTGCTTCTGATAAAGGCAGGAAGCATTCACCCTTCTGCCCTACAGTCTCCCTGCCTGAGCTGACGGAGATCGTCTCGGACCCGGTGTTGAGGACCCCCAGGATGTTGGTCCTGGGGGACTTCAATCTCCATGCCGAGACTGGTCTGACCGGGGCGGCTCAGGACTTCATGGCCTCCATGACAGCCATGGGGCTGTCTCAACATGTCACTGGCCCGACCCATGAACGTGGACACACTCTGGACCTGGTTTTCTCGATGGGGCAGGAAGAGGGTGGTCTGAGGGTGAGGAATTTGTGTCTGACACCCCTGTCATGGTCAGATCACTTCCTGGTGAGGTTTGTGCTTGAGAGCGGCCTCTCCCTCTGCAAGGGTGTGGATCCGATTGTGTGGGTCTGCCCCCGGAGCCAGACAGATCCGGATGGATTCCTGAAGGCCCTGGGGGAGTTTCCGGCTGACAAGACTGGTGCTCCTGTCAAGGCTCTGGTCGAACTGTGGAATGGGGAAATGACCAGGGCTATTGACACGATCGCTCCTAAGCGTCCTCTCCTGCCGGGCAGAGCCCACTCTTCCCCTTGGTATACACCTGAATTGCGGGCGATGAAGCAGGCTGGGAGACGGCTAGAGCGTAGGTGGAGGAGATCACGGGATGAATCTGACCAAACACACTTAAGAGCCCATTTTCGGGCCTATGCTGTGGCGGTGAGGGCGGCGAAAAAGAAATTCTTTTCCGTTTCCATTGCCTCCTCAAAATGCCGTCTGGCAGAGCTTTTTCGAGTGGTACAAGGCCTGGTCCGCCCTGGCCCTAAGAAAGATCTGGTTTCACCCTCGAAGGCCTGCTGTGACGACTTTGCCAAGCATTTCAGGGAGAAAATCGCTCAGATTCGTCACGAGCTAGACTCTACTAGTGATTCAGAGGCTTCTGGGGAGATACCAATGTCGCCGTCTGGTCCAAAATTAATGGATGAATTTCAGTTATTGCGGCCTGATGATGTGGACAAGGTGCTTGGACGACTACGTCCCACCACTTGCCTATTGGACTCTTGCCCATCTTGGTTAATAAACAATGCCAAGCACGGGATTGGGATCTGGATCTTGGAAGTGGTTAACACTTCTCTGAGGGAGGGTCGGGTACCTGCCCCTTTAAAGGAGGCAGTAGTCCGACTGGTCCTGAAGAAAGCGTCACTGGATCCAGATATGGCCACTAATTATAGACCAGTGGCCAACATCCCGTTTCTGGGCAAGTTGTTGGAGCGGGTGGTGGTGGGACAACTCCAAGCACTCTTGGATGAAACTGATTATCTGGACCCATTTCAGTTCGGCTTCAGACCCGGGTACGGTACTGAATCTGCCTTGGTCTCCCTGTACGATGACTTGTGCAGGGAGAAGGACAGGGGGAGTGCATCCCTGTTGGTTCTTCTGGACCTCTCAGCGGTTTTTGATACCATCAATCATGGTATCTTTCTGGATAGGCTTGCGGGATTGGGGGTTGGAGGCACTGCTTTGCAGTGGTTCTGCTCCTATCTCAATGACCAATTCCAGAAGGTGGTGCTGGGGGACTGTGGCTCTGCACCATGGCAGCTATGCCATGGAGTACCGCAGGAGTCCATTTTGTCCCCTTTGCTGTTTAACATCTACATGAAACCGCTGGGAGAGGTCATCAGGAGGTGTGGGCTGCAGAATCATCAGTACACTGATGATACCCAGCTCTACCTCTTGTTTTCCACCAATCCAGGTGAGGCAGTGGCTGTGCTGAACCGGTGCCTGGCCGAGGTAATGGGCTGGATGAGGGCCAATAAACTGAAGCTCAATCCAGACAAGACGGAGGTCCTGTTGGTTGGTGGATCGGGCTTCGGGGAGGGTGAATTGAACCTAGTCCTGAATGGGGTTGCACTCCCTCTTAGGGACAAGGTTCACAGCTTGGGAGTGCTCCTCGACCCAGAGCTTTCACTGGAAGCTCAGGTGACAGCGGTGGCAAGGAGCGCTTTCTTTCAGCTTCAGCTGATCCATCAGCTGCGCCCCTACCTGGAGTACGACTACCTGACGACAGTGACACACGCGTTGGTGACTTCCCGACTTGACTTCTGTAACGCGCTCTATGTGGGGCTACCCTTGAAGATGGTTCGGATACTTCAATTGGTTCAAAATAGAGCTGCCAGGCTGCTGACGGGGACTGGGCGTTATGTTCACATGACTCCAGTCCTCCGTCAGCTTCACTGGCTTCCCATTGAAGTCCGGGCCCAATTCAAGGTGTTGGTGATGACCTATAAAGCCCTAAACGGCTTGGGTCCTGGTTACCTGAAGGAGTGCTTACGTCCATATATGGCTGTCCGCCCCTTGAGATCGGCGGGAGAGGCCCTTCTCCGGAAACCCTCCGTGAAGGAAATTAGGAGGGTGAGTACTCGGAGGAGGGCTTTCTCTGTGGTGGCACCCAATCTATGGAATGTGCTCCCCAGAGAGGTCCGCCTGGTGCCGTCGTTATTTGTTTTTCGGTGCCAGGCGAAGACCTTTTTATTCAAATGTCTTTTTAACTGTTAATAGTATTTATTCATTCTTTGGCCAGGGCGACTTAATTTATACTGTTAATTTATATTATTTTAGTTTATGTCTCTGAGCCGCCCCGAGGCTTCGGCGAATGGGGCGGCATAGAAGTTTACTAAATAAATAATAATAAATAAATAAATAAACTCATGAGCTGGACATGTTTCCTCTTCATGGTCTTCCTTCTGTGCAGGTCATCACATATATCCTGAGCTTCTTGTCCATCTCTGATAGGAAAGAGGCCTCTCTGGTGAACCAGACGTGGTACTTGGCGGCCCAGGACTCGCTGCGTCAGGTAATAACCACATGACCTGGCAAGGCCACTCAGGCTTTGCATGTCTTTCCAGAAGATGGTTTTCTATTCTCTTTTAAGGGTTTGTCAGGAGACAGTCCTAGAGACGTCCTCCGTGTAAAGTTTTGCCAGCCCTTCCACCACCACCGCCACCACCAGAAAGCGGTCCCACCCCTGGACTTCTCCAAAACTGAATGGAAGTGGTCCTGCATCTCTAGTAATGAGCATAAAGCTCCTGCAGCCTGATCCCCCACCCTGCCCCCACATAGGCTCCTTTCTTCAGCCAAGTCATACCTGTTGGCCTTTTAGCCTAGTATCACCTATTCTGACAAAGGATGGTTCTCCAGAGTCTCAGGCAGAGAAGGGTTCTTCTCATCACCAGCTGCTTGGGATTTTTTAAGTGGAGATAACTTAAAGCAGGTACCTTACTGCTGAGCTGTGGACCTTACCTAAAGCCGGGCCCAGTCACCCACAAGTCCCTTTGATCATTTGCTGCAACTTGGGCCATGGTGAACCACCAAAAGACAGCAAGTATCTATTTGTTTATCATATTTTCATCCTGTTCTTTAACCAAGGACCTTAGGATACATATGATTTTCACCATTTCACAGACCTGCAAGTTAGTTCAGGCAGAAGGAGAGGAAAAGAGCTTTTAACCTGACCAAGGCTATCCAATGAGCCTCCTTGTTTACTGATAATCTAAAGCCAGACTTCTTCAGTCAAAATTCAAATGCTTAAAAGTCAGAAATATATGGAGATTTTCCTCCACCCACCCCTCTGGCTTTGAATGCAGGAGTCTCTGATGGATTAGCAATGAGTTATGAAGCTGCTGTCAACTTTTGCCCCTCTACACACACACACACATTTACCACATGCTCATTTATTCCCATTCAATTTCAGGAAAATGTCTTCTATAACATCCCTGCAAGCTCAGCTTCACTCAGGACCATTAAGAACCTGGCCCGGAGGCATGTATGCAATGTCAAGATGCTGAACCTGGATGGTTCCACAACTTCCCGGGATGTTGTCAAGTTTGTTGCCACCTACCTGGGGCCCCACCTGCACAGCTTGTGTTTACGTGGGAGCAGCCTGACAGAGAGCAGTTTTGAAGAGCTGCTTCTTTCTTGCCCCTGCCTCACAGCCTTGGATCTGAGTGGCTGCAACAGCCTCTTTATGTCTGGAACACTGTTCTCCAAGGAGATTTGCCTGCAAGCCCGAGAAGCTCTAGTCCATTTGCAGGAGCTGAACCTGTCTGGTATCCGGTACCTGTCTGACCTCACTTTTAACCACTTGACCAGCTGCTCCTCACATCTGGCCAAGCTCTCCCTTGCTCGTTGCCATATTGTCTTTGAGTCTGATGCTTATTACAACTCCAGCAATGGCTACTCCTCTGTTCTGCTGTCTTTCCACAACCTCTTACAGTTCCTGAGGGAGCAAGCTCGCACTGTGAAGGCTCTGGATTTGAGTGGAACCAGCATCTCCAGGCAAAGCATGAAGTCCCTGGTTCAAGTGGAGCACCTGAACCTTCAAGAGCTGGTTCTGCAGGCCTGCCAGGATCTGACCAATGAGGCAGTGAGCATCATGTGTCAGCACCAGCCTCATCTGACCACATTGGATCTGACAGGCTGTTCTGAGCTGTCTGACCAGGCTGTCCTTGTCATCAGCTCCCAGCTCCTAGACCTTCGGTGCCTGCGCCTGGGGAAGCTCCCACGACTGACTGACGCTGGCTTTCGGGGCATTTCGCACTTGAGGTACCTCCAGAGCCTGGATGTGTCTGAGTGCAGCCTCGTGAGCAGCAGCACGCTCATACAAGCTTTCCGTGGGACTGAAGGGTGGCCAAAATTGGTCTCCCTGAATTTTGCCTTCTGCTCTCTTCTGCGTGTAAGTTCCAAAGTGTTTGTGGCACATAATTATTATTTTCCTATCATTTTTGAACTAAAAGAAATTTCATAATTAAATTTATATCTCTATATATTGGTATCTCTATATCCCTGTATAAGTACCTCAAAGGCTATCACAAAGAGGAAGGTCAAGATCTCTTCTTGGTGATGCCAGAGTGCACGACACGGAATAATCAGTTCAAGTTGAGACAATCCAGATTCAAGGTGGACATCAGGAAAAGCTTCCTCACTGTCAGAGCAATACGACAGTGGGACCAGCTGCCTAAAGAGGCGGTGGGCTCTCCCACACTGGTTTGATCACCTTGTGGTCCAAGGGACTCACAGGAGTCTCCGCCAGCACCACAATTCAAAGACCTCAATTCTTCAGCGCTCAGTCTTCCTTATGGTCCAGCTTTCACAGCCATACATTGCAACAGGGAAAACCATAGCCTTGACTATATGCACTTTTGTTGGCAGGGTGGTGTCTCTGCTTTTTAGTATGCTGTCTAGATTTGCCATAGCTTTCCTCCCAAGGAGCAAGCCTTTTAATTTCTTGGCTGCAGTCCCCATCTGCGGTGATCTTGGAGCCCAGGAAAATAAAATCTGTCACTACCTCCATTTCTTCCCCATCTATTTGCCAGGAAGTGAGAGGACCAGATGCCATGATCTTAGCTTTCTTAATGTTGAGTTTCAAGCCAACTTTTGCGCTCTCCTCCTTCACCCGCATCAAGAGGCTCTTTAGTTCCTCTTCACTTTCTGCCATAAGAGTGGTATCATCTGCATATCTGAAGTTGTTGATATTTCTCCCAGCAATCTTAATTCCAACTGGTGATTCATCTAGACGGCATTTCTCATGATGTGCTCTGCATATAAGTTAAATAGGCAGGGCGACAGTGTACAGCCTTGCCGAACTCCTTTCTCAGTTTTGAACCAATCAGTGGTTCCGTGTTCAGTTCTCACTGTTGCTTCTTCACCCGCATATAGGTTTCTTAAGAGACAAATAAGATGGTCTGGTACTCCCATCTCTTTAAGAACTTGCCACTATTTGTTGTGATCCCTACAATCAAAGTCTTTAGCATAGTCAATGAAGCAGAAGTAGATGTTTTTCTGGAACTCCCTAGCTTTCTCCATGATCCAGCGTATGTTGGCAATTTGATCTCTAGTTCCTCTGCCTCTTCGAAATCCTGCCTGTACTTCTGGTAGTTCTCGGTCCACATACTGCTGGAGCCTAGCTTGTAGGATTTTGAGCATCACTTTGCTAGTATGTGAAATGAGTGCAATGGTGCGGTAGTTTGAACATTCTTTGGCATTGCCCTTCTTTGGGATAGGACTGTAAACTGACCTTTTCCAATCCTGTGGCCACTGTTGAGTTTTCCAAATTTGCTGGCATATTGAGTGTAGCGCTTTTACTGCATCATCTTTTAAGATTTTGAATAGCTCAGCTGGAATACTGTCACCCCCACTAGCTTTGTTGTTGCTCAGACTTCCTAAGGCCCATTTGACTTCACATTCCAGGATGTCTGGCTCGAGGTCAGTGACCACCCCATCATGGTTATCAGGGACGTTAAGCTCTTTCTTGTATAGTTCTTCTGTGTAATCTTGCCACCTCTTCTTAATCTCTTCTGCCTCGTTAGGTCCCTGCCATTTTGGTCCTTTATCATGCCCATGTTTGCATGAAACATTCCCTTCATATCTCCAATTTTCTTGAAGAGATCTCTGGTCCTCCCTATTCTGGTGTTTTCTTCTATTTCTTTGCACTGTTCATTTAAGAAGGCATTCTTATCTCTTCTAGCTATTCTCTGGAATTCTGCATTCAATTGGGTGTATCTTTCTTCTTCTCCTTTGCCTTTTGCTTCCTTTCCTCAGCTATTTGTAAAGCTTCCCCAGACAGCCATTTTGCTTTCTTGCATTTCTTTTTCTTTGGGATGGTTTTAGTTGCTACCTCTTATACACTGTTGTGAACCTCCGTCCATAGTTCTTCAGGCACTCTGTCTATCAGATCTAATTCCTTAAATATGTTTGTCACCTCTACTGTATATTCATCAGGGATATGATTCAGGTCATACCTGACTGGCCTAGTGCTTTTCCCTACTTTCTTCAATTTAAGCCTAAATTTTGCAACCAGAAGCTCATGATCTGAGCCACAGTCAGCTCCTGGTCTAGTTTTTACTGACTGTATAGAGCTTCTTCATCTTTGGCTGAAGAGCACATAGTCAATCTGATTTCTGTGTTGACCGTTTGGTGATGTCCATGTGTAGCGTTGTCTCTTGGGTTGTTGGAAAAGAGTGTTTGCTATGACCATCATAGTCTCTTGACAAAATTCTACCAGCCTGTGCCCTGCTTCATTTTGTATTCCAAGGCCAAACTTGCCTGTTATTCTGGTTATCTTTTGGCTTCCTACTTTAGCATTCCAATCCCCCATGATGATAAGGACATCATTTTTGGTGTTAATTCTAGAAGGTGTTGTAGGCCTTCATGGAACTGGTCAACTTCAGCCTCTTCAGCACCAATGGTTGGGACATAGACTTGGACTACTGTGATGTTGAATGGTTTGCCTTGGATTCGAACTGAGATCATTCTGTCATTTTGGAGATTGTATCCCAGTACTGCTTTTCCTACTCTTTTATTGACTATGAAGGCTACTCCATTTCTTCTGAGGGATTCTTGCCCGCAGTAATATACCTGATGGTCATCTGAATTACATTCACCCATTCCTGTCCATTTTAGTGCACTGATTCCTAAGAGGTCAATGTTCAGTCTTGTCATCTCTTGTTTGACCACATCCAGCTTGCCTTGATTCATGGATCTTACATTCCAGGTTCCTATGGAGTATAGATCTTTGCAGCATCGGACTCTCCTTTCACCACCAGATACATTGGCAACTAAGTGTCCTTTTGGCTTTGACCAGTTGCTTCATTCTTTCTGGTGCTACTAGTACTAGCCCTCCACTCTTCCCCAGTAGCATATTAGACACCTTCCGACCTGAGGGGCTCATCTTCCGGCGTCATATCTTTTGGCCTTTTGGTACTGTCCATGGGGTTTTCATGGCAAAGATACTGGAATAGGTTCCCATTTCCTTCTCCAGTGGATCACGTTTTGTCAGAGCTCTCTGCTATGACCTGTCCGTCTTGGGTAGCCGTGCATGGCACAGCTCATAGCTTCATTGAGCTACACAAGCCCCTTTGCCACGACAAGGCAGTGATCCATGAAGGAGACTATTCTATGATACTATATATTAACAGTGGTGTAATTGAGCCAGTGCTCTGAAGGATGTAGCATCTGTGTTAGCAGGGATGCTGAAGTCATCTGCCTTTGCTTGCTCCAGACTCCCCCGCTCCCCTGAAATGTAGCTTCTGCCCTCACAGTAGCTCTAGCGGGATGCCAGTGAATTTTCAAACAACATTATATTGTCCTCCATGGAATTGCAAAGGGAGGACTCCTGGAGGAAGAGGATTCTTGAAAACTACCACAGATCTTCAGTTATCGGGTGGTATGGAAATGAAGTGGAATCAAATGAACCGTTTGGGGTAACATGGTTTTGAGTGGGCCATTAAGACCCAGTCATTTTACAAAAGGCGTATTCCTGGTAGAGATAATACTGGCTTGTTGAACACAGCTGCCTGCATTTTCAGACTCTCCTAGGGAGCATGGCTATAGGGCCTCTCAACTGTACAGCTATAGAGAGAGAGGGCTGGATCAGACTAAATATTCATCCTGTTTCCCTCCAGAGCCTATTAGGAAATCTGGAAGCCCACAGTGGGGCAGGAAGGCCCCACAGGCTCTGTAGCTCTCCAGCAACTGGTACTCAAAGAAGAACACTGCCCCAACTCTACTGGGGCCAAATAGCCATCGTGGCTAGAAGCCGTTGATAGTCTTACCACCATGAATTTCTCTAATACAACCTTCCCCAGCCTGGTGCACTCCAGATGTTTTGGATTATGCTGTCTGCTTTCCAGAGCATTGGCCATGCTCATTGGTACTGATGAAAGTTGAAGTCCCAAGCCCCCGAGGGCACGAAGCTGGGAAAAGCAAGTCCCAACCTTATATTTACCAGCGCCACATGCTGGTTCCAGCCAAATTTGGAGGCGGCAATCTTTTCATTCTGTGGTGTTTCAAATAGTGTATGATTATTCATGCCGAGAGCACATATCTTTTGATATTGTCTGCTACCCTGCTTTTTTGCAACGTTAAACGTGGATATAGCCAAACAGCAGGCCTTAGAGCCTTGCTGTGGGTTCCATCCCGTTGAAATCTGAAGCTGCACCCATAAACATCAAGAAGCCTTGTAAAAAACAAACATTACGACTCCATTTCACCTTCAGGTCCACCATTCCCCAAATCCTCCTTCCACAGCAAAACAAATATAAAGTTAGCACAGCATACAAATGGCACGGAAACTTCAGTATCACCAAGCTGCTCCAGAATTCACTTTCTTTCTCAGAGGGAATGAACTTGCACTGCCTTTTGCATATAAAAATCCACAGGGTCAGCTTTAAGCGGGACATCCCACCTTGGGGATACCAGTGCTCGCAGAGAGGACAATCAGCCACATCGTGTATTTCATGGCTGAGTTGGGGTTTGAACCTGGTCCCTCCTTAATAATAAGCTGACACTAACCAGTGACTTTCCACAGTATTTCCAGGTAAAATAATCTGCGATAGCACAGTCTGGAAAGAACTCTGCCAGACACATTAGAGAGCCTCTGCTGGTCAGTGTCTAGTCCAAACCGACCAACAGGCTGACTTAGTCTAAGGCCAAAATAGCCCCCAGTGACTCCACTGAGGTGTAGCTTGCATTAACCCTTCCTACAAACCTTCAGGATGTGTTATATTGAAAACAATATATCAAACCGCCTGTTCTTCCTTCCACAGGACAGCTCAGTCCTCTCATTGGCTGAAGCTGTAAGCAGCAGCCTTCGGGTTTTAGATCTCTCATCCTGTGTGTCCCTCACCAATCGAGGTGTCCAAGTCATCGCTTCCCACCTCTTGCGCTTGACAGTCCTGCGTCTGGCTTGGTGCAAAGAACTGACAGATTGGGGCCTGCTGGGCGTTGAGGAGTCCAGAGAACATGAATGTGGAAAAGAGGTAAGAACATACGCACATTTGTATGGCTGGATGACCAGAGCAGAAATACTCTGCACTGCTAATATCAGTACAGTGGTACCTTGATTCATGAACTTAATCCGTTCCACAACTCTGGTCGCAACCCGAATTGGTTGTGAACCAAGTCAAATTTCCCCATAAGGTTCAGTATAAATAGCGTTAATCCCTTCTGTAAACCCATCTTCTGGGATCCCTTAGGTGGCCACATTCTTTCCTTCAGCTGCCAACCGTTTGCCGGTTTTCTGGCTTTTGTGCAGTTTTTCCCCTATTCTTGAAGGCTGAATGGCCACTCTTAAAGCTTGAGTGAGCCAGTGTGGCATGGTGAATGGAGTACTGGCCTGTGGCCCTGGGAAGATCTGGGGTCAAGTTGCCACTCAGCCATGAAGTTTCCTGGGTAACTTTGGGCCAGTCACTCACTCTCAGGCTTGCTTACAGTGGGATATAAATGCAGTGTAATTATCATCCTCGTCATCATTAAGATTGTTGCCGTATGCTTTCTTGGGAAGGCTCTGTCCTGAAAGATGGCCAAGAAATGTTTTGATAACAGTAGTAGTAATAGTAGCAGCAGTAGTATTGCACTAAAGAGGTTCAGTATTCCTGAACTACAGGGACCTTTATCAGAAGTGTGGTATGCATTCAGCAGATTTGGACTATACTCTGAGAAAACAGGGACTAGCTACTTCTAAGTGAGGGAATTAGCCCCAAACACCGCACATAAAGAAGCAGGCTGGCAGGGGTATGACCCACCTGGGGAGGGAGACACCCAGGTCCTTGCACACCCATGTGGGCTACTTTTGCTGCACATGCCCTAGAGGCGCAGCATCAGCCCTTTTCTGTCATACCCTCCAACTTAACTGACCAAATGGGGAACGAAATGTTCCTGATGGACCTTGCCTCTTTTGACCACCATTTGTTGCCTTGGCAGAAGGACGCTGGCCCAAAGTTCAGCAGGAACTTCGGGAACATGGGATTCTTCCAGTCTCCTCTACAGGATTTGGAACAGGATACCTGGGTTCTGAAGGACCTCAGCAAGCAGGATCTCCAAGAGAAGCACCAAGCGTCCTTGAGTGCCTTGACCTGTCTGCAAGAGCTTGACCTGACTGCCTGTGGGAAGCTGACAGACACAAGCATTGCCAAGGTCTGGATACTGTGCTAGCCAGCTGCTATGGGGGGACCATTGCTTAATGGCAGGAAACCTGCCACTTAGTGGCGGAACAGTTGCTAGATGGAGAACTGGAAAGCTGCCTTTTGTCAGGTCAAACAGTGGTGCTCTGGCAAAAGGGACCAGCTACAGCCTCATCTTCAGGGTAGGAGGGCCACCATCACTGTAGCCTAGGAAACGGCCTTATGTAGTCAATCCTATCATCCCTCTAGCTCGGCTCTGTTGACACTGAGTTCAGGTAATGCAACAATCCACACTCCAGGGCTGAGTATGGGTTGTCATGGAACCATGTGTGGCCATGGGAGTAGAAACATGGTGCTTGAACCCAGCTATGATAACAAGCTATGGCTTTTCTGGCTTATTAACCAGACACAACCCAACATTCACAATCCAACAACAAACCATAGGTGGTTTGCATGACACAACAAGCTGCAATGGTTTCTTGCACAGTATGATCTGTCTTGTTGTCCAAACCATGTTGTGGTGTTGAAGCCACAACAGTGAGGATGTTCAAGGACAGGCTGGACATGCACATGGTGGGCATGTGGTAAGCAGAGCCGGCTGGAGTCAGGGGTCAGACTAGATGGCCGAGGAGACCCCTTCTGACTCACTCTGTTTCTATGTTTTTTAGAAACCATGATGAGAAACAACAGTCTGTTCTATGGTTTCCACAGTTCACCAAGGTTTCTATTATCATTCAAACCTGGAATTGTGATTTCCACAGTCCTGGTATGCAGACACCACAGAGTCCCCTGGATGGAGGGGCAGCTGCAGGAGCAATTGAATTTCAGGTGCAGTGCCTGCTGGGATATGTGACAATAGCCACAGGACTGAGGGAAGAGGATGGAAACCATGCTAGTATAGAAACCACTTGATGGTCTGCCAGGCACATCCAGGCAAAGAACATTCCCCATGGAAACCATGCAGGGCTTATTGTGGTACATGAACCCAGGCCATGGGTTCTCTTCATGGGTTGCTTGTGGTTGACAAACGATGGCTTTTTATTGCAGCTTTCAGACAACAGAACACACAGTTCAATGATATCCCAGTGTCGGCCCTTGAGTCTATTGTGTTGTTTGAACCCAGCCTCTGACGGGCAGGAGCTCGCTGCAGTCTTAGACAGAGGACTTTCCCAGCTGTACCTGGAGGTGCTGGGGGCTGAACTGGGACCTCTTGAACGCAAAGCATGTGTTCTGCTGCTGAGCTGCATGTGATGCCTATTTAAATGCAGCATTTGTTCTTACAGAGCAGCAACAGCCCAGGGTGTGAAACTGGTATGATGCTGCTGAGAACAACCACATTGGGCTTGCGTGAGGTTGTTACAGCGGCCAGTGGCGTCTTCGTTTAGCAGAGCTTGGCCACAGGAGTGTGGAAGTAAAATGGTGTGGCTAGCCTAGCAAGGCTAGAAAAGACTGAGTCAGTAAAGGGGATCGTGAAAGCAGGGGATGTGGTTTGACGCACCGAGTAGGGGAAAACTAGTCACAGGCATTCAAAAATAAAGTGGGAGGTTGAAAAGCGTAGGTAACAGGTCCAAAAGGGATGCAAGAAAGTCACAGCAGAATCTGCATCTCAGGCAGTGGGAGAAGCTTCAAGATCCAACTTTTTAGCTTGTCACAGGAAGGTGAGGAAATGCTCCATTGCATAGGAAGCTGCCTTATGTGACGGCCATCCAGCCCTGTATTGTCAACATTGATTGGCGCTTGCTCTCTGGGGTTGTTGTTGTTGTTATTATTATTATTACATTTTTATACTGCCCATAGCCAAAGCTCTCTAGGCAGTTGACAGCAATAATCACAGAATCATACATTCAGGTCACCCATCCCACTTCTGCCCAGGCCTGACCCTGCTTAGCTTCCAAGATTAGGCAGGATCAGGCACTTCCAGCCCTATGTGGAAACACCCAGGATTGCACCTGGGGCCTTCTGCGTGCAAAGCAGGTGCTCTAGCATTGATCAGTGGCTCCTCCCATAGTTCAGTGGTAGGGCAGATGACCTGTGGGTTATGTATTCAGAGTAATGGCGCTGTATGGTCCTTAGAGACTGTACCAATTCAGATGCCAGGGAGGGCTACATGTGGGGTAGAATTTGGGCCAACTTTCCCTGCTCATTAAAAGCAAACAGGATGAATGCAAAGGGCTTCAGCCCTAGCCTTCTTCTTGATGTGCCCCCCCCCCATGCATAGGGAGCTTTGGAGCCAAGGATGCATTTACATGCGTACCCCTGAAGTGGTGCAGTCCATAAAGCTTGTACCATGCTATTGTTTGGCCTCCAAAACTAAAAGAAAATCCACCTTCCTCTGCTGTAGTCACGTGACTGCAGCCCACATGTGAATTTGCATGAGACTTTTCAGCATTTGCTTTAGCCCTGATTTTGGGCACAGCAAATTCACAGCTCAATCTTTTGCACTGATTCCAACTGTTAGACTCGTGGACACATTGGCCAGTTTGAGAAACTGTGCTGGGCACCACTGCAAAATGGCTGCCATGGGAGGTGTGGCAAAGGATGTGTAACCTGCCCCAAAGGACCGAGTATAAGGCAGAGGTGAAGTCTGAGTTCCAACACACTAAGTAATTCCTTAGAACTGGTAGTTTTTAGCACCAGCATAATTCTATTTCACAGGGATCCCAGATGCCAGCAAGACAACATGTCCATGTGGAAGGGCCATTTGCAAGGCAGGGCACTAAGACAGGGGTCTGGCAGTGCTTGCTGCCCTCCCCACTGCCTACCCATTTCATACCGTTAGTGGGATGCCGCTTTGTCATCCTCCATCCATGTCCAGGCTTGATTTCCCCTGCAGCAGTTTGGTCCATCCTTTCTTGGCAGGTCATGAACTTCCCCGAGCTCCGCCAGCTGGCCCTCAGCCTCGTGCCTTGTATCACTGACACGAGCCTTCTGGCCATCGCTCACAACTGCCGGGCCTTGGAGCAGCTCTCGCTGAGCCACTGCGTGAACCTGACCGATACAGGCTTTGTGGAGGCAGCCAGTTCCCTGCATCGACTTCAGCATCTTGTCCTTTCCGGCTGTAACCAGCTGACACCCCAGTAAGTGGCGCTGCGGAGTCCAGTAATGACTGGCCGGGGTGTGGCATCCGGAGGCTGTCCCAGGCTGCTGCCGGGCCAGGCCTTCCCACTGTCCATGCGTTTCGAGGGCAGGCAGGGAACAAAAGAGCAAACACCAACTGTTGGCCTTCCCTTTGCAGGACACTGAAGGCCATTGGTCGGGAGTGCCAGCAGCTGAAATGCTTGGATGTTTCCATGTGCAGCAAGATTAGCATGACCGATGTGGAGCACTTCCAATCTTACCTCCCACCAGAGAGTCAGGCTAGCATCCAGTCGCGGTTTGTGGGTGGGGCAGACCTTTCCATCACGCTCTGAGGTGGAGGGAGGGCTTTGGAAGCTTTCAGCCCAGGGGAATGGAAGGACCACCTGGCTCGCCACTGCCGCCCTCAGGGGGAGAGCGGAGCAGGGGTTGCTCTGGGAAAGCAGCCTCCGCCTTGGTGGTGTCCGTGTCCCACCATTAGATACAGCTGCGCCACTGCCAGCAGCTGAATCCCTGGAGCCCGGGGAGCCCACCCATGCCTGCCTTGCTGGAGCCAGCCATCGAGCGAGGCTGCGGTGATCCCCCCCGGCAAGTGGGGACACCCTGGAGACCATAACCTGGAGCCAGGGAGATCCAACACTGTGGGCATGGCCTCCAGTAGCATTAAGTAGCAGGGCTCATGGCTACTGCAGATATACGTCTTGATGCAGCCAGGAATGACCAGTTTTTCTGAATCCCGCTTCCAAGCAACTGTGGCATCCCTCTAGCCCAAGGGATACAGATTCTCCAGTGCCAACTGCAGCCGCCTGTAAGGGCCCCCGGGTATGCTGATGCCAGTTTCAGAGACACCTCCTGCAGAGCTACTGGGGCCACCAAAACCAAAGCGATCCTTGGCACGTTCGGGCAACAATGAAGAGATGTTTCCGTAACTGCAACCAAAAGGCAGCTGTATCTTACAGTTATTTCTAATGGCTGGGACACCTGTGTATACACACACAGAGCCATTCCACTAATCAAGGATCTTGGTGCCTGTCAGTTGTACTTTGGACTTTACGGTTGAGGAAATAACAACAGCGCCCTGCCCAGCTGACCAACAGTAACTGAGATACTGAAATTGCAGCTAGTCCCAGAAACACAGTAAAGCAGGGATGAGGAACCGTCCTCCAAATGGCTTTGGACTGCACCTCCCCACAGCCTAGCCAAACGTGTGGTGTGAGGGAACGCGAGGCTCACGGTGCCTGGAGGACCAACCACACACTCACCACTCCTGCCCTGCAGCTCTCTTGCCCAAACGAGATCCTCAGAATGTCTTGGACTGCAGTCCCCACCATCCTCAGCCAGCCCAGCCATGTGTGCTGGCCCGGAGTGGTTGGAGTTGTATCCCACACACAGGTGAAGAGCACCTGGTTGGAAAAGGCTACACTAGAGTCACACGGGCCACCTTTCCCAGATGCTTTTTAGCTGAGACACTTGGAAAAGGTTTATTTTAAAGGGCATGCGAGGGGTAGAGACACACTGACGAGAGCCCACTCCGGCATTTCTGTAAGAATACAGGAAGTTGCCACACAGGAAGCCACTGAAGAGTATTTTTAAATAAACTGCTATGGCTTAGAAAAGTCTGAACCCTCTCTGGGTTGTCTTGAAGGGGGGTGAGCCTACCATTGCACCAGCTTATGTGCCCACTTAGAGCCAAGGAGGGGCCAGTGACACTGCCCCCTGTGCCAGCCGCCGCCAGTGAGTGCCCCACACTGCCCAGGCAGCCACTCTCCCTGTGTGGGAGCAGCCTGCCGCCTGCTGCTCTGAGGGCCGCACAGCCAGGAGCGGGCGAGGGCGCACGGCAGCTTGCACTGGCCCTGTCCTGTGCGCCATCTGTTACTGCAGCATGTCTTCTACCAGGGGAACAGTGTCTCCAGCAACATGCAGAGCACGCCTTCTCCTACAGTGTGCAAACAGCCCTCCCAAAGCTTCAGCCTCTTACAGTAATTTGAAAACTCCATGAAGGCAATTCCCTTTATTATCATTAATCAGCCCTCTTGGTCAGAGGAGTGCCACAGTGAACATGTTACAGTAGAAGCACCTGAGCAAGAAGGAAGCCGAGGGTCTGGGGGGTCCCTTTACAGGAGACACGGAGGGAGACGAGGTTTTCTATTGTCGGTGGGCAACTACAGTGCTGCAGGGGAATTAATACACGAGGAAGGGGGAGAGGAAACAGTCACTCCAGTGCAGTGGACTCAGTGTTTCTAAGGGGGCAAACCGTGCCGTGGGAATGTGACATTTACAAAGTTCACATGAAAAACAGGAAGACCAATCACAGTTATCTTCAAAGGAGTTGTCTGATGAGAGCAAAGAAAGCCACTTCCAGTGGGAGCACCACCAAGAGACTCTTCTGGCTTGAATCGCCCCCCGTCCTGCCATGCCTCTGCAGGCCCTTCTGCAGGACGGCAGCCAGCTGGGTGGTGGCCCCTGTCAGCTGCACAACCGGCATTTCTGGTTTGTGGGGGGGCGTAAACTGTGAGCCCACGCTGCTGCCACCGTAATGCATTCTGGCATCACCCCAGCTAAGCTACCTTCCAGCAAAGGGGGGGGGGGCAGCCTGCCACACAGCTGCATTCAGCCATGGCAGTGGGAGGGAGAGAGAAGGGCATCCATCGTGCTCGAGGGAGAAAGTTAGCTTGTACGCAAGCCAAAAGTGACTCTTAGTAGATATAACATGCCGCAAGTGTCAAACTGACCTGCAGACAATTGAAATCAAAGTCTTGTAGTACTAAGGGGCAGTTTGCTGCTGTCGTTGGGGGGGGGGGGTTTACAAAAAAGGCACATGCTTGCGAGAGGTATCCAGGGAAGTGAAATAGCCCCCACAGTCGCTCATCCATTTCAGCTATTGCAGAAAGGCGACAACCGGGCTCTGTGTATGGGTCAGACTTTGCTTAAGCCCGGCAGATGCATCAGTTTCTGGAACTCTCTCAGCTCTCATTTATAACAGTGAAAAGAAACTCCTGGTTCTCTCAAAAGCCAGGACATGCTTGGGGCTCATGGGGATGTTTAATAAAGTCTCAGCAGGCTGAGGGTGGCCCAAGATGTCCAGTGCTTAGGTGGGGTGAAGGGATTCATGGCTAGCAAAACCAGCATAAAAAGTAGACAGAATAATGAACATGGCAAAAGTAAGAAACATTTAAAATGTGCTAAATATGCATGATTTATGACTACAGATCCCTTAGTGCATAATTTGAAAAATGATTCAAAAGCAAAGAGCACACAACCCTAACTACTAAGTACCATATTACAGACCCTGAAAAGGTTTTTAACAAAGCTTTGGATGCATTTAAAGAACCATTTTCCAAGAAGGCTCAAAAGACACGGATTTAAGAGTCTACTAAGATAAGCTTTCCTAGAAGGGAGGGTCAGAAACCCTCCGTCATACCATACCTTGCTTGCAGCAGTCATGGAACAGAGATCCCTGAAAGGTAGTTATGCTACAGTTTTGAACAGAGTGTCCTGCTGCTTGGACAGATCAGAAATGTACTTATTTGGCCTCAGGGTTCTCATTCAGCATGGGAAAAAGTTTTGTAAAGTGCTAGTTTCCGCCTAATGAAAATGGAGCAAGAGGCAGATCAGATACTGGCAAGTGATTCAGGCTAACCAAAGCAAAGGAAATGGGGACCAGCTGTGTAGAAGGCTAAGCGGGGGGGGGGGGGGGGGATCAATTCATTTGTGGGAATACTGGGGAAAGAGTCTGTCCCTTCAGCCCTAAGTGTTCGGCAATCCACCATTTAAGGTAATTCCAGAATTCCTTAAGAAAATGATGGCCATCTGGGAAGATTAAGGCCTGGCTCCTTCTGACCCAGCAGAGCTTTCCTTGCGTTCTTTCTGCATTGGGAAGTCGACACCAAGACAGAAAACAAGACTCGGGGCCACACTAAACACCTTTCTAATCATACATAGAGTACACTGGATTGATTTGCTCCAAAGTAAATGTGGCCCCCATTTTAACCAAAGTTACAATACTCTGGGGTCAGGGACTGGTTTCCCCCTGCCAGTTTTGGTCCCAAAATTACACTGCTAGGCTGAAGGGTGGGGGTTATAAAAAAGGAAAAAAGGAGACTCCATGGATTCCAATGGAGCTGTTTTCCCCCTTCCTGCCTGCCCCACAGAGGGGTAGAACAGGTGAAATTTCAGAATAAAAACAGGTCACGGGGAAGCTTAAACTTCTGAAGCACTGCAGAACAAATCTGAGTGTGGGACAGGTTAGTTACCTGTAACTGTCATTCAAGCGGTCATCTGTGCAGTCACACATATGGGCTTCGGTGTCTCTACAAAGATGCAGCCGGGGGGCGGGGGCTTCTTCCCAGAATGAACACTTAGCTATAGAAGCTTCCCGTCAATAGGGCCTACACAGGAGCAAAAGCCCATCTGAGAAGTTCAGAGACCACAAAGAATGTCCAGTTTGGCCCTCAGAGGCTATCAACAGCTGGTTGCCCCTTACTGGGGGCAGTATATTGCGGTATACCAGTTGTTGGGATATGTGAGAAGGAACTAGTTAGCTGCTGTGTGAACAAGATGCTAGACTAAATAGGCTTTTGATCTGATGCAGCATGGCTTTTTGCAAGTTCTCCAACAGCTACGTCTCACAGTAGTAGCAGCCCAAATTCTGCAGACTGAGCACTTGTCTCCTCTGAGTTGCACATATGGAACAGCTGTATAGTTGAGGCAGCCTCATGACAAATTAGCTCATTAGCAAAAGGCAATGCTCCCAGTAAGATTGGGATATCTGCACGGCTGCCTCTCAATTGTCTACAGATCCTGGACTGGGATCTCCGAAGCACAATCTCAGGTCTGAAAAAGGCAAGTACTCTCTTTCTCTGCTTAAGAGTTAATTCTAGCATTCGTTGCTGCAGCTCCTGGCTTTAGATGCAGGGCTGAGCTGGTGATGATTCTCTTTTCATAGTGCATAGTTTCCATTCTAAAGACCTGTTTGATCCCGATATTCCCGAGCCCCCAACAAAAGAACTGGAGAAAACCAAGGAGATCCCAAATGGCGCAACTGGAAGAACGCAATATAAGTAAAAGTGTATGTCTCAGAACATATGGATAAGTCCGTTAAGATAAATTGGATATTTGGGTCTCAGAAATGGTATTTCATAAAACATACTCGATTTAGCAGACTGGAAACATGCCAAGGACCAGCACATTCCATCTCCTCGCTTTGTGGTGAGATTCGCTGCAATTTGGTTTGCTATGGTGAGATCCACATGAGGCAGTCTCTGCTCCACATGCTCTCCAAACAATCACTGGTCACTCTGATTTGAGGTGGGTTTGCAGGTTAGTCCTAATCACAGCTTGCCTGATTTTGATATCACAGCATACACGGGTTAGAGGAAATCTGGATGCTGCAGAAGGAATTAGCATACCAAAGGGAAGGAGAAAGCCCACAGCATGGTCCTGGTCTCATCTGGAGGATCATCCAAACTGAGCCGGAGAATCTGAAAAGCTGTGTTTGCCCCATGAGATCCCTGGCAGTATGTGCTAAAAAGAGGCCAATGTTACTGTTCTATGTGGGTGAAATCATAGCAGAAATTTAAGTTGCTGGGGGGCTTTGGGATGACAGGTGGAGTATCCGGAATGGGAATGTTCTCCAGATCCAGCAATCGCAGCTTGAGCTCCATAGACAGCAAGATATCCAGGTCACTCTGTGTCCGTTCACTCACCATCTCTCGGCCTAGGAGTACATTCAACCCATCGGTCCACAAGCAGAACTGTACGGCAAGGAAACAGAGATTTGCTGGTTGCGTCAACAACTCCCAAGCTGCAGCTGATGCATCAAATACGGAGTTCATACAACCACTTTTAAACAGAAGGAAGCCAGAACCACACATTGAAACTCAGGTCAATAACTGCAAAGCAGTGCGGCAGACTGACAATCTGCAGCGAGCTGAGAACAGGATTTAACTCTGCCTTACAAAATGAGAGGGGAAGGTGTGTGTAGGAAAAAGTACCAGTGAGAGAGAATAAAATGGGAATATTTTCTTTCCCAGAAGATACTATTGTACAGAAGATACATCTAACAGGTGATAAGCATCCCCAATAAAAGAAACACAATGGGCATCAATAGGTTTTTTCCATAGGCACCTAAGATTCTCTTTTTACTCCCTCTCACTGACCCCTCTCCTGACCGCCACTTTTCTCCTACGGCTTCCTAAATCCCACTTTTTCTCATAGTGCAGCAGCCCAAACATGGTAAAATATGAATGGAAGTTCATGGAAGTTCCTTTTCTAGAAAGCTGAGTATGAGGGAGGAAGACCACGCTGAAGCAGCCCCATGGGAACTTTCCCGCAAAGCAAAATCGCCCAAACACGCGGTAGGGCAAACGAGCATAGGAAGGTTAGAGAATGCCGCTTTTCCCAGAGCAAACTTCTTGTCGTTAGCATGGAGTCTTACAATTCCCTGCTGCACTCCATCTTTGCCCCAAGGCTGAATTCCGAAAGAGATGAGTGAGGCTAAGCCAGGAACGTACCACACCGTGTGCATTCAGCACAGCCCATGGGGGATTTTTGCCACCCACCGCTATTAAGGGGCACGGTGGTACAGGTGCAATGCTACAAACAGGCAACGCAGGAGTCAAAGATGCACGGACATGTCTTGCCTCTGGCAACACAGGAAGCTGGCTTATACTGAGCCCATCTATACCAATACTGCGGGTTCATCTCGTACTTAGTCAACACTGACTGGCAGCAGTTCTCCATCATCCGGGGTTTTGAAGAGGCAGAATGAGAACAGGGACAAGCAGACCCTCCCCACTTTGGCCACAGACTTGTCCGGGACCACTCAAAATTTGTCAGCTTCTGTGCACCTTCAATCCAGCTCTACTGACCACTCATATTAAACAGGCAACCCTTAACCCCAACATTTTCTTCAAGGCACAAGAGTTCCTGTACAGCTAACTCACCTCGTACCAAGTGGGAGCAATGAAATTCAAATACTCCCCAACATCACAGCTAATGGAAAAGGCAAGGTCCAAGAGATCCTGAAAGGAAGAAGAGAGGTAGGATGGGATGCCAGGGCACCTCTTCACTCAGCATATAGTTTAGGGTGTCCTGGCTGGGAGCTTCCCACCGGCCACTGTGAGGACAGGACACTGGACTAGTTTGGTTCCGAGGCAACCGGCTCCTCTTCTATATTCTCAGGGGTCAAGACAAGAGGGAGGCTGGCATTGGGGAAGGCTTAATGCTCACCAAGAATGCAGAAGGTCCAGACAACTGGGTACATGTGGTGTTGCCAAGCAACCCCAGCTTGGCTTCTGGCAGGATTCCCAGAAAACCAGCACATGCAGCCCAATGCAAGGCTTTCCTGCACTTCTTTGCTTCCCTTTCCCTTTCTTTGCTTCCCTTCTCTTCTGACTTGAGAGGAACTATCAGCAAACTCCCTGCTTTTCTGCCCGTGGCAGAGTAGCCTTCCACATAATGCAGGTTGCCAAACCTTCTTGGACCACGGCCAGGACAGCGTACAATATAATAAGACAACTAAAAGAAATGCATCATGAAAATCAAAGGCTAGCCCAAGCTGAGTAAAAAGACGTTTGTGAATGTCCCTGAATTAGGAATCAAAGCAGGTAAGGCAAGCCTTGAAACAAAAGGCCAGCGCAGTCCATCAACTGACCCAGCAGGCTAAATGTCAGCAGAGAGCAATGTCTGAGCAAGGGGCAATCAGGAGGAGGAGGCTGAAAGAACCTCTGCAAGGCAGGGACTGGCGCAGCCCTGGAACAACCACTAAAAAGGCCACTTTCGGTATCTGCCAGTGACAGCATATGGGGGACCCTTCCCCACAGCAGTCCCTGAGTGGGCAGGTGGGTGACGCACTAGGGACAAGAGGTATGTCACACCAGAGAGGAAGCAGCACATGCAACCCTCTCTAGCAGACAGGCACACACACCTTTTGATCTGTTCGGTGGCAAGGGGCAGCACTAGCGGGCCATATATAGGTGTGTGTACACACACAAATGCATGGCTAAGCCTGGCTAACGTTAGCAAGGAATCCCATCCTTTCTCTCCCCTCAGGCTTAATCGAAACAAAAAAGGGATTCCCTTCCTAGAAAGAGGAATCCCAGGCAGTGCAGCCATGACGTTTTGTAGCAACAGATGCAGGAGGGGTCCAGCGGGCCACCGAAGGAGCCTGGGGGAGGGCGCGGCTTTTGCACCCTGCTTCACATGCTTGGGGAAAGAGGACAGAATGCAGGCTGACCTTGTTCTGTTTGCCAGAGCTCTTCTCCTTCGTGTGTGGGCATTCCCGGCCAACAAGCAGTGCTTTCATATCAGCCACGGGAACTGTGGACAAAGATGTGCAAAAGTTAATACTCTGGTGGGCTGCAAAGAGAGAGGCACGCTGACACATGCGCACAACTCGAGTTGTTCTGGGCTCTCCCTTACACAGAGAGAATAATCCCTTCAGGCATTGCCTTTGGTCCATGGATAAAAAGACCTACACAGGAAGCTGTTTTGATCAAGTATTAATTTCATTTCTGTGCTGCCCCACGGTCTGGGAGCACTTGTAAATAATGGTTGCTCTGGCTCACACCAAGTCATAAAAAAACAGAAGCCTCAAATTCAGTAAAACACCATGAAACTCCATTATACCATTTTTAAAAATATAATTTAAAACCATTTGAACAGCTGAGACACTAAAACTGGACTGGCATAAAAGCCTCCCATAAAGCCATTAAATACCAGTGTATGCCATGGAGAAGCAAGCAGTGTGGACTTGCCACTGCAGGGACAATTGAGTTAGGGCCAGGCGGGTCCCAATGGGGAAACTGTTCCATCATCAGAACCCCACTGTTGCCAATTCCCGAGCCATCAGAGGTGCACTTGGAGGAAGGCTTCAAATATTCCAATATCTACGCACACCGAAAGACCATATACATGTTAAGTATGTCAGTGCCAGACCAGAACAGATTCATATTGGCTGAATCTATTTTATTTCGTTCATTCATTCATTCATTCATTCATTCATTCATTCACAAGTTTTTATATGCCGTCCAATACCAGAGCCTCTGGACGGCTTACATTCATTCAACAACAAGCTTTCAGTTATATCGATTCTGTGCCAGCTTCATGCCAACATCCACCTGAAAATGAGTTACGCTTCCAGCTGGCACATGCACTTTTCCTGAGTCTGTTCTGATGCTTTTACCATTCCAATTGGCAGCTGCAGAAAAGGCAGGTCTGGGTGGGCATCCATTGCCAGGGGACCTGAGCATGCCAACCCTTTCCTGTTCTCACCACCATCGTTATGCTTTTCTTTAGCACTCCCAGCATCTGAGGCAGTAGGCCGGTGCACCCCAGTTGCTGGGGAACTTGGGCAGGAGGGGCTGTTGCACTCGTGTCCTGTTTGTGGGATCCTGTGAGCAGCCAGGCGGCTACTGTGCGAACAACACGCTGAGCTAGACGGACCACTGGTCCGACCCACGGCAGGGCTCATCTGTTCTTAGTCACGTCAGGGCAGCCACTGAGTTCCTAATTCATGGGCTTAGCATTCAAAGACAAAGCATATGACCAAGAAGCAGGATGGGTGGAAGGCACAGTTTGCCATCAGAAGAAGTGAGTAAGATACACAAATGTGCACGCATTGAAGCTAAAGGGGAAACTGGAAAGCTCTTCATCCCCCTGCCCCACAAAGAAGAAGCAGGACTTAATTAAAGGGCACCAAAGACTGAACAAGCAGAGTGGCAGACACAGTGACACATTCCCACCTGGCCAAGAAACTATAGGCCAGAGGTGGATCAGAACCCCAAGAAAACCAGGCCCATTTCAGAAGAAGGGAAAAGGTCTGCTTTATGTTTGTCATGAGCCTCCGCAAAAAGCAAGGTAGATAAGATAAATACAGATCTTCTGTCTATCTTATCCCTGTCTATCAGAAACACAAAACTTTCTGCTACCAAACAACACTTCCCAGATGGAGCACAGATAGTGCTGAGGCCTGAGGGCAAACACTTTGAAGTTACAGTTGGATATGAGCTGATGCACCAAACACTTTAGAAGCAAACTCAGATAGAATATCTTACATATTTAGGTAACCAACAGAGGCTCCCACAGGTTTGGAGAAATCCACAAAAGCTTCTATGAAGTCAGCTTGTGGATCCCACAGTAGGGACCAGCTGCTTCCAAAGCATGCAGATTTCTCAGTTTATCATTTTAGGGACCATTTGCACTAATTCACATTAACACTAAGGTGATTTAGCACAAGTAGAACAAAATTCTGATTTTTAAAACTCTGATTCCATCAACGAGAAGAAGACAGAATGAAAGCCCCCTGAGAATCCACAGAATACAGCTGGGATTTAACAAAATTTGTATATCCTTCAGTGTCTGTAGCTGGTACGGCTGATAAAATTACACCAAATAATTTAAACAGCCTAGCACATTTTGGTTAAAGGCTTTGTCAGGAGCATTGTAGAAAAGATGCGATAGCTTCTTCACATACTTTGTAACTAACTGAATGAAGATTTTAAGCAAAATGCACTTGAATGCATAACCCATAATGTACTGTACAGATTCTCTTTTCTTGCTCCTGCACCAATGCCTGCCCTCCCTTTCTCTGTTGCAAGTTCAGTCTCATGAACCAACCAAGCAATAGTACCAAAGGGTGCAATAGCGATCTTGTAAATAAGCAGACTGGCCGGGGGGCAGGGGGGGCACATACCTTTCTCCTGGAGGCTCTCAATGGGTGGGTTTTCAATGCCCTCATCAACATCTCCATAATGCAGGAATTTGTGGTTGGGGGAAAGGCGGCAGTACCAGAGCTTGTCTGCCAAACAAGAGCAAAAACCCACAGGCACAGCATGACGATTGTGAGCACGGCTGCACACCTGGCAGCACTTCCAGTGTGAACTCTTTGCCTCCAACTTGCAGTGTCAATAAATCCACACTTTCCCCGTGCACCTTTGCAACTAGCTTTAGAGGCCCGACTTCCTTTCCCCCAACACGCAATCCAAAAGAGATCTTGCATGTCTGGGGTCTGTAACACAGTGACTCTAGAGACCCCTTTTGGTACCCATCAGGTTCTCCAGCCCTCCTGATAATTTTATTAAATAATTAAAGATTATTAATTTTTTAAGCTAGAGACTGTTTTGCTGCAAAGCAAAACGCTGCCCTTCAGGACCATCTTTATCTGAACCCAACGGAGTATTGTTGGTTTTAGAGCTCGCGTCTCATCTCTGCCTTCCACTTCAGTCCCTGGGCAAGCTATTTCTCTTTCAGTCTCACCCATTTCCTTCTGAAAACCGAGTTACCTGTGACCGGCCAAGCCCACGGTGGCAGCCCCCTCCCATGACAGCTCTTTTCCAAGAGTACACAAGATAGGCTCTTGAAATCCCAAATGAGTCCACCCACCCACAAAGGCTGGAAGCCCCTCTTGGAAACCATCTGGGGGGATCCCTGCAACTCTGTAACTGAGCCCCAAAGCTCAGAACGGTGGAGCTTCCGGGACCACTTGGCTCCATCAGATACCCACCCCAACATCCATGGGCACATGACTGGCTGCCACATTCCAGTGGTCCGCCTCTCCTGCGGCTGCCTCCTTACCCTGTCTACGGCGGCTGCTAATCTTGCGGAAAAGTGTTCCTTCGCACAGGTGCAGGAGTCTCTGCTGCTGGATCAGCTTGAGAAGCTCCGGTTTGAGACGTTCTCTCAATTCCCTGGAGCAAGAGTAGAACAGGGAGAAGACGGGCGCTTCTTAAGGCACAGATCCAATGACCCTTTGACAGTCCTCTAGCCTCGTTCGCCCTCCGCTGCTTTGTGCCTTGTGCTTCCAAACCAGAGTCCCACACTAACAACCGGAATTGCTAACAATCTGCCGCTCCTTTTTGAAACGCCGAATCAGCTGCTCGAGGAGGCTGCCTCACGATGCCTAATGGAAGGACTGGCCCTGTTTGCACGGCAAGTTAATCCAACCCCAGCTCAGGGCAGAACATCCTGAGCTCCAGCTCAGTCTTGGACCTTGAGCATATGCAGAAGCCCGTGCTTGTTTGCTGCTAATGTCTGGGGCTGCAGCCGCACCAGGCACAGAAGTCTCCAAGTTGACTGCGAAGGTTTGAGGAGGCTCTTCAGCAGCAGCAGCAGGAGGTGGTCTTTAAAAAGTCATGATCTATTTGAAATATTTCTTAAACTGCCTTTCATGGAAAGGAGTCCATGATACGATCTGAGAACGTGAATAAAACAATTCACCCCAAAATCTAAATACAACGTATTAAAAAGTAATAACAGCAGAATAGAGGAGGCAGAGAGGGAGAGAAGGAACAGCCCAAGCAGAAGAGCTGAAGAGAGCGGCATTCAGGACACTCTTATGATCCTGCACGCAACTGGCACCCCGTGCGAACTCAGTGCCCAGGGTCCACAGCGGAGAGCGGGCAGGAACAGCACCACTGGTCAGCGCGGGCAGGCCCTTGCTCAGGGAGCCCACCGAGGAAAGTCCTCACAAGCTGTTCCTCTGGCACAGCAACCCGCTTGCTGCCTGGCCTCTTGCTCAGCCCCAGAAGGGTCAGGCAAGCAAGCGCAAAGCAAGGAGAGAGCGAGGGGAAGAAAGACCAGTGCCGCTCGCTCAAGGGCTCTCTGCCTGGCACAGGAAGGTGTGGGAGTGCATCAGCAGCAGTGGACTGGGTGAGGGCTGCTAATTCAAGCTGTCTTGCCCAAGGACCTCTGAGAATCTGGAGCCGCCACTAGGAGAGAAGGGGCTTGCACCAGCAGCCACATCCATGTCTGCAGCAAATGTCTGAAGAGCTCGCACACTGAGACATGGTTCCCCTGCCCTCCCTCTCACACACATCCGAACACGGGGCAGCGGCAGCGAAGCCTCTTTACTCACAGGACTGGCGCAGCCAAGATCTCCTCCTGGTGCATTCGTTCCGTCTGCCGGAGGCGCAGGATCTCGCTGTAGTTGAGAGCGTTCACTCTGCTCTTGAAGAGCTCCAGGGAGGTGGGCTTCAAGTTCAGGGTTCTGGTGATCTGCTCTCGAACTACCTGCATCACCTGCGGGAGACACAAAGTTGTCTCCCGTGCGCTGCAAAGCCCTTTCTGCTGCTACCAGGCTCTCAAATGCCTTTCTCTCATGTCGAAATCCCTCAAAAACTCCCTCTGACATGCTCACGTCGCCCAGAGCTCAAATTATGGAAGGAAGACTCAAGGTTTGCATTCCCCATCTTCAGTTCCCTGAGACACAAGACACGATTTCGTCAAAGTAACGCCAAAGCTGAAATTTAACAGCTGTGGGCTGTTTGGTTTTATACGGCATTCCACATCAGTGCCTGACACACCCTCCCCATGTCCCAGGCCTCTTTTATGTGGCCCACACGACCTGTTCTTGTGATACAAATTTACAAGGTGACCGACTGCACAAGGGCCGCATTTTCTATTGGTTAGCAAATTCTGTGACTGCCCGGGATGACAGCCACTTCTGGGCCTGCAGGAGAGAAGACAGGCTATGGCCCAATCCCTCCCACAGCCCGAGCGCTGTCAGCTTTTCCTTCTGTATTGTTGCCACACGCAACTAGGTCATTGTTTTGCCCTTTCTCCCTTCTTTCTCTTAGACCATCCGGTGCACCCAGACACCCTTCTCTCTGCCTCAATTTATCAGGTGGCTTAGATGCCTGGAATGGCCGCTGGTCCAGCCACTGGGCAACTGAGCAGGCCAGTAGATGCCACTCAGTGGGCAAACACATCTGACCCACCCCACGGCCTGCCCAGTGTGAACCACGCAGAACAACGGAACACGTTCTAGAACTCCCCAAAATGGTATTTATTTGTGGTAGCTGCATGTGCCTTAAATAACAGAATTACTAAGTGGCTCCAGACACAGGTCGGCCTTACCTTGTCAAAATCCTCCTGTGTCGCACGCATCTCCTTCCAAGTCTTGTTCAACAGCTGAATACAGACACAAAAGAGCTCCTCAAAGAAGTGCTCTTGGCCGAAGAACATGGGGTAGAAGGCCTGGGCTGTCTCAGAGCCTGCAGTCACAGAGATACACAACCTTTGGGTGTCTTTTTCCTGTCTTCCTCCTCTCATTTCTGTAGCTCCCAGTATGAATGTTGGCTGAGAACTTCCATGGGGAGCTCCTCTTCAAAGTACCTCAGCCCTTTTCTGAGAAGTGCAGAGGCCTTGCTTTATACCACAAAGGAGCCCTAGAGGTTGGAGCAGCTGGAAGAGAAATACCTTCTTTCCCAGCAGCCAACACTTAGAAAAGGCTCAAGTCCATTCCCCACCACTGGATCGCCTATTCTTCCCACCTCCATCCAGGAGGCCTTGGTGGTCACAGGTGTGCCATGTTTTCCCCTCTCCTATTGTGCTGACCTTGAGTAACACACCTGGATGGGCACCTTCGACTCAGCCCTTCTAGGTCCAGAGTCCCACCCTGCAGGGACTGGCGCTCAGCTGACATCACTTCCTCCACTGCCAAGGCAGGCAGCTTGGAGCCTTCCAGAAGTTTTGGAATACAACCCCATAAGCCTCTCCCAGTATAGCCAGTGACCAGGGATTATGGGAGTTATACTCCAAAACTTCTGAATGGTCTGGCTGCACTGGCTCATAAAGAGCCAGTGCGGCATAATGGTGAGGGTTGGACTGGGACTCAGAAGATCCGGGTTCGAGTCCCCACTCACCAACGAAGCTCACTGGCGGGCTTTGGGCCAGTTATGAACTCTCAGCCTAACCCACCTCACAAGGTTGCTGTGAGGATAAACTAGAGAAGAACCACCCTGTAAGCTGCCCTGGGCTTCTTGAAGAGGAAAGAAATGTAGGATATGAAGGCGAGGCACTAATAATAACGATGGCCTTAATGGTGGGCATGGATGAAAGCGGTGGGGCCACAGCAGCAAGTCCTTCTGGGTCACAAAGCGAAGGGAACATGAGAAAAGCCCTGCTGGGTCAGACCAAGTGCCCAGGTAGCTGAGCGGTCCGCCCGCACCACGGCTGACCAGCTGCCCCGAGCGCAGCTTGCACGCAACGTCGCCCTCCCCCACATTTCTCTGGGGGACGCGTAGGCACGGCCTTCCTGCCTCTGCCCCGGCCCTGGAGGCAGCACAGGGCCACGAGGAAGGATGCGCAACCGCTCGTCATCTTCTCCTGCAGGACTTGTACTCACAAGGCTCCCCCACATGAAGGATCTCACAGAGCATGAAGGAGAGTTGGATGCTACTCCGGGCAAAGGGGCATTCGTGTTTATCTTCTCGGCTGCTATTCTCAAGAATGAACTGAGAAAAAAGGGACAAGGTCAGAAAGGCTTCTCAGATCTGTAAACACCCCAAAAGCAAGGAGAGGGAAGGCAAAACAGATGGCAAGCCAGGGGGAAGGGAACCTTTCCTACGGGCCCTTATGGCAACAGTCTCAAAGCCCTGTGGTCCAGCCCATAGACCAGGACCAGGAACTTGGTGAGTGGGCATGGAACCATGTGAAACAAGAAAGCCACAGACAGAAGTTTAAAACGGCCACGTGTGTGGCATTAACTTTGTTTCCTGTCTCACTCACTGGTACTTATGCTGGGCTGCCACCTGTTTCCTCATCAGAGTCTCAGTTCTCTGCCTCTCTCACACAGCCCACAACCCTTTTTACAGGTTCCTTTCAAAAAATTTGAACAGGACAATTTCTACAGCTTGGAATCTTAACAGCCCCACTGTTCGTAAACTAGATCTTCTTTTCCCCTGGGTCCAGCTCCTGCCATTTCATATTTGCTTTTCATAAATGCACCACTGCTCACTTAATGCCAAACAGACCTTCTGATAGTTCAGATCTAACTTGCATGGCCTCTCTAGTCTTAAAACCTCACTCCAGATTCCGTCTTGTAGGGAGGTGGGCTTCGCCTCCACCAGGAGCAGAGCCGCTGCTGTTGCAGCCCCTGTGCTAAAGAACTCCTTTCCGGGGGGGGGGGGGGGGGGGGGGGGGATGGTACCATGTCCTCCTGGCTTCCTGAAAACCCATCTATTCCAATTGTCCTTTTAAAGCTTACTGCTTGATTGCTACATCCCATGGCTACCTTTGGCTAATGATTGCCAATTTTGCCAAGTTGTTTCTCTTATCTTGTTTTAACAAATTTTCATTTTCTTCATATATTCTGATTCTGCAAAATCTTGGGACATATCACAACAGTGATATATTAATATATTCAAAATAAATAAGCAAATAAATGACATGCTTCCGGTCCACTTAAGAACTAGAACGTTGTAAGAGATCTGCAACAAAATGTTGTCCCTTTGAAAGGTTCCAGCTTCTTCCATGCTTTCCCATCCCCCACCTCAATATTCCAGGACCATCCAGACTTCTATGGCCACTAACTAGGCTCCCTCCTCATAGGTCTGGGTTTATTTGTGGGAGAAAAGGGAAAACAAGGCAGCTCAGGGGGTTTTCCCTCCTGAATATTTTTTATGCCCTAGGAAACACATTCTGCCCGCATAACTATATATGGAGCTAGCATGTCGAGTCACCTTTGGGAAGCTGGAAAGGCACGAGCCTGCAGCTGGATGACCACATGTGGAAGCAGAGCAAGGGGATGGACTCGATGGCCTTACAGGCTCCTTCCAACTCTACTGCTCTTCTCTTCTGTTCGGCTCGGCTCAGTTCTATCCAATTCTATTGCTATTCTATTCTGTCCAACTCTACTCCTGCCCTGCCCTGCCCTACTCTACTGTGTCTTGATGGTGTCATCTTGTCTACATAAGGACCCACAATTTGATATTAGTATGAAGGATGCTGGGAATATAAGAATTGCCATGTCAGGTCAAAAGGACACTCCACCTGCCCAAGAATCCTGCCAACAAAGACAGCCAAGCACAGGTTCAAAAGCAAGGCACCCAACCCTGTTTGCCAGTGCCAAGCACCTGGTTGTTACCGGAGAAACCAAAAAACCTGTGAGCAATTTGAAAAAAGGAAGAGTTTCCCAGGGGAAACAGGTCCTTTAGTTACCCTGCTGTAGGCACTTGGGAAGTGTCTGGAGAAATAGACCATGCTGTCCAGAGCAAGAAGCCCCGGAGGGACGCGGTGCAAATCCATTGCAGGGTTGCTGTTATTCTGAAAAGAAGATATAATACAACTTGAGGATTTCTTGGACTCCAGGTAAAGCCTCCATCCAACACATACCCAATACAAATGCAGCATTTGGAAAAGTAAATTTGAAATCACATAGATGTATCTATCTACAATTATTTCTAAAGTGCCTTTAAAGGTGGAACCCTACAAGCTTTTAGCCTGCATGGCTTCACGCTCAGCTAGCATGTTGTGTCTTTGCTAAACTGGAAAGGAGGATAACCTGCAGCTGGAGGGGTGGCCCCATGTGGAAGCAGAGCAGGGGCTGGGCTTGATGGCCCCTTAAAGGCCCCTTCCAACTCTTCTGCTATTGTATTCATTTGCCTATAAATATGTAAGCACATTTTAACTCATATTCACAAGTGCGGTCCTTTGCTGGCTTTGACAACTGTCACATGATCCTGCCAACTGCCAATTTTTAGATGTTTTAAAGGTAGCAAATGTACATTTAAAAAATGGGAGTGTATCTTTAATGTTCTAAAGTGCCTGTACCCTTCTGATTCCCCACCTTTAGTAATTTTCCTTGCCTTACCCACACCATTCTCTGTTGCTTCTACTTTATTGGCAGGGGTAAACATCCCAAGAAAGGAAACTACAGATTTACACAAATTCTACACCTTTGCTATATTTATACTGAGGAAAATCCATGCAGCATATCTTCACTTCCGTGGCTCTCGTATTTCCAAGCCCAGCGCTTAAATACCATTCATTTGCATATTCTCTTGCAGCATATTCCCAGTAATTTGCATATTCTCTTCATCTACTTTTAGACTGATACGCTACCTTACCTGCAGGGCATCCCCCAAGAGTTCTAGCTCTCAGGAAATTGTCCCTTGGCAAGCCCTCTCCCAGCACTGTTTGGAGCACTGCGGGGATCTTACCCTGCTGCAACCGTGCTCTAAACAGTGCTGGGTGGGTGGATCGAGTCACCGTTCTCATATCTCACGATGCCATGGATTAATTTAATGTCAGACACATCCTGGGAGATTAAAACAGTGGCTAGTTCAGCCTTCCCCAACTCAGTGTCCTCCAGATGCTTTGGACTTCCATCCCATCAGCCCTAGCCAAAGTGGTCAATGATCAGGAATACTGGAAGTTGTAGTCCAAAACATCTGGAGGGCACCACTTTGGAAGGGTTTGCTAGGCCAAGCCAGCCGGGCCTGCTTGGAACTCCAGGCCAGGAATGGTTTAAAGGGGTTCCAGGGCCCAACGCAGAACAGGCCTGGCCATGGGCCCCCAGCTGCTACCCAAGGCTACCTGGTGCTGAAGCCAGCTATGGCTCCCTGACACGAAACGTTTAAATCCTTGCTGGCCTCTTCTGGCACATAACCATCAATGCAAGCCTCACCACAAAGCCCAGCTTGCGGAACTCCTTCGCACAAAGGGAGTGTCGCCGTTCCGTGTTCGAGCTGCCCGTGGAAGATTCGTTCTCAGACACAAAGGCCGCGTGGCGCAGGGACTGGAGGAGCTCTCTCTGTTCCTGCGCACAGAATGCAACAGAGGTTCGACATCACCTGGACAGGAAGGGTACTGACCCGGAGTACCTGAGTGCTTCCCCATACGAAACCGGTCTTCTGTTTATGCCCATGCCTGGACATCACTGGTGGCAGACAACTGTGTGCAGGGGAGTGCTTCCCCCTCCTCGGCACCCAGCAGGGAGATGCAGAGAGCTGCCGGAAAACGGACAGAGCTCTCCATCTCTCCTCTGCCAGCACTCAGCAGGCTAGCAAAGCACACTTTTGCAGCCAGGTATTTTTGGTGGGCTCATTTACAGCCCATGGAGCTTTGGTTCCTCTTGCCCAACCCTCATGGATATATAGCACAATTCAAGGGTGGCCTAATGAAGAAACAGGGCCAGCTTGTGACAAATCAAATGCTGCCCAGGTGCTTCAGGAAATCCTTGAAACGCTGAGACTGAGGTGCAGAAGCTCTTCCAGCACCACGGATGGATTCCGTTTCCATGAAGCTCTCCTTCCAGAGGGCGATCAGTCCAAAGGCAAAATGGGATGGGCCAAAAACATCTTGCTTGCTTGCTAGTTGCAAAGTTGTGCCTGACCCATTGCAACCCCATGGACAACACTCCTCCAGGCCTTCCTGTCCTCCACCATCCCCCGGACTCCACTGAAGCTCACACCGACTGCTTCAGTGACTCCATGCAGCCACCTCATCCTCTGCCGTCCCCTTCTTCTTTTGCCATCTATTGTTCCCAGCATTAGGCTCTTCTCCAGGGAGCCCTTCCTTCTCATTAGGCGGCCAAAGTATTTGAGTTTCATCTTCAGTATCTGGCCTTCTAGAGAGCAGTCAGGGTTGATCTCCTCTAGGACTGACCGGTTTGATCACCTTGCAGTCCAAGGGACTCACAGGAGTCTCCTCCAGTATCACAATTCAAAGGCCTCAGTCCTTCGGCGCTCAGGCTTCCTTATGGTCCAGCTTTCACAGCCATACATTGCAACTGGGAAAACCATAGCCTTGACTATACACACTTTTGTCGGCAGGGTGATGTCTCTGCATTTTAGTATGCTGTCTAGATTTGCCATAGCTTTCCTCCCAAGGAGCAAGCGCCTTTTAATTTCTTGGCTGCAGTCCCCGTCTGCGGTGATCTTGGAGCCCAGGAAAATAAAATCTGTCACTACCTCCATTTCTTCCCCATCTATTTGCCAGGAAGTGAGAGGACCCGATGCCATGATCTTAGTTTTCTTAATGTTGAGTTTCAAGCCAACTTTTGTGCTCTCCTCCTTCACCCACATCAAGAGACTCTTTAGTTCCTCTTCACTTACTGCCATGAGAGTGGTATCATCTGCATATCTGAGGTTGCTGATATTTCTCCCAGCAAGGGGCAACTGGTGATTCATCTAGGCCTGCCTTTCTCTTGATGTGCTCTGCATATAAGTTAAATAGGCAGGGCGACAGTATACAGCCTTGCCGAACTCCTTTCTCAATTTTGAACCAATCAGTGGTTCCGTGTCCAGTTCTCATTGTTGCTTCTTGACCCACATATAGGTTTCTCAAGAGACAAATAAGATGGTCTAGCACTCCCATCTCTTTAGGAACTTGCCACAATTTGTTGTGATCCACACCATCAAAGGCTTTGGCATAGTCAATGAAGCAGAAGTAGATGTTTTTCTGGAACTCAGCCAGCTGGTTTATTTTCCCCTCCGTAACTCTACAAAGTGCATCCTTGTGTTTAGCGAGAGCTTTGCCCTTTGGGACCTCTGGCCCTCTGCATGTGGCAAGGACAGGAGGAAGCATGGGGCCCTACTGAAGGAGGCTCCCAGGTTTAGCAACAGCCCCACATGCCTCCCAGGCCTCACACAACTGCATCCTGCATCCAGGGTCGCCCTGCTCCCTGCACAGCCTCGCTCCTACAGCAGAGCCTTGCTCAGGGAGTCCAGGCTGAGCATCACAGCATGAAAGCAGAGGGTCCCCCTTCCACCCCATCACCTCCATGGGGAGCTGGCGAGCTTTCAGCCCTGAAGCCTTGGGGAACCACTCTGGCCAGCCAACGCTAGCAGTACTGAAACAAGATGGACAAGGGATCTGACTCAGGCTAAGGCAGTTTCGTGGGTATTCCCAAGAAACACGGCTGCCCTTTAACGCTCCCTCCACAAAAAACACCGAAAGAGACAAGGCCTCAAGCCTTAAGCCCCAAAGCACAGGGGGAAAGTGAGGAAACAGACCTGTGAGTAGGGATCCATGGGGCTTCTCATCCTACGCTCCAGCAGGTTCAGCGTGAGGGACTGCAGCACGTAGAGGTAGTGGGCCATCTCGTCCCCAATGGGCTCCGAGGCGTGGACAATGTTCTAGAGAAGGCACCAGAGAGGCACAGCTGATTCTCCCAGCCAGGCACCAGCATGGCCCACCCTTGTCCCCGATGGGTTCTTCCAACTCCCCCAAGTGGGGCTCAGTGAGGACTAGGTGTCCATCCACCAAGGGAAGAGTGGCAGGCAACTGTGGGCAGAAGAGAGTGGGAGAGAGAAAGAGACCGATGCACCAGAACAGTGGGCCAAGCCAGAGTGAGGAGAAGACAGAAGTGAGACGAGTCACTCAAAATGTTGGAAGGAGGCCCCTGGGGTGAGGACGCAGAGACGCCAGAGATAAGAAAACAGTTGCTGGGCGCTCCACATGCCACCTGGATGCCCACCTTGTGGATAAATTGTCGGAGGTTCTTCTCTCCCAGATAGTCCATCATGTCCTAGAAATAAAGGAGGCAGTGAGACAGTCACAACCCTACCAGGTCATCTCTTTCTGAGCTAAACTTTCCAAAACTTTCTTTTGCCTTGAGAACTAGTCCAATTCTGTAGCAGTTCACAGGTTAGATTGAGACTTGGGAAACTGAGCTTCGAATCTCCACTCAGCCATGAACTTCATTTGGGCTAGTCACTGACTCTCAGCCCAACCTGTCACACAGGGTTGTTAAAAACTCCAGCCATGCTGCTTGCTCCCAGAAGAAAACACAGTTGTCACTGGCTTCTGTAGCAGCTTTTTCTTTGTGTCAATTTGGGGAGGGAGGGGATTTTAGGAAACACAGAATGTGGGAAAGGGTGACTCCTCCCTTCCTGGTGCCCAGTGGTTCAGAGTCAAGTTCAGGTCAGGAACTGAAGTCACTCAGAGAATCCCTGAGCAGGAGAACCAAGCTGCATTGACTTCCCACACTTGTTGGGCTCTTTCTTCAAGCAACAGTTTTCTGTAAAACTAATTCTGTTCCCTATTTGAGCTTTTCCTAATATAGGACTGGGGGGAGCTTCTTTAATGCAATTAATTTTTCATTGTAAAATTTCAACAGAATGGAACAAGAAAGAGGAAATGAAACAGAATGTTGCTATGCAGGATCTGTGATCAGCATGCTGATGTTCCTTCCTTCCCTCCTTGCCAACCATCCTGTTTTTAATGCGTGGGTAGGCAAATCTGACGTCCAGGGCACCATAAGCTATCGGAACACCATTCTGAGTGCCCGACTATATGCCCTGACACTCCCACTTTAAAAAAATCAATCCATTTTCTTACCAGCAGCAGGGATTGCTGTGAAATAGGGTTCTTTCTATGCTGAATTTATTAAAAAAACTGTTTAGGAAGTCAGGCATCAGACCCAGTTGTCTGGGCAAGTCATTTGCCTGCTGCCACTCCTCCCATGGCAGCCATTTTGCGACGGAGCACAGGAGAGCGTCCCAGATTCCCAAATGTGCCTGGGATCAGAAAGGTCATCCAGCCCGTTTCAGTGCATGAGCACCACTGCACACCTAGAGGCTGCTGACACACCCGTGCTAGCGAGAGGCCTGCCTGGGAGGGACCGCCCTACTCTACTGGCATGCCAGCACTTTTGCTGCCACCAGAGATGTTCTGCCAGCCCCTCCGTGGGGCAAGCCACGTTGCTGGATGCCAGAAGCCCGGCTGAAGGTTCCACTTCCTCCTCTCCGCACTCCCGAATGCACCTTACCCTCCTCTCTGACTCGCTGGCGTTGAGAAGCAGGGCAATAAGGAGCGCCATCGCTTTGAGCTGCAGCTGGCGATTCATCCTGGAGGGGAAAAAGTCAAAAACGAAGTGTCTGTGGGGTTCAAATGCCACAAGATCTCCCTGCTTTGCAAGGTCCCTCAGCGTAACAAGAGGGCCCGACCCTCCATGCCCTGCTCAGCAGCTTCCAGAGGTATCTGATTGGTATTCTGGAAGAAAAGGAAGAATCAGATGGACTGTTGCTTCGATAGTGGAGGGCTCTTTGCATGTTCCTAGGCAAGCATGTACACAGAAACCTCAGTACAGCAAGCCAACATGCTCCTCAAGCCCAGGAAACCAAAGGAGGAACAGGGCACCAAAAAGTGAGGCAGAAAGCATCACAGAGCCATAGCCTATGACTTGCAATGCAGTGGAGAAGATCACAGTCCTGTTTCTTATACCAACAAAGAAAGACTGGACCCTGTTGGTGGCTCTGACTTGCCCTCCTGCACAGCAGAGGTGCAGAACCTCAGGTCCAGGGGTAGAACCTCAAGGCCCCACTGCCTTGCACTGCCCCCAGCCACTGCCTGACTGGTGGCTCCCCAGCTCGTGTCCGTTTTGCCTCTCCTAACGCTTAGCTACTGGCAGCTAGAGATTTCAACTGAAACAGGCTGATACTTTTGTCCTCTTGGGTCCTACCTACCACTGGCCCTCCCAAATCTTCTCTGCAGTGGACTCAGGTCCCCAGACTGGAAGCAGTGCTGCACCTGGGCTGTAAAGCTTTGGACCTCTTCCGTGCTATGCACAGAGCGGGCTGCATTGTTAGAGAAGCTTATGGTGAGCATCTGAAAGACCTTGCTGGGTCAGAGCAACATTCAGGCTAGCCTAGCTTCCTTGCTAGCCAACTTGATGGTGCAAGGGCCTGGCCCTCCAGATGTTGTTAGACTAGAGCTCCCAGCATCCTCAGTTCCTGGCTATGCTACATTAGGCTGATGGAGGCTGAAGTACAATATCAGGCATCTCCCCCACCCACAGAGACGGCAAGTCAAAATGGTGCGTGGTTGCATGAAAGCCACACAACTCAGCATGGGATGTACTTACACTTGCAGAAGGGCGATGAGGCGCTCCAGGGTCACCTGCTGCTTAACCAGCTCAAAGAGGGGGCGGCTGGTGGGCACCATGTTCTCCAAGATGGCCAAAGAAATCTGCTGAATGGAGGCATCCATCGGGATGATGTTGACATAGCTCACAATCTGTGGTCGGAAAGCAGAGCGTCACGTAAGTACAGCGCTGGCAGTGGCCAAAGCTCAAAGCCCACTTATGCTTTTCTGTTATTCTGGCTTCAGCCAAAGCATCCTGGGAATGGTAATTTTTGAAGGCATAGAAAGAGAGCCAGTGTGTCCTAGTGGTTAGAGCATGGGACTGGAACTCAGGCGATCTGGGTTCTAGTCCCTGCTCAGCCATGGAGCCAACTGGGTGACTTTGGGCCAGTCACAGACTCTCAGCCCAACCTACCTCACAGGGTTGTTGTTGTGGGGATAAGATGGAGGAGGAGATGTAAGCTGCCTTGAGCCCTTTGTAGGAAAAAGGCAGGATATAAATTGAAAAATAAATAAATAAAATGCTTCAATAGACTCTTCCAGACAGAATCACCAGCAAGCTGTGACAATTAAATGAGGGTCATTTGTATAAATATGCCAAGCAGCTAGAAAAAGTGCTGATACCTCACTTTTGGCCAGGGATGCAGAACCACCTTTAAAGCAAGGGGCTGAATTCCATTTAAGGGGAAAACCTGGGAACCATATGCCAGTGGGGAGTGGAGTCAAAGTTAAAATGGACAGGGCCAAAATACCAACATATTTTAGCTTAAAGTTCTACTGTCTTGGGAAAGACAGTTCAGACTATGAGAATGGGAATTTCCAGCATTGCTGACTGGTGCCGGGGCCTCTGGGAACGGAAATGCCAAGCATCGGAAAGGGACCTTTTGCCCACTACTGCTCAAGCGGGCTAGGGATAATGGGAACTGAAGTCAAACACATCTGGGTAAGGAAGGTTGCTTATTACATTACAAGAATTAGCCAGATGGGGAGGCACAAGCATCCTTTCCCCAGTCAGGGCGTTCTAGAAACAGAAACAGCTCAGATATCACACTCCTCAATCAAAACGCACAAATGCCCCCAGTGCCCCTCTGTGGTCTCTTGCTAGAACGCGCATGAGCTCACCACACGCAGCAACAGGATGCGGTATCTCTGCATGCACAAACCCCGGCTAATCTCCCGACTGAGCACTGAGGGCGCGACCGATCTTTTGGCCCCTGCTTCCAAGGCAGACCTTACCTTCTTGATGAACGCTGGACTGAGAGTCTCCCAGGAAACGAAATCATGCTCCATCAGTTCCACAAAGGCCTTCAGAGCATACGCTAGAATCTCCCCTATACTGGAGCAACAGACAGCAAACAGGGTAAGAAAGCCCCCGAAACGTCACCCTTCAGCACCCAAGTGCAGCTGGAACAGAGACACCCAGAAACCACAGGAAGGATGCTTTAGAGGCACCTAGAAAGGAAAAGGGAGAGAGAAAGGAAAGAGAAAAAGAGAAGGAGGGAGAGCAGTGAAGAAAAGAAAGTCTCCGTACAAGCTCAAAGTCCCAGAAAAGGCCAAGGTTTCAGGAAGCACAAGCAGAAAGAGCATAATTTTCCTCCAAAAATCTCAGCTTCTGCCACCAGAAACACCAAATCTGTCAATTGCGACATAGCGTGTAAACGTGTACCATTTATTTAAAATGTACATCATTTACAGCATTTTTTGCTGACTGTTATAGGCAGCTATTTTCCTTCAGATACGAATATCGTTTTCCTTTTGCAATCTAATGCACATCACAGGGCTCTTGTGAGGCTAAAACACACAAGCTGCTCTTTGCAGGAAGGGAAGGATTAAACTGTCTTAAAAAGTAAAATCTGGGCCTAGAGTGCATCACCTCCCTTGAAACATTAAGCCAGTGATGGTGGAAAACGATTCTCCAACAGCTGATGTATCTGCTGTCCAGGCAAGACTATGTTATGATTGAGGAAAGGAGCAATGGCCCAAACGCAGCGGCCGAGGGGCCGGTGGAGCACAGCCCGGGATGCAAGAGACCCTGAGACTGATAACCCTGAACCTGGGCCAGAGATGGGGCCACTCTTTGCCCCAAAGGGCCTCACACTGTTTGGAGCTGCTGCACCAGCACAGAAACATGCCTGGCATAACCTCATGGGCAGCTGGGCTCTGATCACAGGCCTTCTCCTGAAAGGCCTGCCTAATTTTAAGGAGAGAGACAGAGCCTAAGGGGCCCCCAAGCCACAAAAGGCTCCAGGCTGGCCCCGGATGGTGTTGAAGTAGGTGCTCCAGAGGAGCTCCCTTTGACACTGCCCTGGCTGGCCTGCCCTGCCCCACAGTAGCCAGACGGCCAGGGCTCCCCAACCTTTTTGCGCCCGTTTGGAAATCTGAGAAATGGAGGAGGCCCCCAGCGAAACTTCCCCCCTTGGGAAATGTGGCTCATCATACAATGGCTGCTAGAATGGCCTGGGGGAAGGAGAGAAATGGGGAAAGGGAAGCAGCAGGGAAACGGGGAGGGAAAGACTGGAGCTGGGAGTGGAGAGAAACAGCAAGTGGGACAGAAGATACAAGAGGAGGGGCTAGGAAGGGGGAGAAGAAGTGAAGAAAAGTGCTGGGTGGAGAGAAAGAGCAAGGCTTGTGGCCAAAAGTGATGAAACAGAGAGCAAAGGAGAAGGGTCTGCAGGAATGAAAGACCGGGTGGAGCCAGGAGTAATTCCCATCCCTTCCTGCCCCCTTAATGGCTGAAGAGCAACATGAAGCTTACCCGGGCACCCCAATGTTTTTGATTCAACAGAAGTTTTGTAGGTGGTAGGGAGTGGAGAGCTTTACTGGAGGTCTGCTGGAGGTCCCGGAACTATCCTGCTGCAGATTCCCTACTGGGGGCCAGAAACTGCTACCTAGTCCCTTCGGTAAGAATGTGGCTAAAAATTTCTGAGAGGGAAGATGCAGCAGGCTCCTCCAAAGAGCACAGGCGGTTTGAGTGTTCCCCGTGGTGCACTGGGACCTTCGCAGCATCCTTCTTCCCTCAGATACTCACTTGTCATCCTCCTCGACAATGTGGAAGAGCTGGCTGAGTCCATTCCTGCTAATGAACTCCTGGGCAAAGGCAACGTCCCGTGAGAGGCTTGCCAGCTTCTTCAAAGAGTCAGACTTCACATCCATGCTGTTGCTCTGAATCCCACCATGAAGCTTTGCTGCCTCTTGATCCTGCCAAGAGGAAAGGTCAAGATACGTTTTCTATCAGTCTAGAACCAGCCATGTTTGGAATCTTACGCATGCAGTTCTGATTGCTTCCATCTGAAAATGGTCTCCTGGAGCTAGAAAACAATGCAGGAAAGGGATAACCAAACTTACTTAAGGAAAGACTCAAATATTTATGACTTTTTAATATGGAATGAGGAGGAGGAACCAGTTAAGATGAAATGGGGAACAAGTTATAAGAGTGTCATCAAATTATGCATGGTACAGGGAAAGTAGAGTAACAGGAATACCCAAACTCCTGGTCACCCAAAGACTGGCAGATGTCTCACGACAACAGAAAAGAGTACGTTTTCCGGCAGCATGCAGCTAACTTGTGGAATACACTGCAACAAGATGGGATGATAGCTCAGATCAGGGCAGGCAGAAAGTAGAAAGAGACCCACTGCTGATCTCTGCATGATGATTCACAGTAGCCCCGATACTTTAAAAGAAAGCAAATAAACTTGACAAGGGAAAAAAATCTCTGCCGTGGCAGTCTTGGGCTACCAATTTATTGCTTCGCTTCAGTGCTCCTCATCTGTGAAACAGAAGTGCTATTGTTTGCCTTTGCTCTGGTCTTTTTTTATTTGTTTTGAAATTTGAAATAAAGGTAGGACAATGTCCGGGAAGCCAGCAGCATGGTTAACACTTAAGAGTCAAAGAAGCTGTTAGGGAGAAGAAAACTTCCCTCATAAAATGGAAGTCTTGCCCAAACGAAAAGAACAAACACAAGACAGCCACACGCATGTGCAAGGGAGGTGCAAGCAGACAGCTGGAGAAGCGAAGAACAGTTTGAGGAGCACACTGCCGCAATGTCAAGACTAGCAATAAAGAATTATTTAAATGTATCAAAGAAAGAAAGCAGTTAAATCAGCACTTGGGCCACTGGATGATTATGGAATTAAAGGAGCACCAGGGGGCAGGGAATGAGAGGATGGCAGAGAGACACACGCCTCACCGATGAAGTTCTATGAACAAGGCAGGGAGGTTGCACAGTAAAGGCAACCCAGAAGGGCCCTACAAGAAAGCTGAAAGGTTTCAGGTCTCCTGTCCTGGCTAAAGAAAACAGACAGAATAAATGGGCAAATGGAAGTTGCTTGTCCATCAAGTTCACAGGTTTTCCTGAAAACATTAGAGAGTGCCCACATCCATTCCCAAGAACCACAAAATATTTAATGCAAGAATAACATTCTTGGGATCAGGAATATATGGTCCAAATGACAGGGCAAACCTGTGACAGAAAAAAGGAGGACTGGATGACCTTCTGGTCTTACAATTCGATGGCAGAACCTACCGGAGCTGTGGTCAGTTGGAGGATGCTCCCATTCTTGATCTCTCCACGATTCTAGCAGAACAAGACAAGAAGATGATTGCATGACCAAAATCCTGCATCTGAACAGCACAAGAAATCTGCCAAAGGGGAACTGTTTTTTAGAAGACTCTCTAGATAAGACGTGTAAATAAGCTCACAAACTTGCGAAAACAACCTCCCCCAAACAAAAAACAAGGGACAGAAAACGGTGTTTTATGCTGGATGCAGAAGGGACAGAGAGCTCCATCCCTCCTCCATCGTCCAGCCCATGCTCCGGCACGCAGTTCCTGATCAGCAATGGAAAGCTGGCGAGCGCTGATGCAAGCCTGGCCCAGGTGGTTTGCCAACTGTGCACTCACCGATTCTGTGATGTACGCTTGCTGGCCATCCACATACTGCAAAGCATAGCGGTCCGAGTTATTCAGATTCCACCTATATCAGAGTCAAGCAATCAGAGTTCAGCCATAGCAGGGATCCCCGAAGCCACCGCCCTGCAGCTCTTCAGGCAACATGGCGAAATCCCAAAGACGTAACTCCATCCCACTGGCCAGAGAGGTGATAAGGTACCCACAGAACCTCTGGCTTGCAATGGGTAGAATAAACTCTACACTGTGAAGCAAGGGAAACCTAACTGAAAATATTTTGGATTGTGCGAAAGAGAAGGGAAGCTTTTTGCAGCTGCAACATTTAATTGAAGAAAACCTTTTAATTCAATTTAAAAGCTGTCCCTGATGAGGTAGCCATTTTGTATTATTTATAACTGAAGTATGCATAGAACCTGCAGATGGCAAAAAAACCCTTCTTAAGAGGTAGTCCCTTCTCTCTTACACAGGAAGGAATGCCTATTCTGTGTAGATGTCCTGATAGGGTGCATGTGTCCACATTAAAAAATAGGTTTCTTGCTTTAGGTCTACTGTTTGTACCTAATGTACATTTACGCAAATATAAAGCAACTGACTAACACTAATACAATTTATCTCCTTTCTTTAAACAGGCAACAGCCTTACAAAAACCTCCTACCTACATTTATTTACATATTTTGAAGAATATTCAGGGCTATATGTGAACTGCTCTAAGAATGTTTTTAGTATAAACCATGCACACATGGAAAAATATTTTCTTTTTACTTCAGGCTGTAATCCTATACACACCAGTGAATAAGCCCCACTGAATTCAGTGGTATTTATTTCTGAGTAAACCTGTATAGGTTTATGTTATTATTCTGTAATTCTTAAGCATATTTTGCTTTTTTGGGGCTCTACTAATCATAGACAGAACCTTGGAGCTGTGTTGATACAGCCTGTGGTACCTCAAAAACTAACCACTTTATTATGGCCTACATTTGGTGGGCTAGGACACATATCAAAAGTTTATGCGAAGGGTGCCCAACTTCTTTCAGACCACGTGCAAAGTTCCATTTGGGGGAAATTCCTGGGGGCCAGGCTGCAGTGGCAGGCAGGGTCACAGAAAACAGGGGAAGCGCCAAAGAGAAAAGGGGCAGGTTCAGATTGTCAACATGTCTATTCTCGCTTAAAGCTCTTACTACCCTTGGGCAATCAATTTCATCCTTTTGGAACGGGGAGATGAATGCACAAAAGCCAGGGAACCTCAAATGTTTGCAATGTGGGGAAAGAGGTTATAGCTAAAGCAAGTGGTTGAGATCCAACCAGAAGCTCACACTGCAATTCCAAGCTTACAGGACTTGGCCCTTTTCTGAGGTTGTGATCCTGAACCCGACTTATGCCAGGATAACTATGTCAATCTTTAAAATGTCACAAAACTCTTTGCTAGTTACATAATACAGAGTAGTTCCATCCCTGGTCTCTAGAAAACTGCTTCAGCTACTCCTCCAGTTACAGACATTTTAGCAGGGATCACCCAAGGCATCTGTGCGCATAGCCATCTGTAACAATGAGCATTTAGGTTTGTTTCAAGGTATCACAAGGAACTGTGGCCCATGTTTGCTTATACACAACCCTGGGAACATCCTAACCAAGTTTAAAGCATGGCCGACAAAAGTAGACTAAATTAAAACTGAATGCATTAACAGAAAACTGTGGAAGATTTCTGCAAATACTCATGGAGCCCCACTTTGTAGAAAACATTCGTGGAATGGCCAGGGGTTCACCCATTTACCCTGCTTCAAAGCAAAGGTGACAAGCAAGAGTTACTTACGCATCGCAAACCTCTTTCACAACCGCAGACAACGGCTTGGCCTGCAAACAAAAGCAAACAGCATGCAGACACTTCAGCATGGCTGGGAACTCCAACACTTAGGGGAACAAACTGGATCATGTTCACTCTGTAAGAGGCAGGGAAGGCAAATTCTTCCATCTGTGGGGCAGATCCCACTTTACAGCAGCTCTCTCAAGTAGGAGGCGGGGCCAATGCAGAGGAGCAGAACCACAATACCAAACCAAAAACAGAAGAACCCCGCTTGTTTTCTTTTACTGCCAAGTAACAAAGCCTTAGGAGAGGCATTTCAGAGTGCACAAGAGCCAGGAAATGGCAGGTGGTTGGGGGGAAGGGAGTGAAGCCAGAGGAAGGCGGCCTCAAGGACTCAAATCAGACAAGGGCTCTACTTTTTGAGGAGTGCTAGTGACACAATGAAGCTGGAGGTGTCACATGGCAGAAAGCGGCTGAGATGCAATGCACTTACCTGGTTGAGCTCTATGAGCTGGGGAATGGCCCCCATCATCTGGACGGCGATTTTCACAACATCTTTGGAGGGTGGCATGGTACCTCTCCTCATGCCCCCACCTGCAAGCAGCTCCAAAAAGAGAACAAGGTGAGAAGGCCACCACCAAGTAACTAGGAAGGATCACAGGGAAGGAAGGCCCATGTATGCCCGGGCAGAGTGGCCTTCCCATTTAGTGCTGGGATACAACTGGAGCTTTGTAGCATAGTGCTGTAGAGCCACAGAGACATAGGAAACTGCCTTCTAATGCATCAAACCATTGTTCCTTCTAGCCCAGCATTGCCAACATGAACTGGCAGCTGCTCTCCAGTTTTCTGGCCCTACATGGCACTGCGGGGACTGGGACTTGGACCTGGGACTATCTGCATGCAATGGAGGCGCTCCCCTGTGGGCCTCAGCCATTCCCTGACCTGCGCATATGCAGCAGGTATGCAAGTTCCCACACCTGCCATGCTGAAACCACACAAGCAGCCAGAGAAAAGATGGAGCATCACCTGATCTACTTATGTGATTTCTAACTCAGCTTTCCATCCAAAAATGGCTTTGAGATACACACCTATCAGGTAAAAGCCATTATATGTCAATTTTCCATTGTACTGTTTTTTGGAGCTAGGGTGAAGAGCTCACCAGAAGTTTGCAGATGGGATGTGCGAGCAAGGAACCAATGCTTGTTTAGCAAATATTTGTTTAGTAAACTATGATATGTAATGGACGGCTGCTTTAGACCCCCACTGCAAAAAGCAGATATCCTTCATTCCAGATATATCTAGTCTAGTTGCAGCTACTCAGCTGTAAGGCACTTTGTACATGCTCATGCACCAACTTCAGATGTTATAGGACTGAGGCACAACACTAAGAACGGTTTCTGCAGCTGAAGCCTGGCACCAACCATGACACCCCTCCACCATCCCCCAATTTCTCTCAAGCCTCTTGAGCCATCCTTTGATTCTCCAAAATGAACTTTGCATTTATTTAAACTTCTGGCCAATTCTGACATAAGTGGGACAAGGCAGTTTAGTTGCCCTGGAACACATCCCATAATGAACTTCACCAAGGGCTGGCATGTTAATGTTTCATGGCTGTCCCAACAACTCAGCAGGAAGTGCAAAATGAAACTGGCTGATGTCAGCCTGACCTACCTTATAGGGTTGTCGTGAGCATAAAAGGAGGGAAAGCTTTTTTTTCCTCCCAAAGGTAGGACTACTCATGCACCACATCGAGTAGATAGTTAGGTTAGTTCTTCCTTCCTTCCTGTTTAATTTTTGGCCGAAGGAACGAAACATTCCCAGTTCCGTGTCAAACGTCCCTCTTTTTGAAACTTTGCACGGGAAACGCTCTACTCTGCTCGGGCCAAACTTTGCACAGTCTACTCTGATTCGCCTGCACGCAACTCACCAGCTCAGCTTCCCCACTCCGCCGCCCCTGCGCGTCGATCCCGGGGGTGCTCCGCTTCTGCTCCTCCCCTCCGACGCCCGCACCGCACCGCACCGCACCGCACCCCGTCGCCCGAACGCGGGGGCGCGACAGGCGGGCGCGGCGCCGAGCCGAGCCGAGCGCCCTCGCGGGCAGCAGCGGCCCAGCAGAAGCACGCCGCCCGCGCGGGCCCGGCGCGCTTATCGCATCGGCGGGACAAGCCCCAGCGCCGCGCCGGCAGCGGAGCGAGGCGCGCCCCTCTGCGCGCCGGGGCCCTTCTCGCAGGACAAGGCCGGGCGCTGCCTGCCGCCGCCGCCGCCGCCCGAGTTGCGCTTCTGACATTCGCCGGCCCGACCGCCCCCTCCTCCGCCTCCCCCTCGGTAGTTCCGGGGCGGTGGCTGGCGCTCCCTCCACGCGCGCCGCGAACGGTGCGGAGGAGGAAGGCGAGCGTCCCCGCCCTGGGGGAGGACTGGGAAATCCGGCGCCGTCCAGCGCCGCCCGCGCGCCCGTGCAGGCGCCCCCGGCCGGCGGCGCGGCGCCCATCACCGCGCCCTCTGGCTGGGGAGCGAGGTCGGCTCAGCTCGCTCCGTGTGTCGCCCCGCGGCTCCGGGAGCAGGCGGCCTAGAGAGGGCGAGCCTCGCCTCCAGACAACAAAAGGTTCCGGGGTGCCGGGCATGAACAGGCGCAGGGCTCAGTCGAAGCGGCCACCCCCCGCCGAGGGTCGGCTTGCCCGCGGGCGCCGCGCTTCCTCCCCGCCTGTTGCTCTTCTCCGTGTGGGGGGCGGGTGGATCCGTTCGCCAGCAGCCTCAGCCGGGTTGGCGGCGGACGGTCGGGATGGAGGAGCGTGGAGCCACGGCCATGAGAAGTAAGTGTTCCTATCCCCGGGTGGTTGCGCGAGGGGAGTCCGGAGCGGTGTGCGCTGCTAGTCTGCCTGACAACCGGTCGCCAGATCGCCTGGCCCGTTCCGCTACTCAAAGGGTAAACGCAGGGTAAGTTGAGGCTGCTCCCCCGCTTTCTTGATCTCGCTTGTCAGGAGCTGGTAAACCGACCACGACAGCGGAAACTGGAACTTCGGGGCCAGGGACCTGGGATGGGGCCCCGGAGCCCCTCCCTGCAGCCCTTGGCAAATGCTGACCAAGCGTGGGACCTTCTTTGTGCAGGCTCACTGGCTAGTGGAATGCCAGACCAGTTTGAATCGGGCACTCGGGGATTTGTGGTTTTTCACTGTTGGTTTTATAGATTTGCATGGATGTGTTTTCGTTGGAAGCCATTACAAGGCCCGTTAGACCATATAACTCTGAAAAGTTCGCTTTCAAGGATTCAAGCTTGGTGGGCAGCAGAGATCTACTTGCTTTTTTACTAGATGCACAAGATTCACACACCAGAGCCCGATACAAAAAACAAACTCTTAGATTTAAAGAGGTCCAAGCCACAAGGTTGGTTTCAGGTGTGAGAACTGAACTCTGTTTACCATCCTTTCATACAGAAAAAAACCCTCCTGATGACTCTAAACATTCTCCATTTCAGCAACCTGGTTCAGTGGGGAAAAGATGGTTATTGCTTTCAGGAAAACATTTGGGAGCCAGAAATCCTTGTCACTTCCATGCAAATCATCAGATCTTCAGGGAGCTTCAGATCTAGCTGCTGCCCACCAATTCCAGATTATATGGATGTACTCCAGCCAAGACCATGTAATCCAGCAGTATTTTGCTAGCCAACCATCATAAGCTCATAAACTGAGTAAAAGCAAGTTTTCTTCAGTTACTTAATTGCCACCATTTGGTAGCTAGGAGAAAAGTTGTATTTACACATGAAGGCCTTTTTGCTATTGTACTCAATTGCCATTGTCAAAACAATCCTACAGGGTTGCCAGCAAGAGCAGAGGCTGTTGCCTCCCAGAGAATCCCGTACATGAGTTGAAGAACTTGGATTTCTGGCAGGCCTGTACCTACCACCAGCATAGAGTTCTTACTCTAAGCCAAACCTGCCCTTTTCTTAACTAATCTGAGAAACAGATTAAAGCCAGGTGCTGCACGTCACACTTGCAGAAAGAAACTGGCGGGCCTACAGAGATCTAACATTTCCTCTTCAAAATCACTGTGAGCCATGATAGGGGCACGTGCTTTGTTAAAAAGAAGACACTACTAGAAAGTCAAGACCTGTGGACCACCTCCAGCTGTTGGATTCCAATTCCCATGGGCCTTCCAGCATGGCCAATGATGGGAGTTGTAGTTCAACGTCTCAAGAGTCTCTCTTCTACTGTAGAAGGCCCTTCTGGAGTCAACAGTGGGAAATGGGGCTTGGGAGAATTGGTAACAGAGATGAAGGGATTTAGAACCTGACCATCTTCCGAATCGAGTACCATTATCGGAGCCATCCACAATCAAGTGTCCCCTATTTATGTTCTGCACTGGCTGCCAGTCCCATTGAAGGCCAAATTCAATTATGCTGCTATTAGCTTGCAAGGTCCAAAATGGCTTTGGGCCAGGTTACCTACAAGATTGTTTCCTTCCACATATACCTGTCCAGACCCTAAGATTTTTTGTAGAGGTCTTTTCCAGGTGTCCTGGCCAAATGAGGTGAGGTAGGCAGTTACCCCAAAAAGTGTTTTTCAGCTGTAGTGGAATGATTTCCATAGAAAGGTTCACTTACTGCCTAAGTGGTCTTTCTAGCATCAGATGAAGATTTTATTTTTCCAAGTTGTTTAGTTCTTACAAGTTTCAAGTGTGCTTTTTAGTACTTTGCAGTTAATTTTACTTTGGGTAGTTCTTTGGTTTTTTGTTTTTAACTTGTGTTTTATACTACATTTTACGGTACTGATATTGTTTTAATTTTAATATGTAAATGGTAGCATAGAAATGTAGTAACTAAAACAAATGTTTTGTACTTCTGTTCTTTTCAACTATAGCTAGTATGACCAATGGATAAGCAAGCATTCCAAAAGATCTGGAAGGCAACAGATTGGGGATCAGGGACAAAGGACAACAGGCACCAAGGGAAGCCTTTTTGCTGCACACAAATGATTTCACAATTTTTGATGATTTGATTTGATTTATGAACATACTAGTTTTATGTAGCTTGAGAATTTCCCTTCATCTAATTCTTAAGTCTGGCTGTGGACCAGATAGCCAATCAGGTAAGGGAGTTCTTGGTTTCACCTCTGTTTAAACTGATCCTTTTCTAATGCATATATATTACATTTTGTAATTATATTACACGCAGCTCATTGTTACATACCCCTTCCATGCAAGACAAATTTGCGTACACCCATGCTGTTTAACAAGTGATGCCCCCACATCTTTAACACTGCCCACACAGGTTGGCATTGCCAGCTTTTTAAGTTAAGGATGCCATCCAATGTCACTACCCAGAACTCACCAGAACAGGAGGATTGTGTGTATCCAATGGGAGGCAGGAGGAGCAAAGAGGTTAGGGTAGCCACTGCCCTCCCTTCCTCTTACAAAGTATGTTGACAGCCATCTAAATGTTTTCCATTCCTCACAAGGTGAGGCTGAAGCACCTCGGAGGATGACGGTGCCTCACTCCTCCCCTCCACTCCCTGATTCCAGACAGCCTTCCGTCTTGGACACCCAGCTGGTGCAGAAGGAACCGCCCTGGCTGTGAGGGCCGACAGAGGACCTGCACAGTTGGAGTCCCAGCTCTGACTTTGGAAGGCATTCGCAAAGTCAATAGCGGGACACCAACCTATCCTCTGTGGTCCTTCCTCCCCAGACAATGCTGGCAGCCCACAGGACAGCACCTTAGGGTGCCCATTTTAGCTATTTGTTTCAGCTGTTGAACCTGTAATGGAGCCGATGTCCATTGTACCAGCCTCCATCCCAAGCGGTTGCCTAGGTTATCGGTGGGAAATCAGAGACCCAAAAAGGGGGAGACAGCAACTGAAAGTGAATTCACTAGGAGCTGCCTTCCCCAGTACCATCTTTTCAGACTACTATATATGTATGTTAACCTCCAGGGCTGTTAATGGTCCTTAGAAAAGAACAAATGAGGAAGCTTGCCCCCTACCCCCTTAGCCCACCAAGACCTGCACAATGACTCTTGTAGGGGCAATGCCATGCTTAGGATCTCACATACAGTATGTTACTCCTTGTTTCCAGGATTATACCATTAGGGGAAAAAAATCATTTCAAAATTCAACTTTAACAGCTAAGAAGCATGTTTACTCAAAAATCTCTTTAAAATAGGGCTACAGACATCTCTCCATGTGTAACATAAAGAATTTACTGAGTCTAACATCTGCAAGTATTCTATCAGCCTAATGTGGGACCAGAGGAGGCAAAGACTTGCAACAAAAAGGGCGGTTGCTGATTCTTTTGCAGTCACTCCCCATCTCAGGACATTGTTTGGTCCAATCTTTCAATTCAGTGCTGCAAGAGTCCCACCAGTTGGGGTGGAGTGTGTGAAATGCCTTGTTGCAACAGACTGACGGGAGACAGGTTTGCAAAGGTTCTGTTTATTCACTCAGAAAAAAAACTGTACAAATATTACAGGCAAGTCTCTTGTTGCAAAAAAGTATAAAAATAATCTTTATATATGAATCATTTTTTCCTCCATTGTACATTTTCTCTACGTATCTTCTGTGGGATGTCATCTAACAAGAGGTTGACAGTTAAAGATGAGGAAAGGGAAGCTGTGAAATAAGACGTCTCCCAATCACACACACACACGCCAGGATCTTGGGCTAAGGAGCAAACGGGAAAGCCCTCTATCTTCTGAGAGGTGGCCACATACACCAGGAAATAGAGAAGCCCAGAAATCTGGGACATGCAGGCCAAAAACTCACCCAAACAGGATACTGGATGCTTAAGCCTCTAGAAGCAAGGTGCAGCCTCCCATGCTGAAGTGGGACAGAAGGAATTGTAGGCTCTGTGTTCTACCCAAAGAACTATTGCAGAGGCAGGCAGCCTGGTGTTCCCAGGATGTTTTGGATTGCAACTCCCACAAGCCCCAGTCAGCAATGAGAAATGATGTGAGTTGCAGTCCAAAACACCTGGAGAGCAGCAACCTTTTTACCCCTGAGCTGGAGATTGCTTTCAGGAGTCTTTAGCCATGTTCAGGAAGCAAATCAGGGCAGCCAGCTCAGACTAGTTCATCCCGGCCAATCACCCCCATGGGCACATTCCAGGTTCCACAGGTGGCTGAGATCGGCCAGGTGATGTACCCCCATCTGCAGTACTAAGCACACTTGTCACCAAGTCCCCTGGAAATCCGGCTTTCGGCCAAGCAGCATGTTCAGGGTTGGAATACAAGCCTGTTCACTTTTAACACACACGCACGCACGCACGCACACACGCACACCTTCCCTTCCTACACCAGCAGCTCACTTTCTGAGGCCATAAAATGTGCAAAGGTAACAGCCAGAGAGTGTAAGTTCGGGTCTTGGCATCTTAGAAAAGGCAAGTGCAGGCTGGAGGGCCAAAAGGACACAGCTGTCAAGAGAAGTGCAAAGGTGGCGTAGTGGGAGGTCTCTCCTCCCCAGAAAGTGAAGGGCTGGGGGAAGGCAAACAGCATTTGCCATTCGGAAGCAGAGTCATGGGTAGGAGTCTGGAGACGTATGAACAGATTGGCAGCCCAATGCAAGTGGCAATCTGGCAAAGGCAGAGAGGTGTCCCTGGCACACCAAAGGGCACCACCTCCAGCATCTCCGGCAAGTAGTTTAAATTTGTCACCTAGCCTCAGCTTGCCAAGTTAGTTTACAAAGTGGAGCCACTCCATCTTAAGACTCCTGATGTAGAGCTTGGGGCCTGGCAGCACATCAGTGGTAGGGTCAAGCCAGGCCTTCCCTTGAGGGTACAACACCCCTGCAGGTTCGGGCAACCCATTTCTCAATTCTGGCTCTCTTTGGAGGAAAGTGACTGTGCAAAACTGGCACCTTGCTTGCTTTCTTTTGCTTTTATCCTGCGCAGCTAGAGGAAAGGAGCTGGAAATCATTTCGCACACGTGGCTGTGCAATCACTGTGCCAGGAGAAACATGGAGGAGCCTGGAGTGTGGCAAGGAGTTTGCAAATACCTCTGTGGACATAAAACCAATCTGTGCAGATGCTCAGGTGCCCCACCACTTCCCTCTCTCCCTGTCCCTCATGCCTAAAGTGTACACACTGCAGGAGGAAAGGGGAGAGAGTGCACGGAAGACCATCTGAACTGCACGAACGAGCCAATGAGAGGCCCCAGTCCCCCACACAGCAACACTCGGCTATGGATCGGCTCTCCTATTCCTTTCTAAGAGATGCAAAGTGCCTCCAGCAGTGCAGGAAAGCCCAAGGGGGCTTGTGGACTTGAGGAAGCTCCTTAGCTGTTCATGGCGATTCGATAGCAGAGTCCCTGGAGATGAGGCCCAGGGTCCAGTGACAGCATAGCTATCAGGAAGCATGGTAAACAAGGGAGACTCCACTTGTGCAATGCGGGATGAAAGAAGCTAGAAAAAGAAGACTGCCAAACTGGAAGACCATCCCGGTCGGTTTGTAGTCTAGGCCACAGCAGCTCTGTGTGTCGCTTGAGCACTAGCAGAAAAGGAATCCAAGAGTGGAGGCTTGCCACCCCGCAAGGACAGGTCGGTTGGTTCTAAGAATCAGTATCCCAAAATCCATCCAAATGCCCGAAGTCAGAGGTTGAGGATAGGCACATCAAAAAGGTCACATACCCCTTCGCTCTCATCCAGGTTGTAGATGTAGTCATGGTCTCCAGGAGGAGGGGAGAGACGAAGCAGAGGAGCAAACACTGCCATGGAACAGGTACGGTTAGGACAGCTGCTGGATGTGCCAGTAAAGTATCCCCCCACCACCGTGTGTGTGTATGTACACTCGCTATACTAGCCCTTCTGCAAATAAAACCAACTGTCAGTGTGAGGACAAATGGACTTCATGCAGAGGGAGGGGAGGGAGCAAATCCCCTATCCAAATTGCACTATTCAATAGTACTGTACCAAAAGCAAAATACATTGCGAGATCTAGCTGCAGATGTATGCATGACTTCTAGTTTAGCTCAGAGGGTTCACCATTGAATCCAACCAGTAAACATGCAACATAGAACCCAGGCATATTCACGTTATAATAGGTGAGCAGAGGTTAATACATTTTGGCTTGCCAAATAAAAGTTTGCTATGAAAAAGGTGGAGGGTTTTGTATCTCCGAAGCAAAGGTGACCCCGGAAAAATCTCCTCTCCCCAGCTCTGCCCTTGGAGAGATTCCCCCCTGCGGTTCAGAGCTGGAAGGCAGAGGCAAAAGCTGGTTTGGACCTTTGCACCCACCAAGAGGCATTTCAATCGTGGAGCATCAACTCGGGAGCAGAGTGTCTCCCTGTCTTGCCTCACTCGGAACAAGCGGGGAGAGGCAGTGCCGCACCGGATTGCTCTGTCTTTGTGCATGGCCAGTGGCATAGCGTAAATCCAGAAGTGCGGGTGAGCATCATGTCCACCCCCATAGCCAGGCCTCCAAAGCAGAGGCCAAGCATGTCAACAGCTGCATTGCTCCGTAACAACAAAATGGTTCTGGCAGTTTCAGCTGTACCAGCAGCAGGACTTTTTGTAAAGCTAAATGGCCTTAATGGGACCCGTTCAAGAGCAGGCCGACCCAAAATGGCTTGCATTACAACTGGAATAGCACAAGGCAATATACATCTGATGAGAAGATTGCTTTCTCCTTCCTTGGAGCTGGAGGCTCCTCGGGGCTCTGTGCTTGAGCAAAAACTTGGGGCAAGAGGTACAGCTCATTCCCCAGGCCTCATCCTGCTTGCCAGTGCCTCCATCTTCATGTGATCTTCTAAGCGCCTCCCTCTCAGGACCCACCTACACTGCTGATTTACTAACTTGCTCATTCCTTCCCCCTCCCCCTCATAGGAGGAGCACCAAGGCCTAGGGATCTCCAGCAGAAAATTCTTAGGAGCCAGTGTGGCACAGTGACTAAGAGTATCAGCTTGGGTCTAGGGAGACAGGAATAGAATTTGTGTGGTGTGGTGGTTAAAGTGTTAGCCTAGGTCTCTGCAGACCCCTTTTCGATAGCACTCACTCCACCTTTGGGCCAGTCACTGACCTTCAAACTTATCCTACCTCACAGGGCTGCTAGGAAGCTAAAATGGAGAGAAGAACCACATGAAAGCATGCTTGGGTTCCTTGCAGGTGGAAAAAAGGCAGGATATCTATGTAATGGATATTAACCTTAAAAACAAAAGAGGGTGAATAGTGGGTATACCTGCACTTTCTTTTTTTAGAGTAGTTCTCTTTAACTGTCAGGGTCCCTTTCTTCACCCTGCAGTTTTTCAAATGAGAATATTAATATTCCCACATGCCCAAAAAACTGTGGGGTGAGGGAAGGAGCCCTGACATCAGAACACAGCCGTAATAAAAAGAGAGCTGTACAGATGTACACTCTACTCACCCTTCTCTGTTCTTTTTAAAGGTAAGCAAAGCAAAGTTGTGGTGCCACGATGGGGCAACCCAGCTTTGATTAGATCTCAGGCCACAAGTTGGAGGCTGGTCTATTCCGTTATTTACGGATCCAAGTGGAGTGCCACAATTTGTACACCCTTGTTTTCGTGCTTCGCCCCTTGCACGCCCAGTCTCCACCCCAAAACTGAAAGCGGCAGAAGTGGAGCCTTACCTTCAGAGGACATGAGTTCTTCAAGCAGCTCAGAATTCATGCATTCTGTGGAAAGGAGGAAGAGATGCATTGTATGTGAGAGCACACAGATTTGGGCCTGCTAGGCTGGATCCTTCTCACTATGCCTGCTCAGTTTTCCCTGCCCATAAAGTTTAAGTCACAGCCACATACCTCAGCCACAGAAGTGATCAGGCAGGTTTTGCACGGTGGACATCTTAAATGAGCAGCATCGGAAAGCAACAGCTCAAGTCCGTGCCAATACACTTTTAGCAGCTGCTTCCTTCCCCAGCACTGATTTGGTTTATGCATGTAGCAGAATAAAGCAGTGGAACAGACTAGACCACTGTAGTGGTGTCTACTGCAAAAATCACATTTTTAAAAGCCCCCCTACATTTTTTTTAAATCCCTGGCAAGCAGAAAGGCAGTGCCAGCTCCAGGATTTGGAGGGCTTCTGGGTAAGAGGCCCTCAACAGGGGCCCCTCCCCGTAAGTCTGCCTTCCTGCCACCAAGGACACCAGTGGCTTTTGCTCATCCTCCCTCTCAGTACTGCTGCCATTTGCTTGCCTGATGGCAGGCAGGCTCTGCTGCTCCCCCACAGCTGTCTGGGCCAGAGCAAGAGGCAGCTGCATAAAGCAGGCTGGGATGGTGAGGAGGAGGAGGAAGAGGAGCAGCAGTTCCAGGGGCTCTTGCCAGTGTGCCGCTGCACAACTACGGGCCCTTCACAGTTGCTATACAGGCCCAACCTTGGGAATATATGGCGTCTATACAAGCTGGAGCATCTCTTCCCAAAGTGCTGCTTGTCTATTTGTCTACAAGCTGCTCGCTTTTTAAACATGGAGCATGCAAAAGTGGTTAAGCTCCAGCTGTAGTGGGAAGTGAGACAACTCATTCTGCCACCTTATCTGGGGGCAAAAAGGTCTACAGCATTTCAAACTACAGTTGGGGCACTCCATTTTTGAATGAAAAATAATTTTTAAAGCCACTATTAAGTTCCAAGAGGTGTTCTCTGAGTAGAACAGGAACACACAATACAGGCCCCTTTCCTCACCAAAGCAACTGCCCACTACTCAATGCCTGGAACGAGATGCTAGCCAGCGGCACAGCAAATAGTGTGCAAGTGAAACTGACCCCCTAATTTCAGCACAGGTAGTGCGACCACCCCAGCAAGAATGTGCTTGCATTAGCTGTTGCTCTGCCCATATTCAGAGGGCCACTGCCACAAAACTGACAACCTCCAAACCACCAGAGAGCAATGGATTTTCCTCCAATAGCAGTTCTAACATCCTAAATACATGGAAAGAGTCACATGAGAATGAAGCAGGCACAAGCCTCAAGAAAATACGGTTCTGCTAAGGGAACTTCAACAACGCACCTCTGCTTGGATCAAACATCTCCGAAAGTTCTTTGGGAAGTTCCAGTACTGAAAAATACAAGACAGTGATGCTTTTCACGCAGCTCCAAAACTCCTAAAATGGGGCAAGTAGAAGGCTTGGTTGACCCTGCTCAGGCAGCCTACCTCCAGCGTCAGTTCCCTATGTTGTACCATATGTATGGAAGGGTGCCATGAGCGTTAGCGAAAGACCACATCGGCCAGCCAGTTTGGTTATAAAGGATGATCAGATTAAGTGCCTAACTACCCTAAGGACATGCAGTGGCTTTAGTAGTATGGGAAATGAGCCTGCTTAAATCTCCAGCTCAAGCAAACACCAGGAGATCAGAAGCATTGCTTCCTGGTTTGTTCTTGCATCTAAATCAAGAAAGGTGGATACCTGAATGTATGGTTCATGTTAGAACTGACTGTAAGAGGTCAGGGTTTGACACTGTCTCCACAGGTAAGGCCAAGGACAAGGAACCTGCAACCCTCAAATATTGAACTCCAACTCCCATTAGCCCCAGCCAACATGACCACTGAGTCTAGGTTGATGAGAATGTGGCTCACCAGATGTGATGGACCACTTTCCTCACCATAGTTTAAATGGATTATGGTTTGTCCTGGTCAAATGAACAAACCACAGTTAGTTTAAACAAGGGGTTTAAACCACAGTTAGTTTCGCTTCTCAGCTATGCAGGAATAAAGGGGACATGCAACCCCAGGTTTATCTACAGAATGAAAACTATGGTTCAGCATTATGTCCAAACTAGGCTGTATTCTGTTAATGGCCATTTCCACACCACAGAGAATCCTGGGTGGTGAAGAAGCGCCACAGAATCCCCTTCCCCTGTCCCTGCTGCTGTAGTCCCTGGGATTCCTTCTGGCATGCTGCAGAAAAAGTAATTAAAAATTAAATAAGCAATCAGGTAACTGATAGAAATAGGGAAGAGAAAAGTGAGTTCACAACAAGCTTAGGTAATTTTGCACACAATCCAAAAAGATCTTGGACTATTACTCGTTGCTAGAGATGAAAAGTGCTAAGAAAGAAATCAAATTGCATTTTTCAGGGCCAAAGTGAACTTCAAGTTTTCACTTATTAATGATCAAAACATATTGGACTCTCACATGACCAGATAAGCCACCGTGGCTCAAACAGGTGGCAAATGGTAGGTACCATTAGCTTAATTGCATGCCAGGATTAGCTTTTCACAGCATCCAAGCCCAGCCAGCATGGCTTGCTTGGGAGGGAAACAACATCTTTTGGTCATCCACAGGTTTTTGAAAGAGGAGCTCAATCCCCAAGCTTCACTATGCTAAAATCACAAATCCCAAAAGGCGAGAACAAAACAATACTCACTTTCTGTGGGGTCAGGCTTGATTGGCTCAAAGGAGGTAGAGGGACTGGGCAGGACGGAGCTGCTGTCCAGCAAGGCCGAGGACTGGAGGGGCTGAGTATCCAGCCCGGCAGGAGGGCTAGGGGGCACTGTGGAAGGGGTAAGTGGGTCCAGTGCCCCACTGCTTTTTGATTCTGCTGGTGAGATGCCACTGTCTGCAAAGGGAGCAAGAGGGTGGAAGCACAAAGAGTTACCATTCTGAAATGTCTCACAGGTAGCTTTCACAACACAAAACTCTCCCACATGAGAAGAGTACATTCCTTCCACCCAGAAACCTAGGCTAGAAAGCTTCTCCTGTTTTCTCTGTAGAATGGCATCGCGCCATGGCATCTCCCATCTCTAGCCTGCCATGCTACAGCTCAGATGCAAATTTAACTGGGGGGCACTGAGCCATAATGCACAATGTCACAACAGAACTGTTTTTACCTACGCACAGGATTTAAAAGTCCAGTTGTACTCTTTGTTACAGCCCAAAGTATGGGAAGGCTGAGCATTTCCCCCCAAACTGTAAGACAGTTAATGGTGGTTGGTGTGATGTCAGAGTTTCAGGTAATGTACTACATTAATTTCCTGTGCCTGGAATACATCTCAAGGAGTGGAAGAGAGCAGGTCAAGCCTCAAGGAGAAAAAAAAATCACTTACATTGAATGTATTATACAAAGTAAATATTTGTCTCAGGTAGGCCCTTTCCCTCTCACCCACTCCAATAGTCACTTTTCGGTGTACTTGTCCAAGTAAAACCCTACATATACTGCTAAAAGGGAAAAGCGCAGCCATGCGGAATGACAGGACAGACTGACCTAAAGAAGCCAACCCCAGCTTCTTGCCCTCTGGCTGTGATGGACTCCAAATCTCAGCATCCCCAACCCTATCCGAAAGGCACCAGACTCGCCCAACTGGTGAAGAATGTGGTGGCAGACAGGTGATTAAAACTGGGACAGAGTGCTGCAACAGACCACTCCAGACTGAGGCCTTAGTACACTGTAGTTCTCCAGTTGACCTGCTTTCTTTAAAATGTTGTTTACACTAAAAGAAACACAAAACCAACCATATATATATGAAAAAGCAGAAATTGGAACCTTAAAGACTGGATTAAATCTGCTCTTCAAGGACTGATTACAGCTTTTAGGAAATAGATCACAAGCTTGGAGTTTTCCCAACCTCTCCTGGGAAGAACGCCCAAAATTTCAGGGCCACCACCATCCAAGTCCTCATGTGAAAGGAGCAGGCAGCCAGGCTGAGCAGCACTCTGCCCCCACCAACCTGGCCAGTGGGCTTTTGCACAGAGAGAGCTAATGGCAGGCTCCTCTCCGACATACCTGTGGCACTGGCTGTTTTCTGTGCAGCAGAGAGGTGGTCTTGCGTGCTGTTGGGGACAGGTGCAGAAGGCTGGGTACTGCTAGGCAGAGAGGCCTCTTGGGAATGGGCAACAGGTGGCCTTGGGAGCTTACACGGGATGACTGGCGGGCACTGAATGAGGTCTTCAGGTGGAGGGACAGGAAGGACCACTGGAGGAGAGCTCCAGGCATCTTTATTGACCAGCAGAACATCAATTGGGCCACTTGTACTTTTCAGGTGGATCTGGTATTTCTTCTGGCCATTTAAGCCCTATGGAGAGACACAATGGCTCTACGTAACACATCTAGGCCTGCATTCAGTTCCCTCTGTGTCTGTGGTCTCTTTCCAATGGGCGTCCTCAGCCCTCCCCAATCCCACCCTGTCACAGAAACAGCTGCTTCACAACCTGAGACCCAGACTAGTTTCAAATAGTCATGTTGTCCCAACGAAACGGACTCAGCAACACTGGACTGGAGTGCCTATTCTGACCAACACAGCTCCCCAAGGTTTCAGGCAGCCATTTTGCCCAGCCTTACTGTAAGTTCATTTTATTTGGAAATGCTAGGAGGGAACAGAGGGAGATCAACTTCTAGAAGGTCCTACAGGGAACACGGGTGCTCTGCCGCTGTGTGTAGCACCCACCATCCTCCAAAAGAATCTTCCCAGACCTGGTGCCCTCTACACGTGTTGGGCTACAGTGGTACCAGCGTTCTATTTCTGAGTGAGATTTTCAGTCTGCACTTCCCTAACTCAGCTGAGAGTAGGGATGGGGACCCACATTCCCTCAGATGATTGACCCCAACTCCAGCCAGCATGACCAATGGTCAGTCACAATGGGGAGATGCAGTTCAACAACATCTGGCAGGCTCTAGCTGCTTACCATGATCTAAAGTCATGGCAACAATCCCCCCAGGACCGCCTCTTTTGCTACCCACACCCACCACCTACCTCAGGGACAGGAACCTCCAGCTGAGTACCTGATGGGGCCCGAATGGCTAGCAGTGTGTCGCCTGAAACACGAGACCAAATACAACAATCACTAAGTTTAGCTAAGCTCAGAAAAGAGCAGGGGATCATGACCCCTCCATCTCTGTCCCCCTAACTGATCAGCGCATGTCCTTGGGATCTCTCATTCCCTACTCTCCATGCTGCACTCTTGGAAGAGAAGGACAAGTTCTTCTGGGAAGCCCACATTATTTCCAGAAAAAAAGTTTCCAAAGTGTGGCGCAGGGAGAGAATGTGTGGAGGAGAGAGTTAGCTGAAACAGGTGGGGGCCCTAACTAGAATATGCCACTCCATTCTCACCTGGGAAGCATTTGCAGAGGTCCTCATCAGTCACATAGGCTAACGTTCTGGAAGTTAAGGGGAAAGTCAACTGCATCCAAAAGCAAGATCATTCAAACAAATAAGTAAGAAAAAGATGGCAAGATGTTAGGCAAGCTGCAAAAAATTAAAATTGGTGACTTGTTATCAGTCCTTACTACAGAATCTGCTCCTGAGAAGGTGTGTGATTCCCACCCACAGTGGTGCTTCTCAGTAGAAACAGTGAGAAGGCAAACTTTAAGGAACTTCACTCACAAAATTTCATTCTTGTTCAGCAAAACACCATACGGGGGCGGGGGGGGGGGGGGGGAGGCTTCAGCAAAGGGACATGGTAAATTCAAAGAAAAAAAAGTCAAAAAGGCAATTATTTATGATGAGGGTATCCATTAGGAATTATGCAACCACACTGGCTGGGATGACATGAGTTGTAGTGGCACTACTTAGAGGATCCCAGGTTGGGGAAGGCAACAACAGGGGTCCTCAGGGGAACATAGAGACCTGCACCCGTTTCCCTAGAGCCTTCCATGCTCGAGAGAACCACAGTGCGCTCAAAGGATATCGGCTGTTCTGCACATCGTCCGTCACATTTTTGATGCTCTGCTGCACCCACATCTTCTGCTGCTCCAGCTCCCGCTCCCGCTGGTCCAGATCCTCGATCTCTGCCTTCAGCTCAATCAGCTTGTGAGCAATCTCACGGGTGTTGCAGCCGGGGCCTACGCCTCTGAAGGAGAGAAGACATGGGAAACAAAGCAATGGGGCATCTCTTTCACAGTGAACCAGGCAAAGGGTGTGACTATTTCACAGAGATGTATCACCACCAGAACCACACATACTATTCATATCCAAATAAATGTCTAGGCATAGAATGATAGAATAACAGAGCTGGAAGGAGCCAGACGGTCCAACTCCCTGCTGTTGCAGGACACGAAGCTGCACCATCCTACCCAGATGCTTTTGAATGTCTCTAGTGAGGTAGAGTCCACAACTTAGTCATGCTGTGACCAAACTCCTACGTCCTTTGTCAGGTCCAAGACCCTTCAGAGAGGAACATATAAAGGCTCTGCCCAATGCAGAGCACATTACAGTGATCCAACAAGGCCTGCATTCTCCAAACGGGCAACGACCAGAAGATCCAGCAAAGCTGAAAGATGGAACTCCCAACCAATGCCATCATGCTACTAGTCCTGATGGCAACATGTTACCTCTAGTATCAAGAGGCATTATGCCTATATACACCAGCTGCTGGGGAACCCAACAGGGAGGGTGCAACTGCACTCATGTGTGACTTAAGCATTTTGCACAAGCCACTATTTGGCCACTGAATGAACACAGTGTGGGATTAAATAGATTTCCAGCCTGATCCAGCATGACTTCTCATGTTCTTATCTGATGTTCACCTGCCCCTCTGCTGCTACTGCCAAGAGCAGAAAAGCCTCCAAGTTGCGTACTCCATCCAAGAGGATTAGGCCCCCATTAACATCAGTGGCACCATCCCTGCTCCATCCAGGTCGGCCAATTCCCTTTTACACAGGGCCTCCAACTTATCTAGAAGCAGCTTCAGTTTCTTAGCCCTCATCAAACCCAGAACTGCCTCCAGGCACCAGTTCAAGACTTCCAAAATCTCCCTAGGATTTTGGCAATAGAAATAACAGATAGATCTGCATGTTATCAACCTACTAGTGACAATTCAGGCCTGGAGTCTCCTAGCGACACCTCTCTTGGGACTAGACTCCCTACATTTCCTGATGTTAAATTCTTAAGTAGTTTTAAATTACATATTTAAAAATGAAAGTGGGCTTACTGCACAATGAATCCCTGTAACACCATTTTTACTTCAATTCAAAAGAATGGCTTTGTGCTCTCAAGCTTAGAGCCCACCTCTGCCTTGGATTTAGGTTCTTGGGACAATACCCTTTGCTTTGAGACTCACCAGTCTGCCTTCTGGGAAACAAATGCTTTGTGGCCAGGCATACCCACCATGATAGCCATGTTAAAAATGGTCAGGCAACCACAGCAGCCATTTTGTAAGAGAGCCTGCAACCCTCTCTTCACTTTCCAAACGGACTTACTAATGCAAGAAGGATGGTGACCACTTAGCCCAGACCACCCTCAGCCACTGCGTGTTGATGTGAAAAGTCAAGAGACAAGATGGAACCCCAAGGTACCCACACGGTAAAGGCCATGAAACAGGAGTCTCCCAGCAGCACCTTCACATTGCCAGCCACTTAAAGGCAACTTGCTCCAAATGCCACACACAGAGGCGGCTATGAAGGACAACAGCAGATGTGATGGTGCAAGCGCAAACAATGCTTTACCAAGAGCGGAGCCTGGTTTCAGGATCTCTGTCTCGTTCTACAAGTACCAGCCACTCACTTCCACTGAATACTGTTCTTGGACTTCTTCTCAATCAGTCCAATACCCTCGAGGACATTGGTAATGTCATAAATGCGCCGCTTCTGCCGCACTGCCAAGGTATCTGCTGCCTGTATAGATAGACACCCCCCCGAAAAAAAGAGGAAGGTTTGCAAATCATGTAAGTATGTTCCATTCATAACTCTGAATGCTAAATCAAACAGGAACATAATTCTCAGGAAATATTTACAATTTCTCAAGCCTGCATTCATGCTCCCAAAGTGTGTACATTCTTAGGTATTTCCTGCAAAAAAAGGATACTTGCACAAAACATCTACATTCTCCTAACAGTCTGTGGGGAAAAGGGGTACTTTTGGGTGCATACTATTTTTCTTGTTCAAATATGCACTTTTCCTATTCAAGGCAGGGGGAAGACACTTAGAGTGAATTTATGTATATATGTGCTTAAACCCAATAAACAGAATGTGACCTGTATACTCTTCCGTGCACTTATATATATGTGACCTATATACTCTTGTGCACTTATACGTGACAGTTCCATGCTTCTGCCAAAGCAGGCTTTGACACACAAAACCTCATGTCACAATACATTCACTGAAAGCTCAAGTCTATGCATGCCTACTCAGAGGCAGCCCCCTTGAGTTCAATGGGGCTTGCTTCCAGGTAAATGCGTGCAGGATCAGAGGTTTATGGCGACTAGTGTTATTACTACAAAAGCAATAGCATGTCTAGCTCTCTTGACAGAACCAAGTAAAAGAGTTATCTGCATGAAGCTCAGCTTGCAATTCTATCCATGTTTCTTGGGAGTAAATACCCTGTACACAAGTAAGCTTACTTCTGAGCAAACATGCAGAAGACTGTGCTGTCAAGCCATCAACAGTTACCCTAGCCAAGAGAACAGCAGGAATTTTGAATCCAGCTTTACTCTCTTCTGAAACAAAGACCCTCAGATGGCCCTGCCAAGAACAAGCCTAGATCAGGAAAAAAAAAAAAAACACCACAGGCGGATTCAGCAACATTTCCACACTTTGCTACAATCCATCCCGTGGTTCAGGGCATCAGAATCTTCTTCCTGCCCACTTTTCAGCTCTCAGTCCTCATGATTGGTCCAGGGCATGGGCTATTGCACTGCTACAAACGTCTTCTTAACTGCAAAAGAAGCTCATTTTTAAAAAAGAGTGCTCTCTGCATGGCAGCAGAATCAAATAAAGGCTTCAGTTAAGATTAAGCACTCTAGGCAAGCTTTAGAACACCTGCAGGGCCTTTGACATAGAAATGACTGTTGTGGTAACATAAGAGTTTCTACAACTTCTATAGTTCTGCATTTTGGCTCTAAGTCCATTGCACCTGCAAACTGCATAAAGGCAGGCAACTCAGTCTACATCTCATGCACGCACACACCCCAGGGGATCCTTTCACACATACCCGTCATGCAAATCTACTGTATCTCCCGGTTTGGTGGACCTGCTACCTTAATAAGGAATGCTTCCTCCAGAATATTGCCCTGATGCAGAGCGAAAAATGACAAAGAAGCTGCTCCCACAGGCTGGAGGGAAGCAGAAGACAAGGCTCATTCACTGGAACTGCCCCCACTGCTCCCCATTTTACAGGAAAGACAGAGAGATGCTTCTCACCCCGGCTGGCAGATGACACCAGCCAAGTCGACGTCAGCCTGTCGGCAACCCAGGACTGTTCAGATGTGTTGGGACTACCACCTGCGGATGGCGGGTGCTCTAGGCCAGCACATCTGGAAGGCGCCGTGTTGGGGAAAAGCTGTATTATGTTGGCTGGGGCTGCCTCTCTTCTCATGAAAGCCCGACCCTCGCGTGAGGAAAAAAGAGTGAGCCCCACACGCAAATGGTCACCCACCAGAGCCAGGTCGAAAATCAGGGCAGCAGGAGATGCTCAGAACAGGAGCCTCGCAGGGCCTGATCCTGCCTCTCTCCCTTGCCTAGGAGGCAAAAGTTCACCATGCCTTGCGGGGCCAGCCGTGGGTCCGATCCGGCACCGCCACGCTGAGGAGAAAACCAGATCTTTCTTCTTCTCCGGCCCCGATCCCTCCTTCCCTTCTCCTGCTCCTCACCAGCTTGAGGTCGAGCACGCCGTCCTTGGCCTCCTGCAGCAGCGACACGAACTTGGTGGTGAGCAGCCCCAGGCTCTTCTCGTGCCGGCTCGGGGCGCCCCCCGGGGGCTGCGGCCCGGACTCCGCCATCCGCCCGGCTCAGACCCTCCGCCGGCGCCGACTGTGGAGCTCCACTGCGGCCCCCGCGCGAGGACCCTTCCGCCGCTTCCGGCCGCCGCAGGGCACGACGGGAGGGGGCGGGGAGAAGGCTCCATCTTGAGAGAAGGGCCGCGGCGTCGCGACGCTGCGCCCCGCCCTGGCTGTGCTGAGGCCCGCCCTCCCTCGCTCCCTCCCTCCCTCCCTCGCGCCTGCTTTTCCCTTGCGGGATCCTCAAGGCCCGCAGTGTCCCCTGCTGGCCAGCGGGCGGCAAAGACGGCTTTCGTCGCGTTGCCTTCGGGGAGCCAGAAACGCGTCCTCTCTAATTCGGACGTTCAAGAATGGATCCCTCTTAGTTGTGGCACAGGAGTGCCATTTCCTCTTTCCTGGATGCTGGTTTTTCTTGGATCCTACAATACAGCTCTGCTGTTCCATAAAACATTATGGACCAGTATGAGAGCACATCTCGTCATAGGCTATTCTGAGTTCTTGTTCATGGGACTCTGAAGCTAAAACATAGTTAAGATTGGGAGGCTTGCATCAAAACAGTTGCCACAGATGACACGCACATCCAGGGTCTCTTGTCTGTTTGTCCATCCTGAGGCCTTTCCATTTTCTGTGCTCTCTGAGCCTTGTCATATGCTCTAGTTATCACTTGTTTTCAGACATAAATAACTTCCTGGTGATTCCAGGATCTATGGGTGCAACTGGTCTTATCTTACAAGATAGCAGTTACTGTACAAAGAAATAACTTTCTGGTTTGCAGTTCCACGCTGGGCGAGGTGTGCAGTAACTCAGTGCAGTAACTCACCGTAGAAATATCTTGTGCTGCAGTGCAGGGTGGAAACCCAAGAACCCCTACCCACTTGTGCATGCACAACACAGACCCTGGCAAACACACAATCATGACAGACAGGCTGAAACAGCCTGAAAGTGAGTGGCTTTTCCCCTTGCAGCCGCAGCTCTTCAGGCTGGGAGACATTGATTAACTGGAGCAATGCATGCTGATTAGGTTACCCTTTCACTTAAGAAAGCAGCGCTTCATCTTACTTGGCAAAGCTGCCACATAAATGCATATGGTTTATCTTAAAGCAAGCCAGGGCAATGTTAACTTTGTTGTTCTGGCTGTGTTCAGTCCCAGAAGTGAAGCTTTTGGGGCCCTGCTATGGTTTGCCTGAACATTTGCAAACAGACAGAATTTCAGGAAGACACCGTCTTTCTCCTGTGCTACGTATGCAGCATCTCTGTTCAAGGCCACCCATCCTGAGTAATGCAAGGCAGAAAGGGGCACACATGGATGCTGGCAACCACGATCCGTGTGTGTGTGCATAGTTTGGCCAGGGGCCACTGGGGGCAGAGAGAAAGAAATAGTTGCTATGTCCCTGCTGAAGCTGCATTCCCAAAGAATTATGCTGTCCAGTGTATGTGTTGCTTTCCCCGCCCTCCTGTTCCTACATCCTGAGCATATCTGCAGTGCTACAGCATAAGCCCCTGAGGAGCTGTGAGGAGTATCACTGACGGAAACTGCTGTTAGTGGCTCTATTTCCTCGACTTGGCTCGGCTCGGCTCAGCCCAGCCAAGCCCTGTGCTCTAAACCTGTACACTGCAGCTGAAGCTATGGGCATGTCTGCAGAGGAGAGCAAGTCCAGCAGCCAGAAAGGTAATAATGGGGAAAGTAGGGTCTGGATCCTGGCAGCCATCCTGTTTACTGGGGAGTAAGGAGAATGTGGCCCTTCCTGGGCGACACTGGGTGAAGCATGTCTCCCATCCGTGTGCATCTCCCTCTTTCTCCCTGCCCCATGAGGAGGGGACCCTTCTGCCCCCTTCCTAGCGAAGAAAAGTGCTTTTAGAACATCTTATCCATTGCACCTGTGCTGACACTCCAAATTATTTCTGGATTTGGGAGTTATAGATGGAGTTGCAAAAAGGAAACAGTCATTTCGGGGGTGGGGGGAGCTTGTCCTGCAACAGAGAGAGTAGACCTGGGGAAAACCCACTGCTGGAAAAAGCCAGGCCAAGAGAGTTAGGTCTGGGGGTGCCCACATGGGAGTCTGTGGCAGGCACGACATCTGCCCAGGGCCCTCCGGTTCTGTATGGGGAAGGGCCTGATTGTGGCCGGCCAGACCTGAGAGTGAGTAGGGAATCTCCATTTTGACTGATTTACTAGGGCACAGAGGCTTGAGACTGCAAGTCCTATAAGCCCCAGCCAGCATGGCCAATGTCAGGGACTAGGAGAATTGGGTCTAAAACATCTGGAGGGCACTGCCCCTCTGTTCTTGTGCTTAAATCACAGCCATGAGAGGCAGAATCAGCAGATTTCCATGGCGTTAATGAAAAAGCGAGGGGAGTGGCAGAATGATGTTGATTATTTAATCCCAACATCTTTGGGTGTTTATTCTGAGTTTTTCTGTGGGGAACACCTAACAAAACTGGTTGGGGAATTCTGCTGGACAGTGGCTGATCAATTTGAGGGAATAAACCAAGGTGGAACAGGGCTGTGATTACCCTACAGTTTATTTAAACTGTTTATTTACAGTTTAAAAATGTTCCTTTGTGCTGCATGTAGTGGTAAACATTACTAACATCTACTTTCTCCCACTACGGTCGGACTCCAGACACTAAATATTTAAATAACCAATGGGTGTCTTCCAGTCATTGAAATTCTGCTTAGACCCAGAGTTTACCAAACACAACAGCCACTGCTTAGCAGAATCTTCCGCTGCCCTCCATCGCACAGAGAAAGCTAGCATGACATTTGGAAAATCTGGCTGCAAGTACATTGTTCTTTGAAAGGTAATGGTCTATTTCTAAGTTAATTTACCTCCCTCTTCTTTCAAACCAATATCTGAAAGAGCACCCCTGCCTCTAGACAAGGAGGCTATTTCCCAAATGATGGTTGCCAGGTTATCCTCTGCCATGGGGTCTGAATTGTGGAATAACCCTCCCATAGAGGTAAGACTGCTGCTGAAATTCTAATCTTAAAGTTACAACTGTTCTTACCGTGGCACTTTAAACTGGGTTCTGCTGGTTCAGCTGTTCCAATGTTTTGGTTACCTCTTACATGTTTTATTATGAGTGCTCTATTTTTATTGGATATTCTGTTTTGCATGAGAAATCAGGGTTATATTTTCTGCACACCACCCCAGTATCCACAGGGACAAAGGGTGGTTTTAAAATAATTTGTAAATAAAACAACAGAAGCTCAAATCTACCAAACTCGTATTTGTTTGGACATGCACATGGTAGGCATGTCATGAGCAGAGCCAGCTGGAGCTGGGGGTCAGACTAGATGGCCCAGGAGACCCCTTCTGACTCACTCTGTTTCTGTTTTATTTTTATGTATTTTTTTAACCTTACATAAAACCATCTTATTTCGCTTTGTCAACTGCCGGAGAATATACTTGAAGCCTAGTCTCAGCATGAGTGATGGTCAATTTGTGACTGGGTTCCAACAAGAAAGGTTGACTGTGGATTGTCATTGAAACATGGGTTGTTGTTCAAATGTAGGTTATTGTGTTATCTGAATCCAGCTGTGCTAACAGTGGTTTGTAAACCATAAAAAAGCCATAAGATAACCTCTGGTTTGTTGTTAATTTGTGAACTGTGAGTTGTTCTTCATGGTTTGTTGTCTTGACTGGGTTCAAACAATATGATAACCCGTGTTTCAGTAACAGCTCGCAGTCCAACAGCAACCAACACTCAGCCCATAACTCAACCCTTGAGTGTAGGTTATTGTGTTGTTTGAGCCCAGTCTCTGACTGAATTGTAGCACTTAATGCTGTAGATAGGAACTCCCTCAAAACAAACAAACAAACAAACCAAAAACACTTGCACATAGAAAACTAGCAAGTCAGGAAGAAGAATCGGTCAGAATCCTTTACCTGCCTTCTAGTTCTCCATGTGCCCAGATTTTATTGATTAACTGAATGAATGATTAGAGGAACTATATCATGGAAGTCTCATCTGCAGTCCGAAAGGGTACTGTCCAGATTGCTTTCCTACCTTACTTAATGTCTAGCAGAAGTGCAATTTCTCTTATTTAGAGCAGTGACAGAACAGTTATCACAATTTCTTTCTCCTAGCATGCATACCCCAACGCCCTCTTGGCTGCGCAGCCAGGACGCCCTACTCCCTCCTACAATGGGCCATTGTGTCTTCAAGCACCAGAAATTGTCCCCACATCAAAATACTGATTGCTTCAGTCCCCACCTCTCCTCCAGTTATTCAGGCCCAGGCGGTCACATCCTGTTTCCTTCCTGCATCCTAGGGAAGCAGCTGAGATGGAAGAAATATTTCTGTCCGGTTAAAGACACAATTTTTTTCTGTCTTAGATGGGGAATGGCCAGAAGTGGAGAAAGCGGAAAAGTTAGCCAGAGGAGCTGCCTTAAAATGGGCTTCTGGGGTGTTTTACCAACCAGAAAAACTGGAGGGTCTTGGACAGTATCGGATCCGGGAGATACAGCGCAACAGTTCCATTCAATCCCGCATAAAGGTGGGTGGCCATGGCAAGAAACATTTCCTGGAACAGCCAGGTTTTGCTTTGTCCTAATTGAAAAAATCCTTTCCAGTTAATTTCTATTCTTGTGTCTGGCCTCTTGCAAGTGCCTCTGTTTTTCTTTAGCTCATAACATTAGCCTTTAATGGGTCTGATTTTTCCATCTTCTTAAAAGCATCCCATGCCTTCACTGAACATCAGATTTCTATTGGAAGACTATTAGGATGTAATGTACTAGCACACATTGTGTTAAGTGCTATCAGGAGGTATATGCAAAGAGTTTTGTGAGAGATTGTCTACTCAGAGTTCTTTTCTATGGGCTCAGGGTTAGGATTCTCGGGTGTATGACTTTCAGGGCATGATTAAATTGTGGAATTTGCTGCCATGAGATGCAGTGACATCTACTGACCTGGATGACTTTGGAAGTGGATTAGACATATTCATGGAGGATACGGCCAGTGGTGGTCATTCAGGTGATATGCTGCTTTAAGAATAGATGAGGAAGCATCTGGTTTGCCAAGGCAGGAAACAGGATGCTGGGCTGGATGGGTCTCTAACCGGATCCAGAAGGGGATGGGCTCTATTTAAGCTGACCAGAACGAGTTTTCAGAAGCCTTGCACTTTCTCATCCCTCCACCATAAATGAAAATAGGTAAATGGCCACATTCCTTCCTTCACATGTGTGTCCTTTTGTGATATATGTTATTGCAGATGGGTCCTTAGGTCCTACTGACTTAAGCAGCTATTTATTTATGCATTTATTTATTTGATTTTCAAGGTGGCTTTCAGCAACAGATAAAACGGTAATAGAACAAATGCGTTAAGGCACAACAGTAGTACAGTAAAACCAACATCCAACCCCATAGACACAGTTCAGCCATGGCCCGATTGACAAAAGTTCCTTTTGGGAGAAACAAGTCCTGCACACTGCTGGCTGTGACATACCTGCACCTTCTTTGAGAGTATCCTCACGCTTTCTTGCTTCTTAGTCAACTGTGCAGACCTACCTGGAAGGTGTGAGCATGGGCCTGGAGCAGCTACATTCAGCCTTGGCAGACGTTCAGCATGTGCAGAGAGAGCTGGAGAGCGTCCAACAGGACTTGGAGTCCAGCATCAACTCTTTTCAGAGCCTGCAGAGGCTTCGGGAGGTGGCAGTGGAACACGCTCAGCTGGGTTTGGTCGTCCAGACATTGCCTCAGCTTTTCTCAGGTGAGGCACTCATAACAAGGCATCTTTGCTGTGTGATTCTGAGGATGGATTCCGAGGACCATTCTTTGCAGGCTCTTTATAGCAGGCAACCATCAGTGGAGAGGGGCCATAGCTCAGTGGCAGAACCGGTGTTTTGCACATGGGAGGTCCCAGGCTCTATCCCTGGCATTTTCAGGTAGGGCTGGGACAGCGTCCTGCCTGAAACTTTAGCTAGGCAGTACCTGGCAGTGTCAACAAAACAGGCCTATATGGATCCGTAGTCTGACTCAAGTAAGGCAGCTTCCCATGTTGTGTTCATTTTTAAGCTTTAGCTTATGCTTAAATGATGGGCTGTGTTCTGAAGACTGAAAAAGCACATGGCTAATGTTACGAATCATTTTAATAGGTCATATAGATATTAACAGTGATGGAAATTAAATTGAAAATGAAAACGTTAAAGATACTGATTTTTATTGTAACTGACTAGAGGCTGCTTCACACTGAAAGTGGGATTGAAAATGTATTTTCATAGAATCATAGAATAGTAGAGTTGAAAGGGGCCATGAAGGCCATCAGGTCCAACCTCCCACTGTTGCAGGCCACCAAGTTACACCATCCCACACAGATGGCTGTCCAGTTTCTTTTTGAGTGTCTCTAGTATTTTATTTTGTTCTATTTTATTTCTGAAACTGGTGGTAATCTGGCATGAAGAGACTGTAACAGATACCACTTTGCAGCAGAGAAATGGCTGCTTGAATTACTTTCCAGAGCAGGGGCGGGCACACTTCAAGCTTGCAGGTTCTACCTTGTATTTTAGAAAAATGCTGGGCATCTACCAACCAGACCCTGTCACAAAATGGGGACACAACAGGCAGGAGGTATTATTGACTGCATCTCTTGACCCAATGCTGGTATGTATACAAATCTACATGTGAGTTAGCAGAGGATAGGGAGGCTAACACATTGTTCTAAAACTGTTCTGAGAGCTCCCAAGAGATTCTGGCCTACATTTCACCCAACTGAGCCCTTGAGGTCAGACTAAGTTGACCTTGTTTTCCAGATCTGGCTTTTCTTTTTAACAGCTTATGTTTATATATTACTTTTTTATCCCACTCTTCCTCCAAGGAGCAGAGGGTGAGGTGTGTTTTTTCCCACCATTTTTTAACCCTGTCCACGATTCTATGGGGTAGGCTAGGTTGAGAGGCAATGGCCACCCTAAATTGGCTACCACCAGTGAGCTTCTCAATTCAGGTCTTCCCATTCCCAGTTAAGTACTTTAACCTCTGCACCATACTACCAGCTCTCTTCCCTCTGTCTTATCCAGGTTATGCTTTGAATGTCTTCTCCATCTCCATTTTTTCCCCTTCCTCAAGCAGTACATCAACTCATTTCTGAGACCTTTGATCTCTTGCAACATCAGCATCTCCTGGAAGCCCACAGAAGGCTTATGGACCTGGAAAGCCTGCAGGACAGCATCCTGTGTCAGCTGCATCAGCACAACCTGCTTAGCTCCTTACACCTGGCCAGTGTCGAGTCCTACTTTGGAGGCCTGCTGGAACTCGACAATGCCCTGGCCCAGCATCTATGGAACATTGTGGCTCGTGGCATAAAGCTGGTGTCTGAGGATCCGTGCCTTTTTGTATCGGCTCTGCGCATTATCGAGCGAGAGGAAGCCCTTGACGCTGCCCTGCTGCTGAGATCCCAGGCTCTTGGCTTCCTCCCACCAGGGCGCCCAAAGTGCTGGAGGCAGAAGTTCTTTCAGGTCATCCAGGAGACCGTTCTAGCTTCACATTTCCAGCCACTGCCAAGCAGTGCCCAAGACAGGGTTCTCGCGACACACCTGGCATCCTTGCAGAGCAGCATCTTGGCCGAGCTGTGCATCGTGAAAGATCTGATGGTCCAGTGCTGCCCACCTCACTACGACATCCTTGCAGCCTTTGCTACCATGTTTCATCAAGGCCTCATCAACCACCTGCATCACATTCTCACTTTGGATCTGGACAAACAGGATGTCTTTGCCCTCCTCCACTGGGCAATCCATGTCTACCCAAGGTCAGTGCCACTGCTGAAGGGCTCTGTGGGTCACTGGGACCATTCCATAATTCTCTTCCTCCCGCTCTCCATCTTATCCCCGCAACAGCAACCCTGTGAGGTAGGTTGGGCTGAGTGTCTGCGACCGTCACCCCGTTGGCTCCATGGCCAAGTGGGGGCTAGAACCCAGATTGTCTGAGTCCCAGCCGCACACTTTTACCCACTACACCACACTGGATGCACTGACCAGCCAGGCCTGCCATAGAGGACCATTGAAAACGTGTGTGTGTTTTGCCCCTGGCCCTTTTGTGGTTCCACAGCTCGGAAATGATGGCACACCCGAGCCTTCTCCCTGAAGTGGACTCCTCATTCTTGGGTCCTCTGTTTCCTGTGGATACGGTAGACTACCTGGAGGAGCTCTACCTGGGGAAAGTACAGGTGAGTGGGAGAATCAGGGTCAAGATTCTGGGGATCAAAAAGTCTTGGACACTGACGCGCCAGTGCCTTGGGATTCGCTAGTTATGACGGGCCCAGTGAGCTAGGCACTGCTACAGTGTGTTTGTTTGAAGCTTGCCAACTATCTGGACCATCTAACACGTGCCCCCTGTGGTAAGCTGCACCGGTGCAAGCTTCTCAGTAAAATGCCAGTAAACAACTGTTGTCTCATATAGAATGTGTTGCACGTGAAAAGCGGTTCCTCTCCAGGAGGAACTGGTCATTGGCCCCTCCTGGACAAGAGGGCTTCTTCCGGGGGCCACTGTTTCTACAAGGTCGACCTGTGCTCTGGGGTGCCTTTCGCTCCTGGTCTTGCTTTTTCGCCCTGCCTCCTGGCTTGTTCTCTCCAGCCTCCTGATTTTCCCTCAGAACAGAGTCAGGGCTCCAGCCCTGGTGGGTGAATTCCCGGCACCACCTCTGCCCTCACCACCTTTGGTCCTGAGCGCAGATTTCCAGCTCCCGAGTTGCTCCAGCCTTGGTGTTGGCCCATGAGTCACACAAGTCCCAGCTTTCCTCCGCTTGGAATAGAGGGATCTGTTTTGCAGTGCTCAGGGAGATGGGGGTACCTCTCCCCAACATATGCTTAAGCATCCCGAATATTTCTTTCCTTTTCGCCAGTGTAATACACACAAGCATCTCTTCCCACTCGTCCCTCCATCATGCTAAAATAAGAGGCTGCAATTTATTAAATGTTTTTTTAATAGCAGCTTTACTGTGAAGAAGCTACCAGAGTTGTGCTACCAGAAAGCATGACCTGGAAAAATAAAGGATGGATTGCACATTATTTAAAACATACACAGAGATGTATAAAGCAACCCTGGCAACCACCCCTCCTCTTAATAGCTTCAGAAAGAATGCAGTGAGAGTGCAGAGGAGCACACCACATTCCCTGTCCCAATCATTTAATCGACTGAGTCCAGACAACATGAAGTTGACAACACTCAACTCCCTTGAGTGAAAAACTACACTCAAGGAGGTTTCAGGGTTGAGAATGGGTTGGTCTCCAAGTTGTGTGTTGTTGCTGTGCATTATTGTGTTGTCTGAACATGGCCAAGATGGCACGCCATGGCAAACAGCCCACATTTCACAGTCCCACAATGCCTGGGTTCTCTTCACTAGTTGTTCATGATTAGCAAGCCATGATTTGTTAGCATGGCTGTGTTCAGACAACCTGATAACCCAGATTTGAACCATCCGCTTTGTAAAGGCAACCTACATTCAACCCTTGAGCGTGCATTAGCATGCCCTCTGGACCCAGTCATTTTGTCTTCACGGCCTTAGAAAGACATGAGATGCAGAACAGTAGAACATATGTTTCCAGCCAGGCTAGAAGGGGAGAGGCAAAACATGCTGTGTGTATGGCTGCTGCTGCTCTGATTTTGCTCTTCAGCAAGCAGAAGGTACTAGACAAGGGATATAAAAAAATCAGCCCATATTTTCCTTTATTGTTTTCATTTTAAAACTCTATGCATAGCTTCTCATGGTTGCAGTGTATGGCTCCCCTTGTTAGACAAGTTGGAGATTGGGAAAAACCCATCAGCAAGTAAGGTACCAATCGTCAATTTCTTTCTGCATCTGCCACTGCTAAAAAAATCATGGCAGCCCTTCCTAGTGCTCCAAAGGGGATCCCTTTCCCGATCTCCAATGTCTGCAGGCAGAGCAGGAATAAGGAAGGGGTTTCCTTGCTAGTGCCAGCAAAAGGAATCCTTCTGAATCCATGTGCAAGCATGGACATGAGCATATCTAAGTGTGCATGTGTGCACATGTGCAGTCCACTGGTACTGCTGGATGTGGCCCTTAAGGCCAAGAAGACTGTGTACACCTAAACTAGGCAAATGCATTCAGGCAGAGCCGGCGGGAGTGGTCGATCGGTCAGTGCAGTGTCCCCAGACTTCACTTAAGAGGATCAGTGACCAGACTGTCCTGTTGCATCCTTTCAGGCCAGCATTGCAGAATGGATGCAGAAGATGCTGGAACTGGAGTTCAAAGAGTGGTTCAGTGGGCAGGAGCCAGAATTAGACTATCAAGGCTGCTTCCAGACCAGTCTACCCATCATTGCTATGAAGGTCAGAAGGAGCTGGGTGGAAGAGGAGACCGCCTCATTTCCACATCTCATGCTCACCCAATCACCTTGCTCTCTCCTTTCTGCATCTGCCCAGATGCTGGATGAAAACATCCGAGTCGCATGCCTCGTATCTGACACACTTCAGCAAAAGGTGCTCCACATGGCTCTGGGGGAGCTGGAGACATTTCTTGGCAGGTCAGTTCTCCTCCTGCATTCTTACCTCATGTGGGATTGTGGGTGGGTTGCAGGCTGTGGTGGGTCTGTCCTCCCCAGCATCAGTGGAGAAAGCAAAGGACCTTCGAGTCCAGCTGCAGGGACAACACTGTGGCCGGCTAACCGGTTGGTCATTGACTCCTAGCTGTAATTCCAGTTCAGAAACCCCAGCTTAATTTTCATCTTCTTTCATAGTGGGGTTGGTGTCAAGGGACAGCTTGCCCACACAAATGAGGGTTCCTTTGTACCACAATTTCAAAGAAGACTTCCTGGAGAAGTAGCTCCTGTTTCTCATATATATCCATTTTAAAACTGGGAAATGTAAAAGACTTGCTCTAATCAGTCCTATATTTAAAGTGTGACGCTGACACCCTCTTTCCTTTTTATCTGGGCCTCCTGTTGCCGCCTCCATTTCTGAATAGCCCCTACTGCAGTGTAAACCAGTCTTCTTTTTAATGTGCCATTGAAATAGGCTGGATCACCACCAGCCCCACCAGACCAGCTTTCTGGCAGCTTTCCACCAGGGTAGTAAAGAGGAATTCAGTTGCAAGCTGGGAACATCATGTGAAGGACTCATCGCACTCACCACAGGCTGTGAGACCACTGAGCAAGCAAGATGCCTTGACAGCTACTGTGTTTCTTGCAGCCTCTATGAGGAGCTGGTCGAATTTGGCAAGGCGCATCAAAAGGAGCACACAGCATCCAAGTTCTACACACCTTACTTGCTCTCAACCCTCAACAACTGCTTGGCTTTCAGGTATTCCCTAAACCTGTGATTGTTAGCTGATGGTTAACTGGAATTGCCTCTCCTTTCACAAGTGTCATCCTGCACCCTTTTCCTAGCTGTCTGCCGCAAGCCCACTTCCTAAGTGCTCTGCTTCTCTGTCCTGGCAGTACTTCCATCTCAGCCTTGAGTACAAGTGGGACATCTCCCCTGGAGTCTACCAAGATGCCCTTGTCCGTGGACATCACCCTTGAGAGGGTCCAAAAGAAGGCCTGCTCGCTGCTTCTAGAAGAGATGCTGGTGGATCTGCAGGTGAACATTCTTTACTGGGAATCAATAATAATTTCTGGAAATTAATTAATTCCATTTATAGAAATGGAAAATGAAGCAGAAATTCCCATCTCTGCTATGCTCTACCTTGATGACTGCTTGGAGACCCAGTGAATATGGTTTTGCAATAGATTTTTTGATATGTTTTTACACCCCACATTTCTATAAAAAATGGCATTCGAGGTAGCTTGCAAAACCCATTAAAACTGATCAAAACAATAAAGTGTGATAAAAATGTGACAATAATCAGAAAAGATTGATTAAAAGTAGCACCCAAGTCAGCAGACTCGATCAAAGGTAAAAGGCCTTCTTAAATAAAGCAGTTTTTACCTTTCGGTGGAACAACATCGCGGAGGGCACAAGGCTAGTCCTCCTCGGGAGGGAATTCCTGCACTTGCGAGCAGCCGCGGAAAAGGCCCTCCCTGAGCTCACTACCAAGTGTGCCCCTGCAGTCTCAGAACAAGGTTCTCTGCAGAGAATCTTAGGAACCAGAAAGACTGCTGTGGGAAACGGGCATGGAATGGGCTTCCACGGGAGGTGGCTGAGGCCCCATTGGTGAGAGTGTTCAAGGATAGGCTGGGCATGCATATTGTTGTGAGCGGAGCCGGATGGAGCCGGGGGTCAGACTAGATGGCCCGGGAGGCCCCTTCTGACTCACTCTGTTTCTATGTTTCTAAAAGGCACCCTTTCAGATAGCCTAGCCTCAAGCCATGCATCGGAAGCAGTGGGGAAAAGGGTCCCCAGAAAGGTGAGTGCCCCTGTTCACATGCCGTTGTGACGGGGACAGAGCCCAGCTCACAGCCTGCTCACTTCAAGAAGCAAGTGCTCACCCTGCATGCCCATCACACTGAAGGGCCCACAAATATTACCTGAAGCAGAAGAAGAGAGACACCCCTGCTCCCCAGCAAAGTGTTCTTTGTCCTTGGAGGAGGCCGTCCCCCTAGCAGAAATCGATGCGAATAGTTCCCTTTTCTTCTTGGGATGCTGCAAACTGTAGTCCCAACCCCACTCTGTAGCAGGAAATGATGCTCTGCCAAAGAGCTGCAACGTCTGCCACAAGGACCGTTTCTTCCCATTTTTCTTACTTATTCTATTTATTAAAAGCTTTTCTAACCCACCCACCACTAGTGTCTTGGGACGGCTTACAATAAAAAATGAATGGAATAAAACAAAGCACCACAGCATCCAACAATTTCAGATAATAAAACCCCAGTTAAAATCAGGTAAGGTTTGTAGATGTATCCAGTGGTGCAGAGTATGGGGGAAGTGAAGACAGCAGCAAATACTTCCAAGTGCCCTCAAATATTTTGCATGTGCTCCTGCAAAATATTGATCTTGTGCAATGCTTCGACAGTGCCCTTTTTGCAGGCAAGTGCGAGGATGTTCCAGCATCCTTAGCATCCAAGAACCGGATTAATTTGACTGAGCAAGCACTTGGCAGCCATCTAGTCTGACTGCACAGGTACTGAATGTCCACCCAGTGGAGATCCGTCAAAGCTTGAATCTTCAAGAAGAAAACCAAAGCACACTTGTTTTTGAACAGGGCTCTTTAAAGTTGTACATTGGCATTTGGCGTTCTGTATACACCCTTTCTGGTGGCAGTCGTGTGCCACATTTATCACTGATTTCTATGTCATCCATTATACGTATGTGAGGTTTCTCTGCATTTCTGTGACTATGTGGTAAAGTGAGTGGGAATGGTATGTATGAGACGCCCCTTCTATAAACAACTCAGGAATCTCTTGTTCTGCTCCAGCCTCTGTTTGTGCAGCTGCCTTCTCGTCAGTGGCTCTCTGATGAATCCCAGCTGATGAGCAGCATATGCCAGGTGATAAACAAGCATGCGAAAGGTTTCCGCAGGACTCGCAAGCCCATCAGCATGGTAGGACCATGGCAGGATCAGCTGGGGCTGATGGTGGCAGGAAAGACATACCTGCAGCCAGCTGGGATATACTCGCTTAGTTTCTAAATATTGCCTTAGAAAAGTGGGGCCCCAACTGCAGGGCCCCAGATGTCAGATCCCATCATCCCTGATTATTTGTCAGGCAGGCTGAGGACAATGGGCAGTACAGCCCAATGGCATCTGGGGACCCAAGATGGGAAACAGATTTGAAGTTTGGAAGGTGCATTTCTCCAGTGCAAGGTAGGGTTCCTGAATATGATTCAGGAAAGAGCATGCAGACTTTAACTGAATCAGAAGTGCGATCCATCTGACCTTACTCCAAGAGCAAGGCCTCTCCCTGAGACTGTTACAACTAGCGATGTGGAGTATTGCCCCGGCCCCTGCGCTTGCACCGATAGCCTTGCACCAAGTCAGCCCAGTGGCCCATCCAACTCATTAGCAGCAGCATTCTGTGCAAGGAGAAGGCCATCTTTTAAGGGCCTGCGCACACACTGGGCATTTTGAAAAAGTGTCCCAGACACCACCGGAAAGTACTAGGGTGCTGGGATGGCCACCCTCAGAATGACTTCATCTGTACCCTTCCATCACTCGGTTCTCTCTCTTTCTCTCTGGCTGGTCTCTGTGGATCTTCCTTACACACACCCTGAGCAACCCTTGCCAGAGATTCCCCCCTCTCCCACCACCACCGCCGCCCTGCTTCCGCACTCACATCAGCAGAACCAAAGCCTTCAGGGGGAGGCAGAAAGTGGGGAGATGCTTCCTTGCCAGGGCTTTGCCACTGTGCAGGTGAGCACAGAGGTGGACGACAGAAGTGGGGATGGGCCGAATCCCAGGGAGGGATGGTAGCGAGTGATGTACACAGAAGCCAAGGGAGGAGGGCAGGCTGAATGGAGGGGAGCACAAGAGGCCCTGGCGGGCGCACTCGGGGGTCTTGGTGATGTTCGTGGGCCTGCGGGCATCGCAGAGCAGATTTCTGCCCGACTGCTTGGCATTGCTGCCTCGTGGTCTCTGATGGCTCGTTCCTAGCCCTACCTAGCAGCTTTTGACACTTCCCTAAATGCCAGGCAGAATATGTGGGGGTTCCCAAGGGTCTCTTGTCCCAGCGACTGTGGCTTGCTTAGCTTCTGCAAGGTTGGGAAAACACATGCCTTCAGATCATGTCCCTGAACTTACCCAGAGAAGTGCAATTGCAAGGTCACTTAGGACATAATCCTGCGTATCTTTAGGCAGAAAGAAGTCCCGTAACTCATGGCTAGCTGGCACATGCTGGAAAGTTTAGGACTCTTTTCCGTCTAAACATGCATAGGATTCCACCCTTCAATATATTAAACGTTTGAATAAACTGTCTTGTGAGTTCACTAAATTCTGAGTGGAAGATGTTCTCCACAGCAGGGCGCTGCAAGGGCCATTCAGAATGTCCCCCGACACTCTTGTCACATCATGTGGTAGCAAAGCTACATTTGTGCAAATACGCATGCGACAAGGGGGCAAATTCTGAAGCTCTGAATGTATACCTGTAAGACAGAATGTTTTGTTTGTAATTTTCTATCAATACATTTCAGAAGATCTTCAGTGTACTATTTTGAAAAGTGCGTGCAAAGCACCCATAGGCTCCTGCACGTGCCACATAAAGGAATTGGTTACACCCTAGTTATATGATAATGGCTCATTTAATTCAGACCTTCTGGAGGCAGTTTGAGAGGTTCCACAACCTTCAGGCCATTGGTTCCTCACGGCTACTGAAAAGACTCCCGCGTTTCACTTCAGAAGTTCAGAAGACACGGGTTCAGGGCACACACAGTGTCTCTGCCCATTAAGAATAAGCACATGACCAAGCCCTGTGTTTCTCCCTTGATGTCCAGTACCTCCTGTCAGAGACCGAGCATCTGATCATGGGCCAGTATGTGAGGGCCCTCTTGCAGAAGCGGATGGTTTGCCGGAACGCAGAGGAGAGGAGCCAGATGGCCAGGCAGATGTTGCAGGATCGTGCTCAGCTGGAGGAGCTCTTCTGCACCCTGGTGAGTGGCTGGAGCAGAGCAGCGGGCAGGACGTGGCAGCTATCGCGTTCCCCCAGGGATGCTCCAGATGAGAGCTGGCAGGCGCTGACTATCGCCTGAGGAAGGCAGGCCGACTTGGTTAGCCAAGCAGGAAGGAAAGGTGACTATTGTGTCGTGGTGGTCAGAGATGTGAAGATCCAGGTTCACGCATTCACTTGGCCACGAAACTCACTGGATGAGTTTGGGCCAGTCCTCGGCTCTCAGACAAAGCTAACTCATTTTATCCTTCTTGTGAGGATAAAATGGGGAGGAGGAGAACCACATACAGGGCCTTGGACTCCCTGCAATAATTAATTCCTATACCGCCCAATAGCCGAAGCTCTCTGGAAGGTTTACAAAGGTAAAAAATAGGATAAAATAACAAAATATAAAACCATTCCTATGCAAACATATAAAACAATTTTAGACAATCAACAATAAAGCAGGATTCGTTAATAAATGTATATGTTGTCAAAATTCTCCAAATAAAGGAAAGTCTTGACCTGCCAGGAGGATGTAAGTGTTGGCACCAGGCAGACAACTGGGGGCCACCACTGAGGAGGCGTCCTCCTCTGCCACCCTCCTCCAAACCTTCCTCAGAGAAAGCATTTGAAGGAGGAGTCTTCCTGGTTCAGTGCTATAGTGCCAGCACGCTCCTTTAAAAATAGGGATAGATTTGGCATTAGAAAATGCTACAGCAACAGTTGGCTCTCCACATATGCTACTCTCTACATCCGTAAAAACTAGGGTCTGAAGTCAAGCAAAGGTCTAGGTCAGTGTCCTTCCTGCCCTGACCCCGCAACCCCCTCCCCGCACCCAGGGAGACCACTCTAAGTATAGAAACAAGACTTCTGAAAGGGCAATGATCTTGCAGACCGTGGAGACCAAAGTCCAGTTGCTTTCAGATGACACTGATTATCTGCCCCATTTTGACCCAGGCTTTGGCCTGGGTTTGGTGCCCAAACAGCCTCAGTTGGAAGAGAAGCTGGAGGAGCGGAGCCCTGTTGGTTTCCCTGAACCTTTACCCTAAATCCACTAGGATGGTAATGACCACATTCAATGGGCCCCATCACACGCGGTTTGCTCTCCGGTGTGTTGCTGCATTATGTTGCTTGCATGCCACCTCCTTCCTTTCCCAGGGCCTGGAAGAGAACAAGCAGTGCCTCAGAGTGATCGCTGACCTTCAGGAGCTCATTGGTCTCAAGGACACTTCTATGCTCAGCCTAGAAGTATTGGGATTTGTGACAAAATATCCTGATATCAGGTAGGTCATCCAACCCCCACAAATGCAGCTGCCAGGTTCCCATGTCATGAAATCTGCCCTTGAGCGCTCAGTTGGAAGCACAGGAACTGTAGGAGGGTCGGTCAGCTGAAGGAGCATTTCCCTTCTCTGACACTCTCGCCACCAGCTCTTTTTGGCTAGGGTTAAATCTGCAGCCTGAGGCACACAAAGCGTGTCCCTCTTCAGCTCTTGTCCCTTCCTCAAACTCAAGGCACTGGTTGGTTCAAACAGCATGATAATGCACACTCAGTGGCTGCGTATGGGCTGAGTGTGAGCTGCCACTGAACCACGGCTTCTTAATGAACAGTCGCTTACTGTGTTGTGTGAACCCAGCTGCACTGACAAAGCAGAGTCTCTTAGCCGTGGAAGAGCCTATGAAGAGAGCATGCCCGTTGCTGGCTGGGAATTCTACGGGTTGCAGTCCAGCACACCTAGAGGGCACCAAGTTAAGGAAGGCAGAGGTGGTAGCTGTCTTTGATACCACTCATGCCTCCGACTTTATCGGGTCCTGGTTCTGCTGCTCTAAAGCACAGACAGGCCTCTTGATGTTCTGCAGATGTTTTGGACTACAGTTTCCATAATCCCTGACTGTTGCATTGAGGAGTAGGATAGCCATCAGTGGTTTAAACCAGTGAAAATTCCCCCCTCATCCTCTGCAGGAATTAGCACTGGGTGGGGGGTGGGGGGCTCCTAATGGTGCTGGGAAATTGGGACTGCAGCTGGAGAGGGATGCTTTGCACCTGCCGGTGACTAAAAATCCCCACCCCTTACCAGATGGATAGGATGTGGTGTTGCAGTGATAGTTAATCACAGTCTTAGGGTCACCTGTAGCTTGGCCTGATCAGTAAGCAAACACTGGTGAGAGTTCTGCCTGCCGCGGCTGTGCATGACTGCAGAGATCAGGGCTGGTGGGTAAAGAAAGAAGAAATGGACACTTTGGATCTTTGTGGAAAGGGGGAGAATGGATTGCTCGTGCTCTTCCCTTCTTAACAGGGCAAGGGTGGAAACAAAGATGAAATCAGGGGTGGCTGAGACCATTCTAAGGGAAGCAGCTTTGCTGCTGTTGGCAGACTTTCCTGGCGAGATGCCAGCACAGAGACTAACGAGGTAAACTGTTCTCTGTCCGATGTCTCTCCAGTGATGACCACATTTCCATGCTCCTAGACCTGCGGGGTGACATCTCTAAAGAGATTCGCAATAATGTCCTGGAGGTTATGGTACAGAATCCTCAAGTCCTGCCTGAGAATTATGACCCTGTTTTCAGCAATATCTTGGTTCCGGCTACAGAGCCACCCTTCTGCCTTGGCAAGTCAAAATGTGCCTGACATCTCCAGAGATGCTGCTAGCAAATTACGGGCTACATCACTACATCACTGCAACTCCCATCAGCCTGTGGTCAAGAATGCTGCTTTAGCTGCCACAGCTTCCCCCAAAGAATCCTGGGACTTGTTTGATGAAAGGCAAAGAGAGCCCTGGCTCCTATCGCAAAACTGGATTGTCTGGGGTTAAATCAGGGATAAGGAAACTTTTTTGGCTTGGAGGACCACATTCCCACTGGAGAAATCTCTCATGCCATCATCCCCCATAACTTTTTCCCTTTTCTTACCTTCCTTCTTAGCTGCTTCCCTATTGTTATGCCGTTCTATTCATGTACACAGCTTTCCTACACCGAGGAGTTTATCCTATGCTGTCATTTTCCACTAATGGTTGCTTGTGAGTTCTTTTGATGGCACCATAACCCTCCAGTTTCTCTTTGGTGTCTACTGGACATTTTGGAAAGGTTTATTTTAGAGCAGGGAGAAAGAAAATAAAAGAAAGCACAACATCTTCTTGTGTGTTTGTGTTATGCTGGAATAGCACAGTGCCCTCTAGAGATTAAGCAGTGAAACAGCAGAAAGGGAAACCGGCCTTCTATAGTGCTTGGCTCTCAATTCTGTGACAAAACTGAAAGTACATAAAGCAGGTACAGCTTCACGTAAAAAACACAGAAGTCATTAGGCAGAAGAAAGGCCTACAACTCCCAGCATTCCCAGCCAGTGTGTGAGTTGTAGGATTTCTTCTATCTTATCATGCTTAGGGTAGGGCTCCAGACCACTTTACAGCTGTAATGAAAATACACTGTGGATAGGCTGAGACTTCGGATTCCTATAGCTGTGATTCAGCTAAGGTTAGCCCTCAGTACCTTCCAATGATATAAATAGAAAAGTATGCTCCATTGTTTTCAGTAGGAAACAGTGGGGCCCAGACTGCATCTCAGTTAAAGAGGGTGTCTGTGCTGCAAACAGCTGTGGCACAACAAACGGACTCTGGATTGGAGCCTCATACTGTAGCCAGCTGCTTGCCAATCTTCAAAAAAGTTCTCCTCCCCTTGCTTGTTTTAAATCTATAGTCCCGAATCTCAGTGTATTAAAAGCCCGATTCTAATTCAGGTAGGGCATGGTATATATATCTTGCCTTACTGGTGCAAAAAACTAAAATCAAATTATAAATATTCCAAATATTTACAAGGGACCTTTCAATACAGGTGTGTAAAGTTCTAGCAAGAAAAGGAGGCCCTCACTTGTTCAGGTGGAAAGAGCATGGAATGAGACCAATGCTTTATGGTGAGAAGGGAGAGGACATGGAGGAACAGCTGGTGAACAGAGCTAAACCCAAAGGGGGCTCAGACGAGGATCACAGGGGAGAGGGTATTCCTTAATTCATTCCACTCCAGATCTTGGGCTTTTAAGGTAAAACTCAGTCGCTCTAACTGGGCCAGTGGAACAAATAAACTGGGAACCAATGCAAAGTTCTCAGAACAGGTTCCTGTCTAGCACTCGGCATCCTTGCGCAGCTGCTTGTGCCCTGGCAGTCAGGAGGACCTGTCTCAGGCTCCACTGGAAAAAGAGCAAAACAGCGAGGAGACTCCAACACTCGACGAAGGACCAAGTGGTAAGTCCAGCCACGGTTGAAGTTTTGCATATCAGAAGTTCCTTGGTTTAGATATTCAGGAGCCAAGGCAACCAAATCTTACCTTGTCAGACAGAAGAAGCACACGGACTTTTGCGGAGGTCACTGCCTGTTATGGGAAGGCTGCAGTGTGAGCAGAGTCCTCAGCTGCAACCAGCAAGGTCATTCCCTTGGCAGGAGTGGCGGGCTGTCAGCTGTTCAAGTCAAGAAGTTCCAAATCATCCTATATTAGTTCAGCTGCACCTGGGAGTTTAGGTGAGTCCTCAGAACCGCCCCCTTTCTTCATGCTGGCCTCTGCCACACAGCCGAAGTGACAAAGCCCCAGCTGGTTCATTTGCTATTTTGTCCAGGGGTGGACTGAAGGAAAATCTGGGCCAACTGGTGGATATGGCAGGTGATTTACAGTAGATCAGCAAAGATTTCTGATCTCCAATTGATTAAGAGCCGCAGGCACCACCACCAGTACTAACCCAAATTGTACTATACAAATGAAAGCAAGGAAAGAGGACACCGGGCCTAGATCTGCATGTGGAAAGGCGGGCTTGGCCAGATGGCCACACACCTTTCCTCCCTCCTCCGCACCACACAGCACAACCATTGTTTGATAGTTTTGCGGTTTCTTCTTACCCTTGCTAAAATTATGAAACACTTCTCCTAAGACTTACCTACTTTAAATAATAGCTGTCAGCTACAAGAAACCTTTGTATTTGTCGCCCATTTAGTGGTTCTTCTGTCTTCCACGCCCTCATTCACCAGTGGAACGTGTTCCCACAACACACGTCTGTGCAAGCACACACACCTCTGGCACTGAGTTCAGCACAGGCTGAAAGAGGCCTGACCCCCTGCTCCAGGCGGACTCGGCCTGGTCCAGATGGAGAAGGTGATTAAACCAGTGGGGGAAGCAGGACTACAGGCCCCCCAAATGTTGATTATTCTCAGATTTAGGACTTGTAGATACGCCACTTATTGTGTGCTTGTGACCCTTTACTCACAACCCTTTGCAGGCCCTTTACATGACCTGTCATCGTGCCGGGGCCTCTCCTGTGTTTTCCAGTGACTTTCATGGCCTTTTAAAGAGGGAGGATAATGCATTATTTTCCTGGATGCTGCCTTGTGAAGTGCAATGGAGCATATGGAAGGGCAGAGTAAAAGACCTCGGGGGGCAGGGGGCAGAAGCCTCATGTAAAAGGACGTTCTTTCTACTTGCAAAGAAAACAAGAAGCCTCAGTAAAGCACTCGGTTAAATGGCTGCCGCCGCCACAAAGCCCTTAAAATGCCCAAAACAGGCAAATATCATATGCAAGACTGAACCCAGCTTTGGAAAATGGAAAGGAGAACCAAGGAAGATAAAAGGTTACTAGGGTTGCTTTGATGTAAGACTTTATTTTCCCTGCTCTTTCTTGCCCTCTTAACTGAAGAGGTCTCTTACATGATATGTCTCCAGGTTTGTGCGCGCGCGTGTGTGTGTTACCTTCCAATTTAAACACCAACACAAAACATCAAACAAATTCTGAACTCCTCCTAAGGTTTTTTTTTCTTTTACATCTCTCTTTTTAGACCTTTCTACACAAGACACAGATAGTGTGCTTGCGATTCCTCACTCAATGGTAATTTGTAGGTGTTTCCATTATATTGCCATCATCCAGGGCCTCTCCCATTCTTTGCAGCTGTTTTTGAATCAAGGAGTCTGGGCTTTGTTTTGTTTTTTGAAATGGCAGCCTAATACCCTGTGTGTTTGTGCAGTTTTGCTATACCACCACACCCATTAGTGGCTGTGTAATTAAACCAAATCAAGAAATCCTAGAATTCCACCCAATGGCTCCACAAAGGATAGGTGCATAAGAAGGTGCTCTACACAGAAGCAGACCATCTGGACAAGTATTGTCAACACTGCTTGGCAAAGGTTCTCCAAGAGGTCAAAGGTTCTCCAAGAGGTAGGAGTATTTCTCCAAGGTGGGAGCTTTTCCTGCCCCACAGAGATACTGAAGATTGGGCCTGGAACCTTCTCAATGCAAAGTGCCTTTCCGCTGAAGTATGATTCTTTCCCCTTAACCCACTCTGGGTAGCCCTTAACCCATGCTAAACCTACTAGCTGGGCCTCATGCTGCACCATTACATAAGATAGGTACAGACCAGTGAGTCTGACATCAATCCCTGGGAAAATTCTGGGACGAATTATAAAGTAGTTTGCAAACACTTTGAAAACAATGCACTGATTGCTAGAAGCCAACATGGATTTCTCAACTATGAATCCTGCCAGACTAATATAATTTCATTTTTTGATAGAGAACCACCCTGATGGACTGAGGGAGTGCTATGGACATCATCTATCTTGACTTCAGTAAAACTTTTGATGAAGTGCCCCATGATGCTCTGACTAGCAGACTAGCGAAAAGTGGGCTAGATAGAACAGCTATCAGTTGGCTACAGAACTGGACTCAAAGAGCAGTAACAAGTGGGGGTGCTCAGGGTTCAGTCCTGGGCCCAGTGCTCAACCAATGCCAAACGAACAGCATGCTTTCTGAAGACTAGGGGAATCCAGTTATGCGTTTTGGCATTTGAAAAACATTGACGAAAGAGCTCCCATTTCCCTTCTGTCCTAATACCCAAATGACTAGCAAGCCCAAGTGGGAGAGCCACCTCTCAAGACAGCTAGCCATGTGTTTTGTAACATGTTCTGAAATATCTGGGAAGAGCAGGGCTACACAATGAATGTATGGATAGGGTGATACATGTTGATCCGAACAGCAGGCATCACTAGAATCCACACCAAAAGGAAAGCAACACCCAAGAAGTCTGACACCACCAAAATCTCATCCATGTATGCAGTTGAGATAAAGAACAGATTTCAACTGTTAGAAACATTGAAAAGTTGCCTGACAAACTATGGCAGGACATTCAATCGAACATTATTGAAGCCTCTGTTAAACATAAGAAGCCGCAGACAAGATCCAGGTGGCTTTCAGATGAAACAATCAGAATGGCTGATCAAAGGAAAATAGCCAAAGCAGCAGGTGATTCCCAGAGGGAGAGTCTGGCCTTGAGTTAGGCATCCCTGCTTCCCTCATGGCCCACATGCTCAGCACCCTCAGCTCTTCTCCTGCGTCTTCTGATTCTTCTTCGAGAGACCAGCCAGCAGCCCTTGAGAATGTGCACCCAAAGCAGCCCTCTTTCTTAGTCTCAGCACAATGGACGAAGAAGAAAAGAGTGCTAGAGATCCTCAACTTCACCCAACTCACAGAATCATCGATGAGCTGGAATACTGATAAATCTCCTATCCAAGCAGGCAGAGGGCTGCAATCGTGAGGCCGTGAAAGATCCTCTTAAAGGAGCCACAGTGAGAACTGCTCCAGATCAAATGTTGCTTTGTACAATAGAAATCAATTTGAATATATTTGCATAATAGAACACAAGTCCTTTCTTTAAACAGCAGTTTAACACTGTTAGACCTGATAGAAGGTAGAACACCTATACTGATCCCATAAATACGTAAAATGGGTCTTACAGAATTTACCCAGGAACTTTGGGCTGGAGTTTTCAGTCATTCTAGAACCCCCCCCCCCCGGCTTTTTTTTTTTTGGCCAGGTGCGAGTCTTCTATGAATACTATTTCAGCCAATATGTGCTTCTATATTCCTGTTTCTGCCCCTAAGAAAGGAGCGTGTGCCCTGGGGGACAACTAGCAGAAATCTCAGAGTCCTGGACTAGTTCTAGATAGACACATTAGTATACCCCCATATTCCTGCACCAAGCTGGATTTGTAGAAGTATTTTCTTCAGAAATACCTCAGCTAGTGGTCAACAAGCCCCACACCTTGGTGTTTAAAAGGGTGCATCAGGAAGTGTACGGAGTGGGAGGATTTCAGCTGCACAGCCACCAATGGATGGATCCATGAGAATTGGGCATTAAACCTGAGTTCCAGTTATGTATAAACAATATGCATAAAGAGAGCATGATACAAGTGCTGGGCTCCCAAATCAAT